CCACCCCCAGCACTTCTCACATGCTAGAGTCAAGCTCAACAGGGTCTTCTTTCCCCGCTGATCAGCCCAAGCCCGTTCCCTTGGCTGTAGGTTCACAATACAAGTCGTAGGGACAGTGGGAATCTCGTTGCTCCATTCATGCGCGTCACTAATTACATGACGAGGCATTTGGCTACCTTAAGAGAGTCATAGTTACTCCCGCCGTTTACACTCGCTTAAACTTAAAAAGTCATAACTAAAAGTGCACTGGGCAGAATTCACTTTGCGTCCTTTCGCAAAGCTATGTTTTTAGTAAACAGTCAGATTCCCCACAATAAACAGTTCTAGCACGCTAGAGCCAATCCTTCTCCCAAAGTTACACATCCATTTTGCCGACTTCCCTTACAACCTTTAAATAAAACGCTTCCGTGGCAAACAGTGGACACCAGATGCGGTATAGGTACGACACATACACTTCTTTTTCATCGGAACAGGCACTCCCCACATCAGTTGCTTCGTCTCTTAACAATCCACAACAAAAATCACCCTAGTTCTGCTATCCTAGAGTAAAGGTTACCCCCATCCGTCATCATCAAGTCGCCTCAAAGCATACATACACACAATCGTCAATGCGTCTCCGTATAAACAGTCGATTCACCCCTAAAAATAGGGAACCCTCGTCCACATCCTAAATCATTTTCTTGTTACTACTACCAAGATCTGCTCATATCACCCCTCCACCCCCGCTCACGCGAGGACCTTCATCAGAATAATATCGCCCTCTTACTCAGCAAAACCACAGCGGCATCAGATAGCAATTCAATCCCTTCCATTTTCTCCAGCGCCCAATTCGGTAGGTACGTTGCAACACGTTTCTTAGCGGATGCCAACCTCCATGGCCACCGTCCAACTGTCAAAATCAAACCGCCAGATTCACTTCCCTTGCATAAGACTCCTTAGCCGCAAAAAAGGTTCATCCCTCCTCGCACATCATGCTTACCACAATATGCCCACTAGCAACATCATTAAAAGACATCTTCAAAGTTTAACGACAAAAGTCATTAGTGCTTTACAACATCTTACATAAATAATCAGTCGCCGCCGTCCTGAGAGACATTTCAGAGGGAACCAGCTACCAGATGGTTCGTTTGGTCTTTCGCCCCTATGTCCATATCATGCCATCGAGTTGCACGTCAGAATGGCTTAGATCCTCCAGAACACTTTCGCATCCCTTCAATCAATACAAACATAGTTCACCATCTTTCGGGTCGGATCATCACATCCAATCGCTCTCGCTCAACAATGTAATCATCCTCTCCTTGGTCCGTGTTTCAAGACGGGTGGGAAAAAAACCCCCATTCACTCAATCCATTTTCATTTCTCATCATTAATCTTTTCACACTTCAATCACTCTACTTATTCGCTATCGGTCATCATCACATATTTAGCCTTGGATGCACATACCACCCACATTCAGGCTGCACTACCAAACAACCCTACTCATCACAAAAAAAGACAACACTTACAGGCCTATCACCCCCTAAGAAAACAGATTCCAATCCGTCCTCAGCATCGTCATCCTAATTCACAACTCACACACGTGATTACCACACAGGCTCATATCCTTTCACTCGCCGCTACTCAGATAATCCTATTTAGTTTCTTCTCCTCCCTTTAGTAATATGCTTAAGTCAAAGGGGTCCACAGGCGCACAAACACCTAATTCAGACATCCGCTAAAAAAAACGGCATATCGTCCTCCAGCACGTCCTTCATCGCAGATAATGCCAATCAATCCCATGGATAGAGAAAGAAAAACTAAAAAACTAAAAATCCCCACAAAATAATCAAATCAACATACTGATCCTGCTGCTGGTTCTCCAACAGCAGCCATGTTACGACTTATATCTTATCTAACACGAAAGACTCAGACCTCTCAATCTTCGTCCACTGCGTCATCTTAGATAGCGACGGGCGGTGTGTACAAAGGACAGGGACACATTCAAAATAACTTGTTCAATCATTCTTACTAGGAATTCCACGTTCAGAAGCCCATTACACAGCTTCATCCCTCACAGTAGCCCACATAGGCATCTATCGTAGTGCGCGTGCCGCCCGCTTCATCTCAGGGCATAACGGACCTGTTCTGTTCCATTCCTCCCTTGCCCCATAGAGCACAGTCAAAAAGGGTCTCACATCTTACGTAACTTAATCCAAAGCTCACGCCATCCATTTAAAACGGCCATGCACCACCGCCGTAAGCATCATGTAAAAACACTCTCACACTCACTTCAGAACCGGTAAGTTGCCCCGCGTTGAGTCAAATTAAGCCGCACACTCCACTCCTTGTGGTGTCCTTCCGTCAATCTCTTCAAGTTTCACTCTTGCGAGCATACTATCCCCAGAACCCACATACTTAAGATTTCTCTCGGACAACACTAAAACAGTCCCGTCCAGTCGGCATCGTTTACTGCTAGAACTAAAACGGTATCTAATCGATTTCGATCCTCTAGCCTTCGTCCTTCATCACCACAAAAGTCCAAGAACACAGCCTTCGCTTCTCTTCGTCCAGTCAGGGTCTTCGTATTTCACCCCTCGCCCAACTATCCAGTGCCCCTCGTCCTCTGCTACAATAAAACTACATCCACTAAAAACCATAAACATCACTCAAAAGACATACAAACAACTACGGACATTTTAACTGCAGCATTCACCATAGACACTACTGGAGCAGGTATTACCGCGGCTGCTGGCACCCGACTTGCCCTCCAGTAAATCACAACAAATTTATACTTGCTAAACATCTTACTTCTCATAACCGCCTCCCCAATAAGGATTAGGCAAGTTTCGCGCCTGCTGCCATCCTTGGACGTAGTAGCCATCTCTCAGGCTCCCTCTCCGGAATCAAACCCTGATCCCCCGTCTCCCGTCTCCGCCTAGTTAGGCCATTACCCTAACTACCAGCTGATAGGCCTACAACTTACTCGGTACGCAGTAGCTACAAACTACCACCCCCAGAACTTACCTGCAGTTTCCCACAGTTACATCCAGGCTCCCAATCAAATCATCGTACTATCACTGAGCCGTCCGTCAATCCCCCATAAAGGCTTCATAAACATGCATGGCTTAGCCCCAGAGAATAGCATCCACGTCAGGCAGAATCAACCTGATGCTAAAAACTCACACACATCATCACAAACACAACACACCACACACAAATACTAACCAGTCACAACACAACACATCAAAAATCCCTTGCTTCTGGCTTCACTCACTGCATCTCTGGCTGTGGCAAGCTCATCAACAACCTCATCCACTTCTCTCTCCATATCTTCAACCATCCCCCTAATTCTCTCGTCATCACAATCCTTCAGCCTATCAAGAGCCTCCCTGCTGCTCTGGATCTCTTGCTCAAGACCCTCCATCTCTTTCATCTTCGTCTGCCGATATGTCTCCAGATCTCCACTCGTGTCCATGCTATCATCAGCCCTCGACTCCATATCCCTCAATGGATGGGCCACACAAAACTAAAAACATCCCCTGCAATATTCATATAAATATTTAATGTCATAACTAATCAATCTCTCTATCATAACCACTCACAGACAGGCACACATAAACACAACAGCATAAACACAAACACCACATCACACAAAGCTTCACAGTACCAACTTGTCGCCTCTGCACAATCTATCATGTCCGTGACTTCTTTGAAAAGGTCCCTCTTTTCTTCTGATAGCTTCCAGCCCCGATCACTACCAAGGAAGGCTTGGATCTTGTATTCTAGAACAAGAAGGCTTTTGACACACAAACACTCTCGCTGCCAGACTCTAAATAGAGCCTCAATACATCTCAGATAATCATCATTAAGCACAGTCTCACCACCATTATTGGCCAACACTTTAGCAATCTCTTTTGCCAAATCAGTCTTATCCATGGGATGGCATCCTTGATTGGCATCCGCGACAGGGATTCTCCGTATAGGGATAATGACGAACATCTCGATTATAGCAGTTCACAGAGTATATCACACAGACGCAACATCACCCACTACCCAATCACATCTAAGAAATCCACCCCCAACAACAGGCAGGAGCAGAGACAGGAGCAGCAATCCATCTTGCCTCCCAACTTCACCACACAATCCATAAACACCCACATACAACATCCCATGCATAGCAAGAATTCCAGCAGAGACACAGCCTCAACAGAAGACCTACGTTTTGTAAACACTAATGTCATGCTGAGCCACCTTCCATCGAGGACAGATCCCATTTCTGCTGCCCTCATCTCCTTCTACTCCAAGAACTTCGGTGTCTCTCCCCGGGGCACGACAGAGAACACCTGGTAGCTTGGCCGATCAGAGCCCTGCTGCCCACATGCTGGAAAAGCAGGACACAGCCTTGGCAGGAAGACCGTCCTTACTGTAGAAATGGCTAGCCGGGAATGCCCGTCTCCATCCAATAAACCTATGCCTATGATTCTCTATGCATCCACCCACTGCTCTTCTGCATCAGAAGACACACCTCACACACACTCCTTTATTGTGCAAACGAGCAGTCACTCTTCTCCGCACAGCCCAATCAGGACACACATCCAAAACAGGATATTGCGCCTCCCTCGCCACCACTTGCCTCTCTCCTTAACTCTCAACTACATAAGCAACCATCCCGTCCATCCCTGCAATGAACTCAAAGACTCTTTTTCTTTTCTCACTCTCGTTCCTCGCAAAGGCTCTTGCAACGAGCGGTGACGGTAATGGCAGTGGCGACCTCACCGGGGGAATAAACAAAGCCAAAGAAATGCTTGGAGATGGCAATGGTGGAGGTAACGACAATCCTTTGAGTGGCAACAGCTCACAGCTTGGGGAATGCGAAGGCGATGGTAACAATGGTAATGGTAATGGAGAGGATGAGTAAGCTAGAACAATGAAAGCCAAGAAGGAGACAGCCACCCCTTCTATAATACAATAAAACTATACAAGTCAAACATCTCCAAAAATCTACAGAGAACCCTGTTTATTCACTCAGAGGAGCAGAGTCCTGCAAGGATCTCGTCTCTTACTCCTCTCATCCTTCTTCTCCACTCAATCTCGTCTCGCACCTTCTCAATGCTCAGACTGCTTCCAGAGTGCTTGATCCCAGAAAGGAACTCGGACACTTTCTCCACCATTGGGTCACTGCTCACATGCCGGAGAGACATCACAATGGTGTTGTATAGCATCACATTCTTCTGCACCATCGAATAAAGCTCCTCCCGGTGCGACACAACATACTCAACCATCTCGTCACGGAAGTTCCCGCTTCTGCAGATTATTGCTATCACCACACCAATGTCCTCAACACTGAACTCGCACAGCCTCTTCACAACCTCTGCAAAGCTCTCCTTCCTCTTTATCCCGCTGAACCCACTTATCACTTCCCATCGGGTTCCAGGCCTCCTTCCACTCTTGTACTCCCCAATCAGGTGCTCAAGGTTGTCGTCAACAACTCCCTTGTACACAATCCACCGAAGTTCTCCAAGCTCCGCTCCCTCCTCGACGTGCCGCCTCCACAGCTCAGACACCTTCCTCATCGCAGAGGCACTTCCAACCTCAATGCCAACAGACAGCAGGTACTTGTTCATGCTGATCCTTTCCACAGACGTCTCACACACAGAGGTGTCAATAGACTCAATCCTCTCCTCAATCAGCCCCAGAACTCGCTTGTCAACCGCAGACACAATCTCGGCATCGTCGTAGAACACACTCCGGATCCGCATCAGCTTCTCAACCGTGCTTCGGGCAACACAGTATCCGTCAGAGTAGTACTCCCCTATCTTCCGGAGCCTCTCTCCAATCCCTCCATACAGTCCAAATCCAAGCCCAAACACATCCTCGACCATGTTCACTCGGTCCATGTCGCCCATCTCCTCAAGCCTCTCCTCAAGCCTTCTCAGTGCATCGGCCTCGTACAGCACCCGGTAGAACCCTGCATACGAGCTGTTCACCTTGTACACATCGCTTCTCCGTGGAATCACAACCTCTCTCTCTCCAACCTCAATGCTTTCGTTCTCTCCAGACCCCCATGTTATCACAACAGGCACAATCCACATGCTGTCGTCGCTTTTTCCAAGCATCGAGTATCTCCTCTGCGACAGAACGAGGTTCTCCCCACTCTCGCTGACACTTATCACAGGGTATCCTGCCTGCGAAATCCATCCCTCAACCATCGACGAAATGTCCTTTCCATAGGACTCCCCAATCGCCTTCCACAGGCTCATTCCATTCCCGTTCCCATACATGTGCTCCTTGATGTATCGCCGGATCCCAGACATAAATACAGACTCCCCAACATACTTCTCAACCATCCTGATGATGCTTGCTCCTTTGCTGTAGCTGATCGCATCAAAGATCTCTCCAATCTCTCCAGGATCGGAAACCTCCATCCGGATCTTGTGGCTCTTTCCAAGCCCATCCTCAAGCATCCCCCGTATCACATTCCACAGCACAAACTCTCCCTCGACATCCCAGTCAACATACTCCTTCCCTATCTCAGACATCCCCTTGAACGATATCCATGTTGCAAATCCCTCGTTCAGCCACAGGTCGTCCCACCACTCCATCGTCACAAGGTTTCCAAACCACATGTGCCCCAGCTCGTGGCACACAGTTTCAGCTACATTCTTCTTTTGCTCAACACTGTCCTTTCCATCAGAGTACAGAAGACTCTCCTTTCGGAACGTAATGAGCCCCCAGTTCTCCATCGCTCCACTGCCAAAGCTCGGAATCCCAATCATGTCTATCTTTGCCATCCCCTTCTCAGGAAACTCATACTCAATCCCAAAGTACTCCTCAAAGTAGTCGATGCATCTCTTTGCAACCTCAAGCCCATACCTTCCCCACGACGCCTCTTCCTTCCCCTGTCCATACACCCTTAGCCTCACTCCAGACTTGCTCCAGTCCTCAATGTACTCAAGCTCGCCAGCAACAAATGCAACAAGATATGTAGACATCTTGCTTGTCTTCGTGAAGTACTCAATCGCCCTGTCTCCATACTCCTTCCGCAGCGAAGGCACAGAGGGGCTGTTCGACAGAACAACAAGGTTTGACGGCGCATCAATCGAAATGCTAAACGTTGCCTTCATATCGGGCTGGTCAAAGCATGGAAACACCCTTCTTGCATCCGTCGGCTCAAAGTGTGTGCTGTAGACCTTCGACTCTCCCCCGCTCTTGTAAAACCCAACCAGACCAGAGTTGTAGTCTCCGCAGAACTCTCCCACAATGTATCCTTCTCCCTTGGGTATCGTCGAGGGAAACCTGATCCTTACAACCTCGTACTCCTTCTCGTCGTCTCCCATGACCACCTCTCCATCAATCCTCCTTCCATCAATCTCAATCCCTGCACTCAGTACGTCAAGCTCCTTTGCATTCATCATTATCTCATCCACAGGCTGCGAGATATCCACCCGGATCCCTACGTTTCCGCAGAACCCCGTGTCCATCACCTTCACATGCAGGTCGTAGTGCGAAGGAACAACAGTCCTGTCCAGCCTTCGAGGAAATTCTGTCCCACTGCTTCCTTCCATTTTTCTGCCTTCAATCATGGGCATCAATCCAATCATCAATTCAATCCACTTCATACCCTTTGTTTTTACTCTTCATTATATCACTTGCAATAAATATTCCCATGTTTGCCTTAATTGTTGCCTTTGCCAAGAACAAGGGGATAGGAAAGAACAACAGGCTGCCCTGGCCTCCTCTAAGAACAGACATGTCCTGGTTCAGAACCCTTTCCCAGAGTGTTCCCCTCATTACTTCAGACCGCATCGATCTTTCTCCATCCTCGTCGAATGCCGTAGTGATGGGGAGGAAGACATGGGACTCGATTCCTCCCAGGTTCCAGCCCCTTCCGAACCGCACGAATATTGTTCTATCAAGAAGGCCGGGGATCAGCACAGAAAACACGCTCTTCATCTCAGCATTTGGAGACATCGAGCACTTGAGGATTCCTTCGTCCTCGATGGTGTTTGTGATAGGAGGACACGACATCTACAGCCTTGCGATCCAGAGCGGGAGGGCCCATATTATATTTGCTACCGAAATCTCTGAGTCTCTTGAATGCGATGTGTTCTTTCCCCGCATAGACTGGGACGCCTATGAAAGAAGAGACATTACACGTGAGGTCTCGGGACTCGTTGGCAAAGACCTTGCAGATGCCTTCTACAACACAGAGGCGAATGCATTTACAGAGAACGGAATAACCTTCAAGATGTTTATTTATATTAAACACGGGGCCCTATAGCCACTGCCGGCCCAATAAAAACCTTGATCCCAAGGATCCATATGCCTCAGGAACCAAGACATCCAGAGCGTCAGTATCTTGATCTAGTGAAACACATACTGGAAAGCGGAGTCAAGAGGATGGATAGAACGGGCACAGGGACACTGTCTGTATTTGGAGCAACGATGAGGTTCTCTCTTGAGGACAACACGTTTCCCCTGCTGACCACAAAAAGGGTCTTCTACAAAGGCGTTGTTGAGGAGCTTCTGTTCTTCCTCCGGGGGCAGACTGACTCGAAGATCCTCGAGAAAAAGGGAGTTAGGATCTGGGAGAGGAACGGGTCGAAGGAGTTCCTGCAGTCTCTGGGGATTGACAGGGAGGAGGGGGACCTTGGGCCGATATACGGATTCCAGTGGAGGCACTTTGGGGCGCCGTACGAGACATCTGGGTCTAGCTATGAGGGCAAGGGGGTGGATCAGATCAAGGATGTGGTTGATATGATCAGGAAGAATCCCAACAGCAGAAGAATGGTTGTGTGTGCATGGAATCCTGTGGCGCTGGGAGAGATGGCGCTTCCACCCTGCCACGTGCTCTTCCAGTTCAATGTGATGGAGGGAAAGCTGAACTGTGCAATGTACCAAAGGTCTGGAGATGTTGGGCTGGGAGTTCCCTTCAACATAGCCTCGTACTCACTGCTAACGATAATGGTTGCACACCTGACTGGGCTTCAGCCTGGGGAGTTTGTGCACTTCCTTGGGGATACCCACATATACCTGGACCATGTTGACTCGCTGAGGCTGCAGCTGGAGAGGGTACCAAGGCCCTTCCCAAAGCTTTTTATCAGGCCAAAGGAGAGTCGGGAAAGGCTGGAGGACTTTGAGTACGAGGACTTCTTGCTTGTGGGGTATGATCCGCACCCTCCGATCAAGATGGACATGAGTGTCTGAGAGGAGTGTTTTCCCTCCAACGGTATTTAAGTTTGTGGAGGGGGAGAGGCATGGTGGACGCGAAGGAGAAGGGGTTCTGGACAGAGGCGATGGCGACGTCTGATCCTGAGCTCTATGCTCTTATTGGCGGGGAGATTGAAAGGCAGAAGAGTACAATAAACCTAATAGCAAGTGAGAACTATGCTCATCTGAGTGTGATGGAGGCAAGTGGGTCTGTACTGACCAACAAGTACTCTGAGGGTAAGGTGGGAGGAAGATACTACGGAGGGACTGAGTGGGTGGACAGGATCGAGGTTCTCTGCCAGAAGAGGGCTCTTGACCTGTTTTCGTTGGATCCCGAGGTATGGGGGGTCAATGTGCAAGCATACTCTGGGAGCCCTGCAAACTTTGCTGTCTACACAGGGATTGTTCCTCCTGGAGGGAGGATCATGGGGCTTGACCTGCCGTGCGGAGGGCACCTGACACACGGATACAAGACAAAGACAAGAAAGATATCTGCCACCAGCGTTTACTTTGACTCGAAGCCTTACAGGATAGGCGACGATGGGCTTATTGACTACTCTGGGCTTGAGAAGTCCTTCATGGAGTTTCTGCCGCAGATACTGATCTGCGGGTACAGTGCATATTCTCGGGACATTGACTACAAGAGGCTTTCGCAGATAGCAAGCAAGAACAATGCGTTTCTGTTTGCAGACATTTCGCACATCTCTCCGTTGATTGCCTCTGGCCTGATGGAGAGCCCGTTCAGGCACTGTGACGTGGTTATGACAACGACGCACAAGGGGCTGCGGGGGCCTCGCGGGGCTCTTATTTTCTATAGGAAGAGCGTGAGGAAAGGGGAGGATGTTGTGGATCTTGAGACGAAGATCAACTTTGCAGTGTTTCCGATGCTGCAGGGGGGACCGCACAACCACACGATTGCAGGGATTGCCTCTGCGCTTCTGCATGCAAGGACACCCTCGTTTGCGGAGTACACGAGCCGGGTTGTGGAGAACTCGAGGGCACTGTGCAACTACCTGCTGTCTCTAGGATTTGAGATTCCCACTGGGGGGACTGACAACCATATGTTTCTGGTGGATCTCAGGAGTAAGGGGGTTGATGGAAGCATTGTGGAGCAAGTGTGTGACAGGCTTGGGGTGAGTGTGAACAGAAACACTGTTGTTGGAGACACCAGCCCACTGAATCCGTCTGGAATACGCATTGGCACGTATGCAGTGACTGCCCGAGGGTTTGGGACTAGCGAGATGAAGGAGGTTGGAGACATAATCAACGGCATTGTCACTCTGTGCAGAGAGATGTCCATGGGGAAGAGGATGTCCAAGGCAGAAGTTGAGAAGGCGGTGTCCAGCAAGGAGTTTATGTGCAATGGCCTGGTTGTGGATCTGAGAAGGAGAATATCCAATCTTGTGGAGGCATATCCTATTTACCGGTAGTTTATTAAAACGTTTCCTATGAATGGCGGCCCAATAAAACATTTATCTACCCTTATCTCTATATCTGATGAAAGGAATATCTCACTGGACTATATGGCGGAGGCTGTTTTCTATGGCGAGGCCTACATCCATGGCCGAGATGCTAGTCATGGCTGCACTGGCCCTGTGCATCTTTTTTGGGAAGTGGCTTGACGTGGCCTCGATCAAGAGGCGAGGCATGATCATCAATAGCCTTGGAGACGTCAAAGGAGTAGGTGCTGTAGATGTGTCTTCTATCTGCAGCAATGCGATGACCTTCTTTGTGTTCCGGACGCTCTCCTCTGTGCTCATAGAGTCGAAGAGCATTCTCTTTTCGGTAATAGCAAACAGGATTGTGGAGGATATGACAACGCGTGTCCTCCATCTTGCAATACACTCTGCACACTCGTATGAGATAAAGCCGACGAACCTTAACAGGGTTGTGGAGAGAGGGAACAAGAAGGTGTGCAAGGTTCTCGGGAAGATCCTGACCATTGCAGTTCCAGCGTTCTACAACCTCATTCTTTTGTTCAGAGAGGTCTATGCGATGTTTGGTACCAGGTACTTCTTTCCTGCTCTCCTCACTGTTGTTGTCTACACGGGATACACCTACGTGGCTCTGAGGATCCGCTCTCGGTATAAGAGGAGGATCAACCATGCAGACAATCTGGTCTCCAAGAGGATCCACGAGTGTATTTCGAACATCGACCTTGTCAGGGCATGCTGCTGCGAGGAGATGGAGGAGTCCAGGGTTGCGGAGGTTATGAGGAGGATGTGGGGCCTGAAGCTTTATGACAAGGGGTGTGTGGGGGTGATAAACTTTGGGCAGAGGACGCTGTTTACGATTCTTTTTGTGTACACTGTTCTTAAGGGCGTCCAGGATGCATCGGCCTCTGCAATGGCGGTTGGGGATCTAGCCACGCTCTTTTCGTTTGTCCTTTCGATTGATACCTCTATGTGGACGCTTGGGACGATTGCAAGGGACATGGGGTTTTGGATGACTGACTGCACGGACCTCCTCACTCTTTATGATGGGCTTGAAAGGGATGTGGAGGAGAGTTCTGGGGCAGCCCTGCAGAATGCAGCAAGGAAGCCAGGGTCTCTGTGGATGCCTGAGCACAGCAAGTCTCTTAGCGGGACTGGGGAGTCTGAGGGGGGCAGAGGAGTGGCGGCGATTGAGTTTGAGGATGTCAAGTTTTCGTACCCGCGCTCTACCGGTGTGCTCAAGGGCCTATCTTTCCGGGTTATGAGGGGGGAGCGTGTTGGGATAATTGGGAGGTCTGGGTGTGGGAAGAGTACGATTGTGAAGCTTCTTCTGATGCTGCATAGGTACAGCGGATCGATCCGGGTTTACGGGTCTGAGATCAGGGAGATGTGTCCTAGGGCGCTCAGGAGTTCGATTGGATGCATTCTCCAGGACGCCCTCTTCTTTGACGAGAGCATCCTCTACAATGTGAGGTATGGGAATTCTGAGGCTGGGATGAGCGAGGTTTTGAAGGGGTGCAGGGATGCCGGGCTGTGTGAGGTGATCAGAAAGAAGGGGCTTGACTCTCGGATGGGGGATCTCAGTGGGGGAGAGGCGCAGATGGCATGCATTGCAAGGTGCCTGGCCAAGGATCCTCCGATGATGCTGCTTGACGAGGCAACGTCGAAGCTTGACGGATATGCAGAGAAGAGGGTTTTTGAGCTTCTGATGAGTCTTGAGGGCAAGACGATTGTTATGATACTCCACGACCTTTGGATGACCGAGCACATGGACAAGATCATTGTTGTTGAGGATGGGAGGGCTGTGGAGGTTGGAAGGCACTGCGAGCTGATGGAGGCCGGAGGGGTGTACTGGAGGATGAAGACGATGGGCTATTCTTGAGATGAGTACTACGAGAGATGCCCCACCCTGATGATAGAGGAAGTCTACAAGGACCTGGAGGAGATCCAGCGGGACATTGAGCGGGAGTACGAGGAGTTTGCAAGGAAGGACTTTGAGTGCAAGCTAGAGCACCACAAGCAGATCAGGCCGCTGCTTGCTCGGAGGGACCGGGTTATTGCGTCGATGGTGCCTGGAGACTACTGGGGGCGTGTGTTGGGGAGGTACGAGGTTGGAGAGACGATACTTCCAAGAGGCATGAACAACGAGGTCAGCACGGGATGGGTGAGGTCGCTGCGTGTTGACTACCTTGATGGATATGCATACATGGTTGAGATTGAGGTGAACGAGAATGAGTTTGTGGGGAACAGTACTTTGAGGAAGAAGGCATATCTCTTTGAGGGGGAGGTTGAGAAGAGCGGAGTGAGATGGAAGGGGGACCGAAGATGGCCTGTGTTTGAGTTTTTTGAGACTGACACGGCGGACCTGGATGTCTTTGACATCCTGTATGAGGTTTATGTCAACTCTGTCACCTACTTCCTGACGTCCACCTGGGAATCTCCAGGTATAATTAATTAAAATAGTTTATGCTGAGCCTACCTCGGCTTTTCCTAAACTTCATAGAAATGATTCATATCGATTTGAATTTATTAAGATGAAGGAAGTGGCCTGTGTTTTATTAGATGTGAGTAAAACAAGTGAAGTGTTTCCCAGTTTGACTTTAAATGTATATGAAAGCTACTAATCTAAGGCTTGTTATAAAAAAGGTATCTAAGAAATTTTATTCTTCAATGAAAAGAACACCTCTTGGATAGAGCCCAGGTATCTCAGATATCTTCTTTGAATTTCTTTCAATGGGCGTTACATGGTTCATTCTGAATAAGCTGAATCTCTTTTTGTTGAGTTTTGTTTCGATCCTCTTGAAAAGATCCTCAATGGTGTCGTCCTTGGAGAATCCTAATATAGATGAAGTTCCATCTCCTAGCCATAGTTTTATCTTACAGTCTGAAATGTCCTCGCTTTTCTCGACAGCTGCATTCATCAACCTTTCATCTTCAAGCTTCTCCCTCTCAAGCTTTTCGGCCATATCTGCCTTGATTTGGTTTATAAGTTGCTCTCGATAAATCCTTTCTTTCATTATCTCCTCCCTTCTTTTCTTTTCAAGCTCTGCTGCTTCTCTCGGCATTTTGTTGTTGTACTCTTTCTTAGCCTCTTTGACACCTTTGCGGGATTTTTCTTGAGTAGAGCTTATGATAAAGTTGACCAGGAGATCAATGTCCCTCGATCCTGTCTCCTTTATGGCATTTTGAATTTCTTCCTTTGTGAACCCGCTTTGGACTAGATAGCTTATCACCTCACCGTCACTAACTTCGGCTTTGTTTCTCTCCTCCATCCTGGGGATACTTCCAGAGGACCCTCATTTAAAAGCTCAAATATTAAAGTAGATATAAAAGCCTGATTTATTTTATGGTTCTTGCTCCTGCTCCTCCAAATTTCCTTCTGCTGCTTTATATGCCTTAAACGACGTCTCCAGCAGCACTCTTTGCGCCTCCTGAATGTTTGAGTCCTCCCCCTTCCATATTTCCAGTACTCCGTTTGTAAGTGCTCTTGCAAAGCTGAAACTTAAGGTCCATGTTCTGCATCCTCTCTCCATATTTATTGCGTTCAGAAAGCTTATTGCATCCTCAGAACTATGGCCTCCACTCAGAAAGACAACACCTGGAACCCCACAAGGAATGGTTGACAAAAGGGCTCTGAATGTGTATGTAGCCACCTTTTTTGGCGTATACTTTTCGTCGCTAAGCATTCCGGGTGTGACATAGCTGGTCTTGATGAGAACGCCTGGGATGTAAACACATTCATAGTTTAAGTACTTCACCAATGTGCTTAATATCTGCCTGAACACTCTGTACGAGCTTTCTATGGTGTAATCTCCCTCAAGAAATATCTCTGGCTCCACGATTGGAACAAGGCCGTTCTTCTGGCATGTTATTGCATACTTTGCCAAAACAGAGCAGTTTTCGTTGATACAGTCTTCAGATGGGATCCCGTCGTAGAAATAAAACAGAGATCTCCACTTGGCAAACGTGGCATCTTTGAATGCAGAGGATTTGCATCTCAGGTCCAGGTCCTCAAGTCCCACTGAGATCTTTTCTTTCTCCTTATAATCAATTAGTCCTTTATCAAGCTTTATGCCTATTTCGATGCCCCTTTTCTTCAATATCTTTGTTAGTGGGACTCCATCTTCATTTGTTTGCCCGAACGTCTCCTGGTTTAGAATGACCCCGCCTATATGTCTCTCGAGCTCCTTGGTACTAAATAAGATTTCTCTGAACTTCCTTCTGTTCTCCTCGGTATTCTCAATTCCAAGCTTTTCAAACCTCTTGCCCAATGTTCCTGGGCTTTCATCAGCTGCAAGTATCCCCTTTCCATTTTCTAATATCTTTTTAGCCGTCATGCCTAGCTTCAATAGATGATCACAGTCCATTGTTGTAGAGATGGCTTTGTAGGGCATAATATAAAGCTGTTCCGCGCTTACTGCCCAATCTCCTTTGGAATCATTACTTTTACTATTGGGCCTTGTGCAGAGTCCCTGACCAATAGATTTCTCTTTGATCTTGCCAATTCTAAAAACACACACAAATAGTAATTTCCCATAGTGGAAATGCCTGATTGATTTATTAAGCCGGGATTTTGCCCTACCATGCATTTCAATGTATTTGTAGAAGGTAGCGTGTTCGATAATGTCAAGGGAGTTTTTATCGACCAATCGTATCCACTCCGGATCCGATGCACTAACTGTGGGAGGCCTCATGAAAAGGCTGTTGTGCTGTCAGAAGATAGTGCTGGGAAGGGAGACTTCAAGGAAAACGTCAACCTGAGTGTTACTTGCCGGGATTGCCAGAGGCTGATGACATTGAAGATTTTGAAGCTAAAGGAAGCAAAGAAGCACATGCTTCCAACAAAGTTTGAAGACGAGTTCAAAGAAGTATGGCTTACAGACATGGAAAGAAACAGGTTTTTAGTGTCTAGAATTGAGACCAATGGGGCTGAGGTGACCTCTATTGAATCTTGCACTCTTAACATGGTCTCTAACGAGGATGTGCTCTTTACAAACGTAGACTTTAAGGGCAAGACCGTGGAAGAACACAACAAAAGTCGCAATACAATATCTTCGATCACCCAGTTTTCTCTTGTGGTTGAGCTTAGTAAATAAAGCCCTTCTTTTTCTGCCTTCCTTGCATTCTATCCTCCTTAACTTCCCGGGATGAATATCCTAAATGCAGTTATTGAGTATGTGCCGAATGATATCTGTGCAAAGTATTTCTCTTCAAATGTGCAGCTCCCGGCAAAATGGGCCCCGGCAAACACGCACCACCCCTTTCCAAACTTGCTATCAAGCATGCCTTTTAAAGTTTCACATATTCTGGTTGGAGGCGTTTCGTCTGTGAACGTTGCTAGTGAAAGTATTATTTGGCTCTTTATCCGATCGTCTAGTGGTTCTCTTTGCTCAAAGACGGGCTCTATTACCCTTGGCCCTCCCACAATATTCTTAGGCTGACTTTTTTGTGAACTAGAAACATCAGACTTCTTAGATTCTTTAGAGCTGCTGTCACTTGCCTCCTCCCTTTTCATGTCTTCTGTGTTCACCTTCCGCCGCCTAGCAGAACTTATCCTTAGCAATAGCCGATGACCAATGGCAGCAGCCTTAGATCACCAACCAATGCAAAGATATTCGAAGTCATGGCGAGTGCAACCAACCAAAGGATCGCTTCTCCCTGTTGATATAATCCAGGGTGATAAGCATCAGCCTTGCCTGCATAACATGACTATATCTGCCTCCTCATTAGTATTTCCCCCTCAAATTAGATTTATTTAAATAAACCATCTGAATTAGGCCCTGATGCTTCCAAAGGAAATTGATCCATATGAATTCAAGTTCTTCATCAAAGATATACTGCCTTTGTCCGAGACATATACACTGTTCAGAAGTTCGAAGCTGCTGAAGGCAAGGGAGACGGTAAAGGCTATTTCCAAGACAAACCAAGGATTGATTGTCCTAATCCACAAGTCTAGGGAGACGATGATATACACGCCGGAAAGCAAAGTTTCCTACTTCACAAAGAGAAGGGGAAGGATGGCACCGAAGAATGCTGTTGTCCGTTTCTTGAAGGCGAAAATGGTTGACTTTGTTGTCCTTAGATTTAAGACTTTCTACTGTTGCCTATCTAGATGGGACAAGGATGTCTGCAGTTTCTGTATTGTGGCATGCTTGGGCAAAAAGGCAACTGAAAGAGCACTGCTGAACCCCTCTGAAATATTGGGGGATGTCAAAGAAGTTCCGCCCCTTATTGGAAAAGGGCAGTTTAGATTCAAGGACCTAGACTCGTTCAAGCACCTAGGGACGGAACACAAGAGCCAGTTACTGGAGGCTAACATTGGTCTTGCTTTTGGGGTAACACCGAGTGCCAGCGATGTGAAGGTGAATCCGATTGATTTTTCTCAAGAAGATGGGCTTGGATACATAAGCAAAAACTCCTCTGACAGCACAGATAGATTTGTGGATAAAAAGGATGAGGGCGAAAGTTGTCTCATTGAAATAATGTCTGAAAACACTAGAGATACCACAGAGAACATTTATTCGAAGCCATACAAGGAGGTCAAGAATGACGAAGAAGGATTGATCGACTACATAATATCGAAGATCACGAAGCTTGTGTGCGATGATGTAAATACAGGATGTTTACAGGAGGAAGATATAGAGAAGGAGAGGCTGTGGAAAACACTGGAGGAGGAAGAGGAAAGCGATGTGTCCAGTAAAAATCATGGATACGATATTGAAGGCAGAGATTTTGGTAAGAGCCTCGGGGAAGACAGAAGCAAAGAAGATAGCGTTTGCTCCTATGAGGACCAAGGGGAAGGCTCTAGGTACGAAAATATCATAAGGTTTGGAATTATAGATGATGGTAAGTTAAAATGTATGCAAAAGAGTGTTGGATTGTTGTCTATGGCGAAGTTTGATAGATTGGAAGCATTTATCATTGGGATAATAGACCGACTCAAGGAAACAAATATCAATTATGTGGAAGTTTGTTCTGAGATAGACTTCTTCATCGTCAATAAGGAAGGCACTATTCACCTGTATATTCGAGACCTAATACATAGAAAGGAGAGGAAATTCATGGAGAAGTTCAGCGAAATATTCGAGAAGCTCGGTGCAAGAACTTAGTACAAGAAAAGATATTCTACTGACGAATTTACTAAACACAGTTTTTGTTTTTATCTTCTTTGGCCTTTCTCTGCACATCATTATCTCCCTTTATCATCCTAATCTTAAAGGTAGATCTAAGCTTTTCCAAGTCAAGCACAGGAGGCTTCCTTACGAGCTTAAACTTACTTAGACGTTTGACCATCACCTTTCCCCCTTCCTTCAGAACAGAGACTCTTTTTGCAATCTTATCAACGGCCTCCTCAACACTTTTGAAATTTGTCCCTTCTATTCTGAATCTATTTTTTGCCAGATACTCTCTATAAGCTTGGCCTATTTCCTTATACTCGGCTATCTGCGAGATGTAGGAGTGAAAGTCAGCAAGAAAGTTGGCTGTGTTCCGCTCCATGGCAGCCTTTCTATTTGTCCTGTACTCGTCTTCAGCCTTTACGTGTGAGGATGTTGAGGTGTGGCATTTGTAAGCATTTTTTGTGCTGAACTTCTTCTGGCATGGAATACAGAACATCTTGCCCTTGTAAGAAAGGCCCAAAACAATATATTGTAAACAAGCAGAACTTTATTTGAGTGTAGGAAGCTCAACTAGCAATAAACAGAATGAAGAACAGAAAGGAAAGGCCCATCCCTCCAAGAATAAAGTACAGCCATGACCTAAACCTCTTCGGGTCGGATCTTCTTATGCTCTGGATGGTTGTGAATATCTTGTTCAATGACGATTGGAAAGATGGCTCCAACTGTCTAAGTTTTATGTTTTGTGCCTCAATCTCCTTTGTCAGATCTATTGCAACGTTCCTTAGAGTCTTCAATCTTTCTGTAAAGATCTGCCCTTCATCCTCTTCATAATCATACTTCATGGGCAAGATGTGGGGATAAGAAAATAGATAATTAACAAACAGAAGAATGCAGCCTCTCCAATACGAGGCATGTACATCCTGAATCCATTGGGGACGGATAGACTTGATAGACCGTTGAAATAACTTTAATCCTAAACCTTTCTGGACCCAACCCTATACCCAGTGCGCCTGGCTCCAACAAGACCGATCTTCTGCTCTTGAGAAATGTCCTTCTTAGAGACAGTGGTGGGCTTACCAACATGCTGGTGATTACCTCCTCCATGAATGTGCTCAACAGGGTTCATTGCCACTCCTCTAACTCTTGGGAAGACATGCCCACGGGCCTTTGCCTTGTAATGGGCTACAGAAGCCTTGAGAAGAGGCTTGTCATGGATACCACCACCTGCAACCACTCCTACAATACACCTGCACTCGCTGCTTACAGTCATCTTCTTTCCGGAAGGTATTTTTATCACCGTCTCGTTGGTTTCTCTTCTGTGGTTTACCACAAGAGAATAACTTCCATTTGTCATGGAGATACGGCCTCCGTCTCCATAGCTCATCTCGACAGAGTTCACTGCCATACCCTCAGGAACATTCTTGATTTTTGTAATATTCCCTATGTCGATAGGCGCTTCATCCCCAATAAAAATCTTTTTCCCTGTGTATATTCCCTCAGAGGCTGGAACCATGCAGTCAAGCTCCTTGAAGCTTATTATGGCCACCGGCGCCCCTCTACTTCTTTCGTGGACTATGTCAATCACCTCCCCTTCTTCAACATGAGGAACAATGGGATATTTCAGACTGGCCTTGACAATAGGCTGTCTCTCCTTCTTCTTCACCTCTCTAGTTCTTCTTGTAATCTTACCCATTTCAGGGCTCAAAAATCATGCAAGTTTTTAGAGACGAGCTAGAAAAAATTTCAGCCAAGTACGGATGCCAGGAATTACACACTGAGGGCTTTACACCAGAGCAAATATACTACCAGATAGAGGATCTTTGCAATTCTATCATTGAGAGGTCGGAATCTGCAATTTCCGGCCTTTATCCAAAATACGAAATACCGCTTCGGAACAATGAAAAAATTTGCACCGAAAGGAACACAGAGGATTCTGAGAGTGGACTTTCTGACCAGGGCAGGGCATCATCGGTGGACATTGGAATAGAAAAAGACAGTTCTGCCGAATACATGGACACAGACCGAGATGAACCCTTGGAGTCCTCCGACTCTGAACTCTCTGAAAATGAAATCTACCAAATGCCGGCTGCCGAAGCAATCAGACTTCTCGAGTCAAGAACTGGAGATTCCTCCGGACATTCTTCCGATAGTTACGAATCACTTTCCGAAGATAACGATGAATAAAAAAGGCACGTTTATTATATAGTTTTCAATGGTGACACTGGTGTTATTTAATCAGAACAATCAGAAAATGGGAGAACACCGCCTAGCTCTTCTTCAGAACAGTGACGTTTCTAATTCTGTCTAGCGACTTGACATCAAGCTTCTTTTTGGTGCTGGAACTGCTTTCTTTTCCCTGAACAATCCTTATCTCGCAGTCAGGAACAAATCCGTTGTTTCCAAAGTCAACAATCTGCATGAGATCTCCTTCAATTTCATTGTAGAGGGAGAGAATGTCCTTACATTCCAGATCATCCGTATCCGGAAGCTCATCTGCAATATCGACAACCTCCTTGACATTATACTCGTGGTTGTCAAATGTTCCCTCTCGAATTCTCTGCAGAGTAATGCTTTCTATTTCGCTGTCCTGTTTTGATGAGAATGGAACAAGCGGAGGCCCTTGCTTAAAGTCGATTTCCTCCTGCTCTAGTAAGCTATTCTTTGGCCTTTTTCTCACATCCACTTCTCCTGCATACTTCCATTCCTTTGGCTTGACTAGAAGCTTCTCTATCTCTTCAATACGTTCGTCCATTTTAACGGCTCATCCGGGGCTTTTTTTATATCTGGCAGCTAAAAGACTGCACAGTTACCCTTTTTTGCGATATTCTATCTTCTTGGCAATACAGTTCTCCTTGCACTCAAAGAAGTCATCCAGATGCTTACAAATAAACTTAATCCCGTCGTCCTCGGCTCCTGGCGTAAATTCGGGGCAGCAAATAAAGTTTTGGGTATGAACGGACTTGTCAACACTGTCATCCACAAGAATACACCTCTCAACACCAATACCGTGATTTCTTGCAACAACATTCAGGTCTTTGACCCATAAGTTGCATTCAGACTCAATCTTGACTTTCCCAACTTTGCAATCAAGCTGTGAGTACCAATCCAGGAAACGGTTAAACCCAACAAGCTCTAAGTGTTTGACCAGATGCACCGCATTTTGCCTCATCCCCGTCGTCCACAGCACATAGCTAGTGTTGTGCGTCTTAAGAAACTTTATCAGCAGGTCCAAGTGGGGACGGTTGTAAATGAGATAACTCTTGAAATTGGCGTCCGGCTTTATGCCCATGGAAGCAAGCTCTCGGTGCTCCTTTTTGGCCTTGTGGTACTTCCTCAGCAGAGTTCCACTTATGTCGAAAACTACTAGGAACTTAGCCATCGATTCAGGGGAGAAAACAAAATTCAATACTTGCAAATCAAAAATAGCCTTCATGTGCCTTATAAAAACATCGGAATTTAATTCTGTATAGACCTGCTTAGAGGAAACAAAGCCTCGAACTTCTTCACTATAAATTCCTCGCTAACACTGAATTTCTCTCCGGCTAAAGCAATTCCCTTGGTTAGCAGCTCATTACGTAGCTCAGACAATGTCTTGACACTCCAATTTTTCGGGAGCATTCCTCTCTTGGGCTGAGGAATCTTTGCCATCGATCTTAAGCTATTGAACCAATTCATTCTATCGAAACACTCGGTCTCTGAGCTGCTGAGCTTGTGTCTTTTAGTTTCCCCCAGGATTCGATTAATGGTCTCTTCAAGCCCTTCTATGTCTTTGTCCCCGAGAAACTCGACTATGCTCTCCCTGTTGTCGTCCGTTATTCGGCCAAACATCATTATAGCTTTATGAAACAGATTGTTGTCTTCACGGACCTCCTTCTTCCTGCTCAGCGTAGAGACAATCTTCCTAACCCGTTGGTTCATGTCCTCCATGTTCTTGTTCCTGATTGTTTCAGGATAGCAGTCATATCCATACTTCAGCGTCAACTCAACAAGCATCCTGTCGTCATCGTTAGTCCATCCTCTGACTTTCTCCACTGAGAGATCCTCTGTCTTCAGAAGCGAGTGCAAGATCATAACCACCTGGATCCGCAGCAGAAATCTTTCTCCATATTTCTTATATACATCCTCAAACTTTGAAAACAACGAAGGATCATAGTTATCAACAAGAAACTCTTCTATCCCGTCAGAGAAGTCTGATCTCACCTTAGTGCTTTGGAACTGATCGACAACATATTTCACAAGATACCTGAAGTACGTGGCCGTGTCCTTGAAGTGCTTTGACTGAGGTAACACACGTGCTTCGTCATCCCCCTTCAAATCCTCCTCTTCCAGCTTTGGAATCTCAAGCCCAACAGACCTGGGCCCAAATCTGAGAACTCCAAGGAATATGAGTAGGCACTGGTTCTCGTAAAATACATTCTCATCCTCGTTTTCAAGCTTTGTGTTCAGAAGGCCATCAATCTCAGAAATATTCTCTTGAGTCAATCCTCCTTCTCTGGCAAGTCTTCTCATCTGTCTCTTAATTCTTCCCTCGCTCTCCTCACTCTTCTTCTTGTTAAGAAGATTCTCCCAGAAGTCGGGGTCGTCAATGTCTTCCTCAACCTGGAAAGATGCCTTCGAAAACACATTCCCTCCGTCAGAGTGCTTCACAATCTTTGTCCTTCTCTCAAGAATTTGATCAATGTCCTCCTCACAAAACTTTCTACTAGACGCATCGTCAGTCTCCATCAGGACCCCATAGGCTCCCTTCCGCAGAAGAGTTTCTATGGCATCTTTCTTCCGGGTCTTCTCGCTTTTGTGTTCCTCAAAGGTCATTCTTTGTAGCACCGCACGATCAAGTCCTAGCTTCAGCCCTGCTTTATCAAACATCTCTCTTTCATATGTGTTCTCAGTCACCAACCTGTACACCTTTACTTCGCTTGTCTGCCCAATTCTATGGCACCGAGCCTGTGCTTGGAGATCATTCTGAGGATTCCAATCAGAGTCGAAGATAATCACAGTGTCCGCCGCAGTAAGATTTATCCCTACGCCGCCAGCACGAGTGCTCAAAAGGAACACAAAGACATCGCTTGTCTTGTCGCTGAACCTATCAATTGCTGCCTGTCTGTTCTCGGTTCTGGCTCCCCCATCAATCCTCTCATACTTGTACTTTCTATATGTAAGATATTCCGCAAGGAGATCCAGGCATCTAGTCATCTGGGAAAAAATAAGCACCTTATGCCCATTCTTCAGCTTTCCCAGGAGCTTGTCCAGAAGCACAAGCTTTCCACTGCTCTGGATAAACACTTTGTAGTACTCGTCAATGTCGCTTATTATTCCGCCTTCTTGATGCTCGTCTCCATTCAGCACATCAGAAGCTAGCGTTATATCATTCTCCGCTCCCTCAGCCCTATTCTTCTCCCTCTTCTTCTTCAGATATCCGCTAAGTATCTGCTCTTCTGCTCCCTTGATCAGGTACGGGTGTATACAGCACTTTCTTAGCTCCATCATGACATTAAGAAGATTCGGCGCAGAGTCCTTCCCTCCTTTGGTTAAAAACTCGATGTTCTTTTCAAGTATTGCTCGGTAAAACCTTTTCTGGATCATCGTCAAGGCAACCTCAATAATGGTCTCTTCCTTCGTAGGAATCGATTTTTCAACATCCTCCTTCATCCTTCTAAGCATCAAGGGCCTCAGAAGCCCTTGGAGCTTCTCGACATCGTTGATGTTTTCCATCTTGAACTCCCCAAGGAAGTGTGGAAGGCTCGAAAACCTCACAGGGTCTATGAAGTTTAGCAGAGACCACAGCTCAGAAATGTTGTTTTGGAGCGGCGTCCCACTCAATAGCACCTTGTGGTTGAACTTCAGAGTCCTCAACACAGTTGCTGCCTTCGATTTTGCATTCTTCAGTCGGTGGGCCTCATCAAATATTCCCACAGAAAAGTGGAATTGGCTTAGATGCTCCTGCTCGGCCATGACAGTATCATATGTCGTGATCAGCACATCAAATAATCTAATCTCGAGATTATTTTTCTTTAATACAAACTCATACTCGGCTATCAACGCTCTTCCAGGCCTATTTTCATGATACTTCAATACCCTTAGGTCGGTCCATGCTTCAAATTCTCTTTCCCAGTGCGGAATAATACTAAGAGGTGTCACAACAAGCACAGGTGCACAGTAGTCGTACTTTGTAAAAAGCGTATTGATGAAGGTCACGCTCTGAACCGTCTTTCCCAGCCCCATCTCATCAGCCATAATGCAGCTCTGTCGATAGTACCACCGATTCAGCAGCCAGTTTAGCCCTTCAAGCTGGTACTCCCGGAGCCTGTTTTCTCCCTTAAACACAGGCGACTCGTCGTACTTGATGAAGTTCTCCCTCGACGGCCTCCACTCAATCCCAACCCTCATGTTCCTAATCTTTTTTCTATCTCTGTATTTCTTAAGCTCCTCCTCAAACCCCTCGCATTTCGTCACACTCTCCGCAGTCTCAAACGTCGACAGTTCATAAGGCTGGCTCTTCCACTTCACTAGAAACACTTTCTCTCCATCGTAATCCTCATGAAGTATTCTATCCACTTTCAAAAAGTCAGGGTTGAAGGGGACCTCAACAGCCCTGAACTTCTTCACCTTCATTGCCCCGACCTTTGTGGCCATGATCTCTTCCTTCGGAACCCAATCACAGTGGAGATAGCTTTTGTATTTGAACTTAACAAAGTACTTTTCACCCTCCGCATCGTACTTCAATAGCTTCTCAATTCCATCTTCAGACTCCTCGTCGGCTTCTTCCGTGCTGCTCTCAGACTCCGGTATCGACGTTCTCTTGACCATCGCCGCATTCCTCTTCTGTCTCCTCTCGGGGATGTAAACACTCCTCTCCTCGCTCCTTTCCCGATATCCGCTGGTCTCCCGAGCCCGTGAGTCCTCTCCTTGGAGAGAAACACTCGATCCATATCCATAACCATATCCTTGATTGAAATTAAAGGTGTTGTAGAACCCATGCTGGATTCCTGGAATCATACTGTGTGCAATCCCCGGCCCTATTGTTGGAGCATATTGGTATCCAAGTGGCGCTTGGTAAAGCATAGGATTGAAGTGGCTTTGGGCTGGTCTGCCACCCTCATTTTTACGCGGCCTTCCCCTTTTCCTAGGCATCACTTTCTTCTCGCTGGACTCCTCGCTAGTGGTAATGGAACTTGCAGTACTCTCACTCTCTGAACCCATGTTTTGGGGCCCCATTTTTTTGCTTTTAAAAATTTATTTGCCTTTGCAGAAGACCTCTTGGCTATCACAAGCATCCCCAATGCTTCGCTCTTCGTGTTTCTTGCAACTCTGCCACCGCTTTTCCTTCCATTTAAGTGAAAGTCCTCAGAGTCCAAAATTTCCGAAATAAAACCCTATTCAACAGAATCCTCGACCTCCCTTAAGCACCTTGCATCTAATCTTCATCCTCCTTCTGTATCGTCTCTCATATCTCTGTCATGTCCTACCGAAATTAATCAATAAATTAAAAGCGACTTCGTTTACAAGATAATATCTAAAAGAACAAGAGAGCCTCTGTCAAAATTTCTGCAAAATCCTTTAATCTAAACTCTTTTCTACGGAATGCCCATTCTCCTCGGCTTTGTATAGAATGTTCCCCTCAAAGCACTTTTCAAATACTTTAAGAACCTCGAGGACAAGCCTGGGGCCAATCTCCTCCAGCTTCTTCCCTATTTTGTAGCACCGGACCCAAATAACACCGTCGAGATAGAAAAAGCACAAGGCCTTGTCTTTCGTCTCGTTAGACCGGAAAACATGCTCTATAACACTCTTCACGTGCCCCAGATGCTCTATCTCCTCAAACTCCTTGCTGAACATCAGAACATATCCACAGTCCTTAAAAGAGTTCACAGGAAAGTTGCAGTCCTTCACAGTAAACAGGCTGTATATCCTAAATACAGCAGACATTCCGTTGTGTATCCCTATCCATAAGTCGTCAGACCTCTTCGTAGATCGGAAGAAAAGCATAGAGTCGCATTCATTTAGTTCCATCAGACTCCTGAGCTCCTTGTAGTCCTTCCCCATATCCCATTTCTGCTCCTCCTCAACCTTCACCAGCTTAGAAATATCCCTCATAAGATGTCGTATCTTTACTGATGCTCCTCTTGTACTCAGAATCACGCTAGTCATCTACCCTTGTAACAGTAAAAAATCTTCTACTTTTAAGCGTTTTATTCAGAGAGCTATAAAAGGCTATTTAATTATCGGGCCGGGGACCTTTCGTTCAAGAGCATCACAGCTTCAGACTCAGGCTCATCTCTTTTCCAGCTCCGCCCCCTTCTCCATCACCTCCTTGATGCTGCGCTTGACCTTGGTGATCTCAACAAGCTTCTCGGTAATCGTCTCCCATTTGTTCTTCTTGGTCCTTCCAAGCAAGGAAATCAATCTCTTCAGTGTTGAGATCTCAGAGGGCGTCCAGCTGTTCATTCTCATCATCTCCTTCATCTGCTCCTCAATGCTCTTCCCCACCCTTGGGTCTCTCTTCTTAGCAATCTGGACAAGCTTCTTGATTCTCAAGGCATCCTGATTCTTCAGAAGACTTAGCTTCTCCTTGTTCTTTATAGAATATTGTGATCTATCATATTCCCCCATGTTGTAGAGCTCTTCTACAGGTTCAAAAGTCCTCCAAGACTTAAAGTTGTTCCAAAACTCGTAAAACTCTAAGGCCTTCTTAGAGTCATCATTTCTGTCCAGTAGGGGAACAGGCTGGTTGATACTAAACCTGGCGTTTCTTTGAAAGCACTCGCCAAATACATCAAAAAACTCGTCCTCGCGATAAATTTTGTCCTCAGGAATACTCTCGTCAAAAAAGTTGGAATCGTAGAACAGCCTGAGCTTTCGATCTCTAAACACGTCTCTTGCAATCTTGACCAGCAGAAACGCCTCTCGGCAGCCCTTAGTCAAGTCGGGATGGTATTCATGCATCTTGACCTTTGCCACATGGTCAAGGATTCCGGGGGGAATGGGCTTTGTCCGATACATATCCAAGTCAAGTAGAAGATACAGGTCGATACACCTTCCCCATCTTTCAAACTCCTTCTTTGTGTATAGATTCAGGACATTCCTTCTTCCAAGGTATTCCTCATGAATTCTTGCAAGCTCTCCAGTTGGTCTTTCGTATTTAACGATCCAATTGAGCATCCAGGGGAAAAAAACCCGAACTTTAAGTTTTGGCGAGGAGGCTGGGCCCATTATAAACCTATAACTTTAATTCTTCTTATCTATTCAGCATATCATGTCCGTAAAAGACTTGAACAGTGCCTTGCACTCTGCATCAGATGAGATCAGTGAGCTTGCCTCGCTAGTAAATAGTCCATCGGGCTTTTTTGAGCTTAGCAATGTCCTGATGTGAGGCTTTGCACAGAGCCTGATGTAGATCCTCAGTGCAGCCTTCACAAGCTTTACAGACCCGACGCTGACGCCTTGGGATGCCAATGAATTGAACATCAGGTTTATTGCTGAAAATCTATCAAATGTCTGGCATGCATAGTTAAGCCCGTCGTCACTTCCTATTATCAGTCCAAAGACATTTGCCGAAAGTAGCTGGGATGCTTCCGAGCCGAGGTCAACTATTTTGAGAAGAAGAGGAACAACCTCCGTTGTTTTTAGCTGCTTGTGGATGTACTGATCCCCATTCTGGAGCAGCGATGCCACCACTCCTAAGGCAGAGATTCTCAGTGTCTCATATTTGGAGTCGGAATCGGATATCACAAGGTATCTGTATATGTAGTAAGGAAATCTAGCATCAACAAAGACCCTCTTTATCTTGGGGTCGCTCACTAGTATCTGGAGAATGTTCAGAACAGTATACAGTCTGTGGTATTCCATCTCATCAAACATGTTTGTGCTCAGAGTCATGTAGGGCGTGATCACCTCCTGAAGTAGAAAAACAGGCATGGAGTCGTGATTCCATATGTCGGAAGACAGCCCGGGCGATTTCTTCAACTCCTCAAACAGCTCATTCATCTTGTCCACATCCTTTGAATTTGTTATGACCGACGTGCAAAGATCTGACAGCCTTTTCTTCTGAGTTTCCTCGTACTTATTGTCCTTCTCGGTATCTTCCATTCCAGGGTGGGGATAAATGAGAATTCCAATTTGCCTTCACTGCTTCTTCTTTTGCTTCGCCTCATGATACCTGACAACAAGCCACTTCAGCTTCTCAAACAGCAGCATGTTCCTTAGCGTGCTATATCTTGGGCGCTTGTACATCCCGACTTCCCTTAGTGTCCTTTCGTAGTCACGATTCCACGTGGTTTTATTGAATCCGAGCGATGATGCAAGAAATGCATTCGGATACGTAAGCTCTTTGTTTATAAGTCTCCTGATCACAGCGTTCCTATCCTCTAGCTCGTTTATGTTATAGATGTTCACTTCGTTGAAATGCGCCGATAAAACATCATCTCGGTCTCTTCTAATCGACTCTATGTTGTTAAGAATTTCCAAGTACTTGCATGTTGTGGAATCGTTTGAGAACTCATAGCCCTTGTCATCTTTCTTCTCCATCTTGAGAGAAGGATTTAAAGAGAACATTATCTCACTAAAATCCTGTTTATTAATTAAGAGGGCCTAGCTAAAACGGCCTATCTTCTCGATTAGCTCGGGCTCTACTCTCTTGACGGCCTCTGGAGACTCAAGATATGAATATATCAACGCCAGTGTTCCAGAAGAAAACATGGAGAGGAAGCTGTAGACAAAGGTGATCAAAGGAACACACACGATAGCGATCGTGACATATGTGAGGTCGTTTGACTGGAAGCTAGGGTTTGCTGAAAGTAGAGCAGTATCCCCAGATGCAATGAAGCAGATAAAGAACAATAAGCAGAAGAAGATCACCTTTCCTATGGCCATGTTGCTGAGAAGAGTAACACCTCTCTTTTCTTCAATTAAGTTATAGGACTTGCTTACAGACTCTGTGTATTTAGTTCCATGAACTGCAAGGTATGGAAACACCAGCTCGTTCATCAGATTCACGAGGTCTCCAATGATATTTACCAGGCACAGCAAGATTATATTAATGATGCCACTAGAGCCTCGCTCTCTGTCTCTGTCTCTTTCTCTCTCGAGAAGGAACTTGGCTGTACTCACTGCAGCCATGATCAGGCCTGCAAACGAAATACTGCCGAGTGCCATGAAGGCTATGTAGAAGGACTCCTTGAAAGACTCCTCTCCATTTTTCTCCACATGGGTGGTGATGATTCCGGACACGGCGACCTGGGTGAAGTATATTGTGTTAAAGAATGTCCAGTAGCTATTCAAAATGAAAAGAATGGACATGATACCTTTGATTGCGCTATCGTTTCCAAGTACTCTTAGAAATATGAAGCTTTGGATGACTTGTAAGGACACAGATGCAAGAAGAAGAACCGTGCACCCTATGAGATTCAAGGAAAGTATTTTTGCAGTGGCTTCTATCATTGGAGCCATCAATGGAAGAACAGGCTTTATAGACCAGAAGTAGAACATCAGGGAAATCCCGAACGTGATGCCTGCGGAGAGAATAACAAATGGATTCAGAGTGAGCAGTGAAAGGAAAAATATTGCTGTTGGAGCCACAACGTTGGCGAAGAATATGAATCCTTTTGCAGCGTACCGAAATCCTAGATATGCCACCAACAGAAACACAAGCATAAGGCCCACGTTGGTTGCTAGAAACGGGAGGAGAGCTTCTTCGTTGTACTGAGGGAGGCTTTTCATTTCTGATACCATCCACGATGTTGTCAATGTTGTGAGAATGATGTATAAGACGAATGCCCATGCATCATGGAAATGTCTGCTATCTCCTTTCGTTTCCTCCATTTTATTGTTTGTTTTTGTCGCAGAGTTTATATAGTGTATTTCTGAGAATATGAATGTATGCTCAATTGTTTTAATGATTGGGGAATTGCCATTTTGGATTGATGTTTGGACGGACCTATTGAATGGTATTAGGAGGGAGATTCTGCCCGATTTGGTGGCGAGTGTTCTGCCATGCAAGCGTTGTTGGTCTAGTGGATAGGATAACAGCCTTCCAAGCTGTCGGCCCGGGTTCGATTCCCGGACATCGCATTTTGCCCTGCATCGGATAAGCTCTTTTTACATCCTTGTTTCCCGGCAATGCTCCGAGCAAGCCTTCCAAACTAAACTACATTCTTTACCCTGAAAGAAAATCCTTACATGGGCGACTATGATGCAATAAACGACGAGATAAAGAATTTTCTAAGTCTTACAGACAGAAGCCCGTGCGAGGATGCCCTTCCAGCCAAGGATATAAAGACGAGCGAGGAGAACATCTCCTCCCTTGTAGCCCTTCTCACGAGCCTGCAGAATGTGTACAATGAGATCAACACAAACCTTGCTGCAGGGGATAATGAAGGGCTCAAGAATGTTATTCTAAACAGTGATGTCAAGATGTCTCTTGTATGCGAGTCTCTCATGAGGGTGCTGAAGGATGTGTCGCAGGAAAAAGGCGAGCTTGTGAAGAGCGAGGAGGAATACAAGGAGAGGATAAGGAAGATGAACGAGGACAGGGAAGGTTTTGAAATCAGAATAAACAAGTTAGAGAGTGACCTCGAGTTTTTCAACCGGGCAAACCAGGAGCTCAGCAGGATCATCCGGGATCAGAAGAGTAAGATCCAGGCCTTCAAGGAGAAGGCGGATCTCGAGAAGAGAAACTGTGATAGCTTCCGATCTATAAATGGGGAGCTAGAGATTCTAAGGAAAAAGGCGTTAGAGAAGTGCGAGGTCTATGAGAAAGAGGTAGGGGTGCTGAAGGAGTATATAAAGGAAAGGGGAGGAGAGATAGAAAGGCTGAAGAACGATGCCAAGCAAGGAGAGGTAGAAAGAGAAGGTCTCAGCAGAAAAATAGTAGGCCTTGAGAAGAGTAATGAGCTGCTTCGGAAGAAGCTGGAGATGAAGGAAAGTGCCATTGGGATGTGCAATTCTGAGCTATCGAAGTTGATTTCAAAAGAAAAGAGGGTTGAGAATGAGGTTGAGAAGATGAAGGAAAGGGCGTCCTATTATGAGAGGCTTTACAAGGCCACCAACAGCCAAAACGAGTATCTCAACAGACAGCTCTCGAAGATGATACGGGACAGCGACAAGATAGAGGTTCCCGAATACGATCCAAATGCTCAGGAGGAGATGACGGCGATGTCGAATGAGAAGAAGACCAACGATTCTGAGCAGAGCGACTTGAAGAGAATTAAAAGATACAGGAGACGAATCCAGGAGCAAAAAAGGATGAACGAGAAGCAGAGGACAGAGATGCAAGACCTGAGCCGAGAGATTGAGGGGCTTAGAAATGAGGTTTCAAGACTTCAAGAGGAAAGGACGAGGACGATTGATGCAAACAGCAAGATCATGGAGGAGCTTATGAGCAAGGTTGAAAAGCTGCTAGAGAAGAACAGGGAATACCAGGGGGTTATCTATGAACTCCGAGGAAGGGGTGCAAAGGAGGATAGAAGCAGGGTGGACTTCAACGAAAGCTTCAGGACTGTGAACGATGGAGAGAATGAGCAAGTTGAGAAGGAAGATCTTTTCATTCCCCAGGCTTCTGGAAGAGATGAGGGGTGGAGAGGCGGAAATGGAGTAAGGCCATTTGCACTTGAAGACGATTACGAAGAAAAAGCAAATGATGGCTTATATGACACAAGCAAGATTTATAGGATGGGTGTCAGGAATATACCTTCAAGGTTGAGCTTCCCAAAGAAGGACGAAGCCGATGGAGAGGTTGCTGAACAAATCAAGCTAAATCTTCCTGACAGTTTTTTTAACAGCCTTGCAAATCCCAAAAAAGAAGTAGACCTGCGTAACGAAGAAGGCCTGCTGGTAAGAGAAGAGGACACTAGAGAAGAGCGTAGAGGGACAGAATATTTGGATGACCCATTTGACAGTATAAGCAATAAGAACCTTGGTAAGGGTGTGGAAGGCAAAGGAGAGTCTGACGCAAGTGGCACATCACCGAAAACTGTTCGCACAACCTCTACTCTGCATGAGATGCTCAGAAGAACAGATGCTTTGCAAGAAAAGTTCGACAAATTAGAAGACCATCTCAATGCAATAAGGAATAGCGACAAGATTGATGCTGAGAAGGTTCATGACCAGATCAAGGCCTATAAGAACTACTACTACTCTGATTACCTGGACATGTCAAACGAGTCTGACGTCATCTAGGCTTGTATCAAAGGTGGAAGGGTTCAGGGGATGCGATGTGTTATTTGAGAGATGGCATCATTTCTACTCTGTCTTTTAGGTGTGGGTGATTGGTATTTGAAACTTATTTGGCAATGCCTTTATCCAACCAAAACAAAACAATAGATTTCAAACCTGAAAAAAGGAGCTATGGAATATAAAAAAGCCTAAGGTGATGCGCCCATGGATAAGGAAACTGTGAAGGACATTCAGAGGTCCATTGCAATGAAGCTGAACAGGGTGGAATATACCGAAGTTCCTCTGATCAGTGGATATGCGGACGCGGAGGATTGCTACAAGAAATTCCGAGACGGCCTCAAAAAGGTTTCTGATAGTATTACATGGCTGATGACATATGAGCATGGAGGAAGTAAGATGAAGTCTTTGTACTCGAAGATGAACATGATAACCTCGACGTCAAGGCTTGGGAACTTTAAGAACTACGATATCTACGAGCTCAACGGGCTTGTTGGGCTGGAACTCTCAAGAATTGGGCTGGCTTCGAATGTTAGCGACATTGGAAGGAAGTACTCGAAAGCACACATGGATATTTCACGATACAAGCTTGAAATGAACAAGAAGCTTGAGCAACAGATAAAGAAGATATCTGAGCTGAGGGATCATTCGAATGCAATTGACAAAAAAAGAAAAAAGGTCTCGAACATAAGATACGATTTGGAGATGATGAAGAAGTCCAAGGATCCCAAGGCGCCTGACGCAGTATCTCAGGAAAGTGAGATGGAGAAAACATTTAAAGAGACATCGAAGGAAGTTCTTAAGGAGATGGAACGATTTATTGGGAATGACGGGGTATGTGGGGTACTCCAGAGTGTTGCAGAGGCGCACAGGGAGTTTTCTGAGAAGAGTTCCAAGGTGCTAGGAGAGGTCAAATAAATGTTTATTACCTACAAAAGCTCTGCTAGTTCTTTTCTCTATTATTGTCCTCGAAGACATACTTTCATGAGCTTGCCAGATTTGAAGGTTTCTGAATGATGTCTGAGCGAGATATTTCACGGGCAGGGTTAATGTTGAACTTGGGATGCCCGTAGTCGCAGTCTGGCCCTCTTGGACAAAATCCGAGGAAGTAGTTGTAGCACAGCTTCTTTCTGACATGCTTGTTCTTACACGATGCACCGTTCCTGCAGAACCCGCGGTTATACCAAGGGCATTCCTTTGAGGAACTGTTTGGATCTATGTGTATGTAGTTACACTCTGGATTCATGCATTCTCCGTAGCTGCTGAAGAAGTAACACTCCGGCATTCTTGAGAGATCATATTCGTGCATGAATTCGCACTTGATCCCTTTCTTGCACAATCCCCTAAGCCAATGCTTGCAGACAACAGCTGTGCTCAGCTTGACATGCTGCTTGGAACAGTTTGGATCCTTGCAGGAGTTTGTCTGGTATGGAATGCAGTAAACTTCATCTTCTTCATGTAAGCCCAGCCTGTCTGAAACGTAACTCTCGAAACTGAATGCCGGCTCTCCCATGGAGGGGAAGGAAAGAGAGTTTATATCCTGTGTACTGGAGCATGCGATTAAAAAACAACAAAAAAATAGCCCCAAAATGAAGTTATATGGAGTTGTAACATTATGCCTATCATTGCTGGTAACATGCACCTCTGAAGTTTCTCAGCAAGCAGCGGATGCTACCCGTAGCATACAAAGGCCATATGAAAAGGTTGTGGAGCATGGAAAGACATGTGTTGGAAAAGTATGCTCTCTTCTTGAGAGGGGAAAAAGCATGCTCTATACTAGAATCAAGAATGTGATGTCTAGCATTAGAAGCAGGAGTGAGAAGGCCCAGGAGGTTGTTGGGCCCGAAAATATGCAGGGATCCGAGGAGGAGGCATTTGACCTGTCTCCCGAAGATATTGAGAAGCTAATTGAGGAAATCAAGAAGAAGCTTGCTGGGTACATGGATGTGACGGGAGAACAAAGCGAAGAGGAAAAGAAGGAGGAAGAGAAAGAAGAAGAAAAGAAAGAGTTGTGAAATTGTGCCACTGTTTGTTTACTCTTTATTAGTAAATAAACGTAAGATGTTCCTTATTTATTTTAGATAGTTAAGCAGTTCTCTCTACCCTTATGGATGGAATTGAGTGATAGTTGGGAAGAGGCCGTTGAAGATAAGTTAGAGCTGGTTCCAAAAAGAAGGAAGGCTGCCCGAAGGGGTGTAGACATTAAGATCGAAATGATCCACAAGGTTCTGTGGCTTTTCAGAAAGATAATGTCTCCCGTTGAGAAGCCGAGTATAAAGGAAAAGACTGACTTGTATATTGATGAAAGGCTAAGAGAGTATGTGGATTCTATGGAAGGTCTTGGGGAGGTGGACAAGACAGCTATTCTATTCAGGCTTCTGGTTTTATTTGGGATTCCAAGTAGGATATACATAGTCTTGTCGGAAGAGCCCAGGTGCTTTATTGAAAGCAAAATCCTGGGAAGAATCAAGGAGCACCATGGGAAGTATGCAGGCTGCGTTTTTTCTATTGATGCAGCCCTAAGGGTTAGGGACCAATCGTACCACTTTTCGAAGTCTATAAGGCGGCACTCTGCATCAAAATATGTAGTCTCTGGGTTCTCTGAGTCCAAGATATGCAAGAGTGTGCTGGACAAGGAAATGACCAAGTGCTTTGACGAGATTGACGATGAGAGGATGGGTAAGATTCCAAGCACCATTGAGAAGATGAAGAGGCATCCTAAGTTTGTTGTTGAGTCTATGCTGAAATGGGATCAGTGTATCTACCCCAAAAGGCCGGTTTTTGGTATCTTCCGAGGAGAAGCTGTGTACTCTCGAGAAAACATAGTAAGGCTGAGAACAAAAGAGCAGCTTTACAAGGCGGGAAAGGATGTCAGGTCTGCAAAGCCCTATAGAATAGTGAGAAGGGACAAGGAGATCCGATTGTATGCGCCATGGCAGACATGTGAGCTGGTTGTCGATGGATTCAGTGAGTCTATGTATCAAGACTACTTCCATCCGAACTTCATACCGCGGAACTGTGTGTATGTAGATAACAAAAATGCAAAGGATGTTGCATATCTAATTGGAATTCCATACAGGATCTGTTTTCACGGGTTTTCTGGGGGAATCCCTGTCAACAGAGGGATATTTGTAGAGAAGAAAAACCTCTACGTGCTTTCAAACTTCCTATCGCAATACTGTAAGTACGCTGAGATGAAGGAGAAGAATGAGTCCTTTGTATTGGGACTGAAGAAGTGGAAGGTTTTGATAAGAAATGCAGCTAGGTACCTGAGAATAAGAAAAGGGTTGGGATTAAAGTGATGTTTGATGTTATTTTTGGCTACTTTCATGTACAAGACAAAGCAGATGTAGGCAGGTTTTTATAGGAAGCCAAGAGACACCAGGATGCTCCTTTGATAAATAACAGGAGATGACAGCTGAATGTCCATTTATGTATAATTATTGTCAAATTTTTCTCCAGGAAAACCTACATAAAGAAAAAAAAAATACCCCCTATGTCAGAAATAGTTCAGGCACTTGTTATTGATATTGGATCTGGAGTGGTGAAGTCTGGTTTTGCAGGAGACGATGCGCCAAGGGCTGTGTTTCCTAGTATAGTGGGGTCCCCCAAACACAAAGGAGTGATGGTTGGAATGGGGCAGAAGGATGCATATGTGGGAGACGAGGCACAAACGAAGAGAGGGATTCTTCACATAAAGTATCCGATTGAGCACGGGATTGTAAACAACTGGGATGACATGGAGAAGATATGGCACCACACGTTCTACAACGAGCTAAGGGTTGCACCTGAGGAACATCCTGTTCTTCTCACTGAGGCACCGCTCAATCCAAAGGCCAACAGAGAGAAGATAACCCAGATTATGTTTGAGACGTTCAATGTGCCATCATTTTACATTTCCATCCAAGCTGTCCTGTCTCTTTATGCAAGCGGGAGGACGACGGGGATAGTGTTTGATTCTGGAGATGGTGTTTCGCATGTTGTGCCTATTTATGAGGGGTATTCTCTTCCATATGCAATCAACAGAATTGATCTTGCAGGAAGAGATCTAACAGACTACTTGCAGCTCATTCTCACTGAAAGCGGGAACTCATTCACAACGACAGCCGAGAGAGAAATAGTTAGAGACATCAAGGAGAAGCTCTGCTATGTATCTCTGAACTACGAGGAAGACATGAGGAACACCGAGCATTTGGCTTCGATCACAAAGACTTACGAAATGCCTGATGGGCAAGTTATCTCGATAGGCAATGAGAGGTTCAGGGCCCCGGAGCTCTTGTTCCAGCCCAAGCTCCGTGGACTCGAGTTGAAGGGAATCCATCAGAACATTTACGACTCTATCATGAAGTGCGATGTTGACATCAGAAAGGAGCTTTACGGAAACATTGTTCTTTCTGGTGGTACCACCATGTATCCTGGGCTAGCCGAGAGAATTCTCAACGAGATCAAGGCTCTTGCGCCACCAGTGATCAAGATTGGAGTGGTTGCACCGCCCGAGAGAAAATACAGTGTATGGATTGGAGGGTCTATCTTGGCATCTCTTTCTACCTTCCAACAGATGTGGGTCTCTAAGGCTGAGTACCAGGAGCATGGGCCATCCATCGTCCACAGGAAGTGCTTCTGATTAACGCCTGGTCACTAAGGTGTCCTTGCTCTGCATCAAGTACCTCCAACTGCTGGTATCACTAGGTGTTATTGAAAACATTCTCAATGAATGATTTATCATGATTGTCTTTAGATCATTTTATTACTATATAATCTATTCTGTCACCTTAATGATAAATGAAATCAGTCAACTTCATTAAAGCAAAACTTTTCCTCTTGTTTATATGTTTGGGAAGGAGAAGTGTGGAAATGAAGATGGACTTTTAAGATGCAATGACAACGAAAGAAAGGGCCTTGGATACTCTTCAGACCTCGATGCCCAAGACCAAGGGAAAAGGGGGAGGCGCCCCGGAATATCTTATGCAGACCTAATAACGGAGGCCATAGAAAGCAGCTCAGAAGGAATGCTGACGCTCAAAGAGATATACTCCTACATTTCTTCAAAGCACCCATACTTCTCTCTTAAGAAAACAGGATGGCAGAACTCCATCAGGCACAACCTAAGCCTGAACAAATCCTTCTATAAGGTCCCGAGAACGGCGGTGAATCCAGGAAAGGGCTCGTTCTGGAAGATAAACTACGAGTTTCAGAACAACAAGGGCTCTCAAAAGACTTATAGATCTAGGAATAAATATTCATTCAATAGTCATCGCGATGCAGAAAAGAATGTCAATTCAATATCAGAGCTCCTTGGGGCGCAACAGGGATTCTTCGACAACATAGGTGTTACTGAGGTCCCTTTTGAACGCCATACAACCATCTTTGATGGAAATTTAACAAGCCTCAGTGACTGTCTCGAGCATAACTATCAAAAAGAATACTTCGACCACAACGACGATATCTCAAACGCAAACTACATCTTTTCGTTTAGATGATAGAGAAATAAATTCAAATTAGATGTAGCATGTCTTGTTTGTATTGCCCTGGGCATATTCCAGGAAATCAAATTTCCGGCGCATCCCTTGGTAATGAGTGGAGCGCTGACAGTTGTTCTAAAAGGGGCCAGAGTGACATGTGAGAATCACGAATGCGACGCGGAGTTCAACAGATTCCACAGAACACTTCGGCTACTAATGGACTCTCCTCTGAACAAGTCCAAGAAAATGCATGTTTATGTGCACACAACTAGGAATGTGCTTGTCGAGATTAACTATCTCCTCGAAGTTCCTGAGGACCCTATCGAACTCAGCGATGTCATGTCCTACCTGCTTAGAAGGCTAGTTATCAAATCGTCTGACGGGACCGTTCTCGCAAAGGTGATAAAGAATCCAATAGAAAGCCACCTTCCTCCAAACACCACGAAGGTCATCCTTTCCTCAAAGGGGTGCAAGATGTCTTCTAAGGACCTCGAGCCATACATGGAAAGAGGGCTTGCCTTCTTCGTTGGCCTCAGAGAAGGGGAGAAGAAAGAGGCTGAAATCAGCATGAAGCTGTCGAACTTCAAGCTTTCACCAGAGAGCTGCTGTGTCAAGCTAACAAATATGTTTGAGGAGATGCTGGGGATCTTCTGATCTTGGGGCAATCTTCAGGACCTACATCTCGGAAGGATGACGTAATCACTTGAAACAGTTCCTTAAGGTGCAAGCCCAATCTGAAACACAGGGTTCAAAACAATTGTTTCGCTGGAAATAGATTTTATTCTCTAAAGTGGGTCTCCTGCACAAAATGTTTCTGCAAACTTTAGGATTTCTCGCCTTAGTGCTCAGGCCCATTAAAGGATCATACCAGCAGCCAGGAATAAGCACAACCAGTCAAATGGTGGTATTAAAGAACGACGTTAATCCAAAGCCTGAGTGCTATCAAATATATCAAGGCCCAATGCAGGCACCTGTTTGTGCTACGTTTTCACAGCCAGCAATGACAAGTGGAGTAGTTCCTCAGAGGACGGATAAATCAAAACTCAGCCCAGATCTCGTGAGGCTAATCCAATCAATTCCAGGGGCATCAGAAAAGTTGTCGAGCTTCTTAGAGTACAAGGGAATAACACAGCCGTGGCCAGAGATATTCGACTTTAGCTCAGACAAGCGCTACGGCCTCCCTGCGCCAGAGCCCATGTTCTCCAAGATACAGTCCCTGCTCAACGTGCTTGAAGATATAAAGGAGCTTCTGTCAAACGAGCTGTTCAAGGTGGAAACCTATATCAGCAGAGGCAAGGGCCATCTTTGTGAGAGTATCAAGAAGCTTAGAAGGTACGACGGGATTCTGAAGAAGTATCTGAAGAAAATATCAACTGCAAAGGCAGCCAGGTCTAAGCACAACTATGCAACCAAGTATACAGAATTTAGCGAGAAGGCCCATGAGGAGGCAAAGTCTTACTACGAAACCAAGAAATGGTTACAGACAATAGTAACTCTATTCAGGTCTCTTATTTAGCGAGTATAGCCGTTTGTATTTGTGGATTCTGAAAGTGTGCTCTCCCTGATGGCACTCTTTGCCGGTGAATCAGATTGAAATAATAATTTAAATAACATTTTATGGTTCCATTTGCTCTTTTTTGAAATCGTTGAATATTTCCATCATAAAGTTCAGGTCCTTGCTGTCCTCTACGTCTTTTCTAAGATGCTTTCCTTTGAGTAGGTTGAACGGATCGAACTTCCTCTTCTCTATCATCCTGTCAATAAACGAGCTCAGAAGCCACATTGAATTTCCCATCCTGCATCTGTAAATCGAATAGTTTGTGGGTGCAGCATAGACATGTCCGTGGATTATGTAGTACATTCCTAGTGTTTCTATGGTATCTCCGTGGTTATATGCCTTTCTGATCACAAACAGTGTTTTTTCATCGTTGCTGCCTTCTAACTCATAGAATATCCCCACCATTGAGGAGAGTTTGGACTTCTGGTCGAGCCCTTCTGAACTGTGTCTGCATCTTGAGTATCTCATTGTTGCACGATCTGTCGTAGAAGGGAGACCCCGAGAAGTACTCCAAGATATTTGTATCGTCAAGAGGCCTTGAACTGAGGAACCTCTGGTCCACGAAGCTGATGCCCTCTTCCTTTTCTTCCATCAAGGGAGTTGCTTTCCTGCTACTTTTACAAAAACTGTTGGAAATACACCTAGAAAGACATTTACTCTAACTTTTTATTCTTCAGAGACCCGGTCCGTTTGGATCTGCCTCATTGTGACGGCTTGTTCTTGTCAAGGAAATCCTTGATTGCAGACTTGATGGCATCCTCGGCCAGCATGGAGCAGTGGAGCTTGATTGGCGGCAATGCAAGCTTCTTTGCTATATCTCTATTGGATATCTTCAGTGACTCGTCTAATGTCTTTTTCTTGATCCACTCCGTTGCCAGACTCGAAGATGCAATGGCAGACCCGCACCCAAAAGTCTTAAACTTTGCATCCTCAATCACATTGTCCTTCCCCACCTTGATCTGCAGCTTCATCACGTCTCCGCAGGCAGGCGCACCAACTATTCCTGTTCCAACCCTTGGGTCTGCTTTATCAAGAGACCCGACATTTCTGGGATTCTCAAAGTGGTCCACAACGCTTGCATCGTATTTTCTCGTTATTCTGCTTAGATCTTGAGGTATAGGCATCCCGGGGCTGGCACCGTCATTTTTAACTCCATCCTATTCCTCAAAGCTCAGGATCTTTATCGAATCCTCCGTAAGCAGGAACAGATTGCTTCCAAGCGCAATGTACTGGCGTATTTCGCCCACGGCAAACACACTTTTGAATTTGCAGCCGTTCCGCGCCACTTCAACACGGCCCTTCATCATCCGGACTCTCTGGTCTCCACACTCTATCGTGCTTCCGTCTTTTCTTTGCAAAAAGTTGTCATTGACAATCTGCAGTCTATCGTTGTAGATCCTCGACTCTCCATTTCTGTATGTGCACAAAGCCATTCCATCTCCCAGCTTCACATCCACCATCCAGTCAACACACATGTGACACATTATTTCCCTTAGCTTCATGTCGTATTTCTTCTCATTGCTCTTTACAAGATGCAAAAGTATGTTATAGAACAAAAGTCTGCATCTCCGGCTTATTGCTTTCTTCTTCAGCAAAAATATCAGAAGATGGAGGCTTATGCTTCTCACTTTCGTGCACTTGAACCTCTTGTCGTATCTGTAGATTCCGACCGTGCTTCCTCGATACAAAAGAAGATAGCCATCAATCACATAGAACTCATCTCCTGTAAGCTCCACAGAAAACACCTTGACCTTTTCTCCAGATAGATCATACCGATTCAATGAGAAAAGAGGTCCAGAAGAACTTATCCTCAACCTGCAAGACTCTCCCTCGATGTATCTATTGTATTCCTCAGAAACTGCCTTCTTCAATGAACCCTCCATCTCCTTTCCCACTCCGTCGCCAATCATCAAATATCAGCAAACCAAATCAAAACCTTGTCAGAAGTCAAAAAGCCCAGAAACAACAAACAGACCATTCACATTTATTCATGGCCCCAGGCCTTAATTCACAAACTTCCCAACATAGCCATTCTCAGAATCAACCTTCCTGATAGTTGGATCCATGAGATCCCTGTTTCTTATCAGAAATGCTAGCTCCTTTTCTTCTTCGCTCAGAAACTGCCTCCTTTCTTCCTTCTCGGAACAGCGCACTTCTGGCTTTCTATTTTTTTTGCCTTTGACATAGTCTCTTACATTGTACATGTTTCTAGTTCCATCAAAGAACAAGTTGGTATCAGAATACTTTGAATGGAGTTTTTTCATCCTTACCAGGGGTTGGAAATCCGGGATTGGGACTAAAGGCAATAAGGCGCAGAAAGAATCACAGAATGGATCCGGGATCACTATATGGAGGAGATCCGATGATTTCCGTTTCCAAGCTATCTTCTTCTGAGTGTGATCGCACACCTCTTAGGTCCTCCACGCTTTTAAGCTGCTCCAGAAGCATATTACCTTTTCTTTCGTCCGAGAGATTATTGAAGACATCCAGAGATATTCCTCCTAGGTCTTCTCCGCCTCTCCGATATTCTTCAGCCTCTGTGTCGTGGCTTACCTCCAACCCCGAGGAAGTGGGTATCTTGCTAGCCACAGTATTGTACTCTTCAGAAGGCTCCAGAGATTCGCTGTACTCTTCTTGATGGTTCTCAAGGCACAATGGGCACTTGTCGTCTACCTTGTGCTCGGACGTTGCCGTGGTTTTGTGAGATCCTGCCGAGTCGCATCCGTTTTCAGTCCCATAAAAAGAAAGGCTCAGGCTAGATAAGAAGTTCCTTGCATCAAACTCATCCTTGTGGGAATCGCTTTTTTCTATGGGAAGCAGAAAGGCCTCTGACCCTTCATCGTTCTTGCCCTCTGCATTGTGCATATATCCCAAACCCTCCTTGACTTCAATCTTCCCCATGATGCTTGGCTCCCTAAAAGCCTCATTTTCCAGAACTTCGTTCCTACTCACCAGGGAAAGACTGTTCTCGAAATCAAACTGGTCATCTTGCTCTTGTTCGAGAATACTTACGATGTCCCTCGGAACCCCGTTCTTTTTTGCCTCTGCCCGCCTATCTGTAGATGCTTCATAGGTAAAGCTTGAAGGAAGTACCACAGGGATATTGCTCACATCTTCAAAGGGCATTCCCAAATCCTGTACACTTCTGCGAGACACTTCATCGTGAAGTGGCTCTTTCAGTTGAGAGCTCATAAAGTCATATGTGGGAGTTTTTTCCTGGACATCCCAGCAAGCGCTTGACATGGACTCAGAGCACCCGTCGCTTCCACTCATAACATCTCTTAGCCTACTGCTAATGATGTCCTTTCCACGTAGCTTTCTTCTGAGTCTCCTAACATCGTTCCTAATGATCTCGTTGTTAAATTCAATCTTACCGCGCTTTGAATTGAAGGGAACCTTGTAGAGTTCTCCCATTCCTATTTGGCATCCTAGTAATACATCCATCCCAACTTGGAGTGGAACCACCCTCACATATTCAAGGTCATTGTTGTAAACCAAAAGTGGGACAGTCCGCCTTCTGTTCAGCTCGAGAAACCTTAGCAGGTCGTCCTCATCCTTCGAGTAGATGTTCTCTATCCCAAGAATGTAGTCTCCAACAACCATTCCGGCCTTCTCCGCAGGAGACCCGGGATTCACCCTCAGAACTTCCATCGAAAGAAGACAGGCTGCGCTCTGGTGGAACTTCACGCTTATTCCAAGTCTCATCTTGTCTTTCCTTGGTATCTCGAGGATGGATGTCTCCATAGTTCTCATGTCTATCAACTCCAGCTGAAGAGCCTTGCTTTCCCACTCCTTGTTCATTGCCAGCGCATCGTCCTTGCTCTCAATGGGTTTGCCATTAAAGCTGATTATCGAGTGTATGAACGGAAGAACTCCATTCTTGTGTGACACACTGCCTTCTGAAACCTTCAGTATTTGCAACGACTTAATTGTTGATATACACGATCCCATTTTCTTTGGAAATTCCATTTTTTATTTATTCATCTGTTGGGCAGAAGCCGCCAAATGATTGAGCCCCACTCCTCATTTGTTCCAGTAGTACCCACTAGCATTGGCCTGGAGAACTGGAAGGGGCCATCTTTGAAGTCATCCTGTGGACGGCTGTAGAATGCTCTAGGCAACTAAGGACTTTTACTTAATTATTTTTCCATGCACACCCGCTTAGCAAATGGAGAAGGAGAGCGACATAGAAAGACTTCAGCGCATGCAGCAGTCATACCTAGATGAGAAGGAAAGGCCCGTGTCAAGTGTTTATGTAAAGAATCTGGATGCTTCTGTTACTAACTCGGACATTGCCGCACACTTCAGATCTTGTGGAAATATATCCGGAATAAATGTCATCACAGTAAAAAATACCAGGAAGTATGCAGTGGTGGATTTCACCTCAGAAAAGTCGGTAGAAATGTCTTTGCTCTTCAATGGATCTGTGTTGAAAGGAAAAAAAATTGTTGTTCAGAAGAAGAGAGAAGCAGATAAAAGATGATTTTTACTCGCTATTTTACACCTTTGTTTTTCTCCTCTTAACCCCGCTTGTATCTTGGTCCTTAGGTCTGCTTCTTGGCCTGTCATCAACTAGCAACGGCTTGAAGCAGATGTCGTCCCTGAACATGATGTATCTGATGGAGCTTCCCCTCACCGTGTAAGTGCCCGCAGGCTCGCCATCAACCATGGCGTCTTCTATCTCTACATTCATTGTCTTGTCGACAGAGACTATCTTTCCCCCAACTTTTCTACCTTCCTTCGTCTCAACATTAACCTTCTCACCTTTGCATTTCCTCAAAAACCGTATGAGCTTCATTTCGTGGGTGGCCCATTCTGAAGAGTCATTACTGCTCCAGATCGAGATGGCCAATCCCAGCAGACCAACGGATTAAATTTTTTAGCTTCTCACCCATAATGAAGGAGCTTGTTGATGTTTTGTACTACGACTACATCCTGTACAAGCTGGCAAACCTGTATACATTAGAGACTACTAGCAAAGAAATAGGCCAGTACCAGAAGATAGCGCAAAAGCTCTTGGTAAAGCTCCGTTCAGATAAGGTTGTTTTCGACACCGAAATAGGCTTGAAGTTCACATACATAAAGCTGTACGACCTCCACTTGTCCTTTCCAAAGTGTGCAGGAAGACTCCATGCCTCCTGTTGCCAAGCCCACTATATGCAATTTCTTAGCACTTCCTACGACTACCTCACTAAGATCATGTCAGAGTACTCCTCTTTGAAGGAATGCGCTGCGTTCAACCGTCTTATTTACACTGTGGTAGCAATGGGCTTTGTGAGCTCCCCCACACTAGAAGAATTCAAGAGCTTGAGTAAAGAGGAAAGCCTGGAGTCCATGAAGCTGTGTCTCACTCAGCAAGGAATCAAAGCTGAGACTGAGGAGGACTTTGCCAATGAGAAGGAAAAGCTGCTCAAGACATTCAAGATAAAGGCCAAGGATGAGAGTAGCCTTTTCAACAAGACATTTCAGCACGTGATGGATGAGCTCAAGAAGTTATTTCTGTCCTTTGACATTCCTCTCCTCTCATTCTTCGGAACCAGCGAGGTGGTACAGCTAAAGGAGCTCTATCCCAATGCATTTGAAGGGTTCGAGGGGATCCCGGGATCGTTAAAGAGCTACAAGGAAGAGATATTGAAGGAGTACCTGGACATGAGGAGTTCTCTTAACAAAACTAGAAGCGCATTCATAAATCCTAAAGACAAGGGAGAGAAGATATTATGGGGATCCGATACAAGCCCGTCAGAGCGATAGCTACCATGATCACCTTACTGTAGAAGACATGATTATGCCCAAGATGGATTATTGCCCTGTTATTTTCCAAAAATTTATTACTAAATTTACTGCCTCGCTTTTTTCTAGGTGTCAAAGAACCGCTCCACAACTCTGCTGTCTTGTTGTTAAGAACCGATGTCGAAGACATTTTAAATTGACATTATTTATCCCGGTCCTTAGGTTCTGGCTCATTTCCTATGCGTATATATTATGGACCTTTTAATCTTGAAATATGTCAATAAAATTAAATTAAAGACATAATTCATAAATCGAAAAGCTTAAATTCGCTGGAGAGTTCACCCTTAATGAAAGGAATACAGAGCCTGATACTCATCATGTTTTTGATCTTTGGCCTTGTCCATGCAGCAGATAATGAAAAAAATGATAAGGATGCCAAGAAAGAGGATAAGGAAGGCAATGGTAAAGATGATAACAAGAACAGTAACAGCGAAAGCTCAGCTCGAGGACTTGGAACAAGTCTTCTCGGACTTGCAGCCATTCTTGCCATTTGCTTGGCTAAATAAACCTTGCTTTTGAATTTGTAATTGATTTATTTGTGTTTTTAAGTAACAAGGCAGTATAAAAATACATCTTTATTCCTCTAAAGCCTCGCACCTATCCTCATCTCCAGCTTGGATATGACCTCGTCTTTCCTTCTGAGCTTGTCGACCACTGCTGAATAAAGATCCTTTATTTTTTCCTCATTCCTTCTGCACTCATTGAACTTCTTTTCCAAAGCCTGGTTGCTTGCCTTCAGCTCTTTATTTTCTTTACCTTTCTTCTCAAGATATCTTTTACAGACCTCCAAATCTTTTCTGGCAATGTTAAATTCCCTGGTAAAGTCCTCCAGGAACTTCATTGTTCTCTTATCCATCACATCCTTATTATCCTCTGCAAACCTCATCGCCTCGTTAGCCTCCTTGTCCATTACCCTCATCTTTCTAATGGCCTCCTTGTATGTGCCTCGGAATTTCCTTACAATCTCGTCAAGTGGCTCCAATGGATCCACACCAAGAGCCTTGAGAAATCTTTTATTATCCTCAGTAATAGCAGCCATTCTTCTGTACTCTTCGACCTTATCTTGGAGCTCCTTGATCTCGTGCAACAAGGTGTCTGTCCCTCCTTCTGCGCCATTCCAGCGCCTTCTTTCTCCAAGCGCCTTCGTTGCCAGATCCACTTTGGCTTCTATGCTGCTTGCCATCTTTTCGATCTCTCCCAATCTTCGATCGCATTCCCGTCCCTTCTCTTGGAGAAGATCCTTTAGAAACATCTCAAGCTCCCTTGACCTTTCTAGGTCAGTGGTACACTCTAGACACTTTTTCTTGAGTCCCTCTATTTCCTCCGTAAGCAGCCCTTTTTCCCTCCTTACTTTTTCCAGCTCCCCTTTAATTCTGTAAAACTCAGAATTTCCAGGCACATCCTGCGACACTCTATACGACAGAGCCCTCTTTTCATTCTCACAAACCTCAAGCCTCTTCTTTAGATCATTTCGAGAGGTCTTCAATTGCTCAATCTCCCTTCGCAGATCTTCGTTTCTCAATGCTAGCTCTTGCTTCTCTCTTGTCTCTCGCATGTAGTTCTCCCCCATCTCCTTGAGATACAGCTCGTTCGATTGCTTCTGTCTGTACATCTCCTTATACTCATCCTCCATGGTTTTGTAATACTCCCTCATCTGGTTCATCTCCGCCTCCTTGAGATTCATCTTCTCTTCAAAAGACCCTACAACACCCTGAAGCTGCGATATCTTATTGTTGTACTCACTTCTTTCTCTTTCACGCTCATACATAATCTGATCCTTTTCCTTGTTACTGTTCAGAAGAGCATTCTTGTAGGACATTAGTTCCTTCTCAACCTGTGACCTCTCCTCCTTCTCGCTTGCCATCTTCTCAATAAGGCTCTTCTGCTCGTCGATTGCATTCTTGCTTCTGTTGAAGCATTCCTCTAGCATCCCATTCTCCTCTCTCAGCTTGGCATTGACTCCGTTCACGCTTTCCAGGTGCTTTAGAAGCCTGCCGTTCTCCTCCTCAAGCATGGATATCTTGTTGAGGCACCCCTCCAGGTCCTCCTTCAGCTTGGCTTCGGCATTTTCCTTCTCCTTCCTTGCCTTCTTAACCATTTCGTCCATCCTTTCAACTTGCTTGCTGAGTTCCTCGTTCTCACCCTCAAGAATGTCTATTGACCTTTTGCTATCGAGAAGGAGCTTCTGGATATCCTCCTGGATGTTTCCCCCAGAGCTCGCCTTGTAATGAGAAAGCTGATGCTTGATCTCGAAGTTTTCGTTTCTCAGCTCCTCAATCTCTTTCTCGTAATCCTTAACTGTCTTAATCCTTTGCAAAGGATTGAATTGGAGCGAAAATGAATGTTCTCCCATCACACGGGTTAAGGGTATGTCTTCCTCAACAAAAATCCTAGGAATTACTGGAAGGCAGGAATGGTCTTTGATAAGTACCGCCGCTTTTGTGTGTGATCTACTATGATTTCAATTCTTCCTGGCTACCCCACAATACTAATGGGAAACAGGCAGTCAAAGGTAAAAAAATCTCCCCACGAAATCCTAAGCTTGTCTCCTGTATCTACCAAGAAGGAAGTGAAGGATCGCTATAGAACCCTCATACTCGAGACCCACCCAGACGCACAGAAGGTCCATTCCTCTCAGGCGCCGAAGGAGGCAATGGAGATAATGGAGGCATACACATCCATCATAAGGTCTCCCCCGCAATTCGAGTTCTACACAGAGGAGCTCTTCCGAGAAGACCTTAGGAAGTATGCTGAAGACTTCTTTGAGAGGATATGCGACTACTGTAGAATCCCCGGCGCACCAAAATTCAGCGATCCAGACTTCGAAAGGTTTTACCAGATATTCACCAACTTTAGAACTCAAAAGGAATTTACCACCGAGGAAGAGAAAAGCGAGTTCTGCAGGAACGTCAGGAAGGTGGCAAGAGTTGTAAGGAGCCTGGACAAAAGAATCAATATAGATAGCTTTTCTGTCGAAATCAATGTCAAGCCTCCCAGGCCGAAAGAAAGAAAGGTCAAGGACCATCCTTTCAACTGTAGTCACTGCAACAAGGGATTCCATTCTCGAAACCAGATCATAGACCATTTCAGAAGCAGAAAGCACTTTGAAAGAATAAGCATGGTTTCTGGAGATCCAAAGAAGTACATAGAAAATCAGGTGCAAGAGATTTCCTGCCAGAACGAATCTGAAACAGCCCAAAAGCCTTGCATGGAAAAAGAGCCAGAAGCTGTGGAAGTCCACGAGGTCAAAGAGAAGAATGCCGCTAAGAAAACAGGCTCCAGACAAGAACCCGCTCCGTTTAGAACATGTGCAGAGTGCAGAATTGTGTTTTCTAGTAGATCAGAGTTACTCATGCATCTGAAAACAGGCCACAGGGAACTCTAAAAACGAATTTAATAATAAATAGGTCGTGTCCGTGGAGAAGATCAATAGCTCCATTTGTAAAACGATCCATCTCTCATCTTAACTACGCCTACAAACACCAGACTCTTCAAGTGCCTGTCAAACTCCTCATCGAAGTCATCCTCTCCATCCATACGATCTTTCATTGCCTCCTTGGCCAGCTTTTTCAAACTTTTATACTCGAGCTTCTTATCAAGCATTCTATATATCACTCCACTAAGGTTCACTTCAGACAAATACAGTTCTGGATTGAGAAGAGAGGAGTTTATGGAAGAAAACACGTCTGGTGTAAACGAAAGGTCCACGCCCCGACTGCTCCACACCCCGGTCATCCCTTTCTCAATCTCCTTGTACTTCTCGATCCTCTTGTCCTCCACACTGTCCGGATATGTCACAAACTCAAACCTGCAATGCTTGAACATGCTCATCTTGTAAAAAAAAAACTCGAAGTTTACCACATAGAATAGAACTTCTCTCTCGAGTAGGAAAAGCTCCTTGAAGGCCTTGAGCGTGGTCTCTCCATTAGTAAATTTTAAGACGTATCTCCTTTCAGGCTGTATTTTGTATGCTTTCTGCACATCCGAGATGATCTCAACTCCAGGAATGTTCGGCGTCGAAACTATCTTTATAATCATGGTGAAGGAATCCAAAAATCAAGGCTAAGATAGAAGATGGCTGAAGAGATTTGGAAGTAAAGCTGGAGTTTATTTTACATGATACCCCAGAGGTATATGTTTAGTTTCAAAGTGCCTCATTCCTCTAACCGATTGCATATCCAATTTATCCCCCTATGAACACCTAGAAATGCCTTTGATTCCTCGTAGAGAATAAACTCGATCTTCCCATGCCCTATCTCATCACAGGTCCTCTTGAGCTCCTGTACAGACTCATTCCCATAGATATTAGATCTGCAAAGAACAACAATAATGTCTTTTGTCTTCGTTGTGTCTTCGTTGATGAGCGCAATACACTTCTCAACCGAGCTTTTGCTATCTGCATCTACTGCAAAGATTACTCCCGCTGCAAGGCCCATGTGGATTCCCCTTATCTCATATAGATCTGCATTGTCGTCTAGTGACTGAAGAATCAGCTCCATTCCGTTTGCAATGCAGGTGTCTTCAGAAAAGGGCCTGAGGGACTTGTCCATCTTGTAGTTCGAAATCGAATGCCTCAGGACATGCCTTTGGTCCTCCTGCAATCCTAGCAATGTAACAACATACTTTTTCCTTGTTGCTCCACAGCATAAAGTAAAGATCCAGCTCATCGTTTATGGGCAAAAAATTGACAACAAATAGCCTTCTTGCCAGATCTCCAAAACCTTGCATATTAGAAACTATTTATTGATCTAAGAGATCCTTGACTTCGTTTTTTAGGGCCCTACTCTTCTCTATGAGTATCAAAACCGCCTTTTTTAAGAGGTACAAAGGATCTAAAAACACACTGTTGATTGTGAAGAGGAAGTAGTCCGACCTTCTTCCAATAAACACCTTGTCCTTGAATTCATCGTGCCTAAGCGCCTCTCTGCTCATCGTGTCCAGCCGTGGGTTGTTGACATAGGCCTTCATTCTTCCGTCGCTCGGCCTCACGTCTATAACCCCCTCGGAAAAACATTTCTGAAGCTTGTAGGCATCTTCATCAAAAACGTCTCCTATCTCAATGAGTGGCATGAGTCTATAGGTTGCAGGACACACAGGACTCCACTTCGCATGCACCTTCCCTATATTCTTGGTGCACACCAACTCGGCACTTATCCTCTGGCCTCGGGCTAGCTTGAACATGAGCACCTTGCTGCTGAACTTTACATCCTTCAAAGTCCCTCTCTGGCTTCCAAACGGAATCCACTTGATGTCGTCCGAATACACATTAAGAACATCCTTGCTTTCATTCTTAACATCAAGAACAAACCTAAGGGAGTTCCTCTCGTTCAGTTCTTTCTCTGCAAACTCAAACATCTCGGGATCAGCCTCCAGAGGAATCAGCCCTAGCCTGTGTGCTATAAACTCATCTGGAAATACACTCTCGTTTTCCTTCAGAAGAACATCTCTAACAGCCATAGTGGGAATGTCGTTACAAAGTATGCGCCTCAGAGCATTGGCAAAAGAACAGTCAACATTGATCAGATCAAACTCCAGTCTTTCCTTGGTATACTCCGTTATGTTGATCTCAATGTCATTCAGCACTTGCTCAAATGACTTTGCCTCAGAGCAATGCAGATCAACCACTGTTTCTCTCTCCAGCTTGTACATCTTCGACATATGCGCGTAGGGCAAAATTTTCATTGCGTTATTCCTACCCTTTTACTGTTCAGCCTATACTAAGAACACCTTAACCATTCCGTCTCCTCCGCCAGTGGCATATCTGCTTCCATCCTCATTGAAGGATATTGCACTTACCCGCCTGCCATGCTCTTTGCTTCTTTTCTTGACATTAAGCTCTTCTCTTTCAATCCTTAAAGTTACTACGTCACCAGACTCAAGCCCTATAACCAGGAGATACTCCTTGGGTGAGAAGCATAAAGAGGTAACTTCACAGTCAAATCTCGACATATACTTCACTCTGAATTCAGGCCCTTCATAGACAAGCACACTCCGGTCTCTAGAGCACGTGGCAAGATATTTCGAGTCATAGCTGAAGCTACAATCCCAGACAATTCTCTTATGGTCCTCGAGTCTTTGGGAAAGCCTGATACTCTTATCGACATTGTAAACAGACACAGTCTTATCTTTAGAGGCTGCTGCCAGATGCTTTCCATCACATGAAAACACTAGTCTTTCTATTCCATAATCGTGCACCTCTATGTAATCTACAAGCTCAAACTCTCGGCTCCAGACAAAAATCCCAGAGAACTTCTTCAACGATGACTTGTTGCAAGAAACAATGAAGTTCCTCGACACCGCCACGTCAGATACATCGAAGTAGTGTCCATAAACTTTCCTTATCTCGTTGAAAGTCGTTACTGACAATAGCTGCTCATTGAGCGACTCAAATGCAAAATCCTCCAGAACTTCATTTGTTAGAGACAACTCTGCACAGGCCGCTGCAAACTTCAAATGATCGATTGCGGGAAAGAAGTCGTCTATAGACTTCCCACTCTTGGAAATACTCATCTCCTCAAATGACTCGATCATGCTCCTTTCCTTGGTCTCTGCATATATGCATGACATGTAAAACACCTGTGTAGGCTCATAGACCCTCAGAATCGTTTCCTGTGCAGAGCTTATGAACTGGAGGCTGTCGTTGTTCAGAAACCTTGCAGAAGTCAGCCCATACCCATGTTTCTGGGGCCTCCCGACCTCGTGCCCCTTATAGAATATCCTCGATGTCATGTCAAGCGACGACGTTAATAGGAATTCCCCTCTCCAATCGATGGACTTTACTTCACCCAAATGCCCAGAAATAAAACTCTCGAGGTCGTCGCTGAATTTGTAGAATCCCCCAGAGCGGGACTGCCCTATAATCGAGCTTCCAATCACCATCACATTGAAAAACGCATCCTTCCCTCCAAATCTCATCACATCCTCCCACTTCGACTTTCTCTCCCAGTAGATTATGGAGTTGTCTGCAGATGAGCTGAATATGTCTCCTTTCTCTGTCCAGAATAGCCCATAGACCCAGTCGGTATGGCCATTGAGGGTCTGTAAGTGTTTAACCCATGGATGCTCATCAATAATCTTCCATATCTTTATGGTTTCGTCCTGTGAAGACGTAGCAACATATCCCTCTCCGTCTATTAAGGCAGACCTGATGTCTTGAATGCTGTCCTTGTGTCCCTCAGTTTCATGCCACCTTATACCATCACTCATATCAAGTAGAAAAATGCTTCCCTTCCTACTTCCAGCAAATGTCCTGCCGCAAATCGTTGTTAAGCATGTAGGAACCCATTCGGTCCTTATCTTTTGTCTGATAGTGCCCTTGTCTATATCATATATAAAAATCATATCTATTGTGCAGAACATAGCCCACTGCTCATTCACAAACCCCACTGCTTCAATACAGCTTCCAAAATTGCACTTTCTGATCTCCCCGTCCCTGACTACATATCCTCCTCCAGAAACATCACCTATGGCTATCATGCCATATCCATACTCAATCACATTCACATCGTCATCCATGTGGAGAACAGAAAGAACCTTCTCCTCATCAGCCGTGACAACATTCGACATAGATCCATAGACTATCCTATCTCCAGCCATAACAGAAGCCTTTGGCTTTGCCGTACATCCTGCAGATATAAAGATAGAATCCATAGAAGCTAGAGGGATAAAAATTTGGAGCGAAAAACTTCTGCAATCTGTATTTATTCTAGATATATGGCCTGTAGAATGAGTCCTCATCCTCCAGAACCTTTACGAACCTTAGAAAGGGCATCTTCCAGCACTACAGACAGCTTGGCCTTGTCATTAAACGTCTTCTCAATGTTCCTAATCAACTCTCCAAGGTTGATCCCATGACTCTCCATAACCATGACGTTTCTTTGAATCCACACATTTTCAAGTTCACAATACTTCTTGTAAAGGGAAGGATTCTTCATGGCCATTCTTTTTGTTTCCTCAAACACCTCGTTCACCACCTTCTTGAGCAAGATCTTCAGCTCAATCGAGTCCGGATCAATGTCCTTTGTCGTCTGGACAACCTCGTTTGCAAGATACAGCAGGTTGAGCCTGTGGTATGCACTGGACTTCCTATATACAAACATCCACCCCTCCACGATCGCCCTGTAGTCTTTCTTAAAGGTCCTTATGAATAGCCCAGCTGTCTTCATCTGCTCCTCAGTGGGGAGTAAGTTTATTAGTGACTTCAGAAGATATTCTTTGGATAGCGAGGCCATATTCGCAGGGGTAGCACAGATCGTATTTATCTATGCGGCTATTGTAGGATGCTGGAAACAAGCCCAAAATGAGAAAAATGGAATCCCCGCATGTCCACCAAGGTCGAGCTATACATGGAGATGGGAACGGTGGTAACAGACCACGAGTACCACACAAGATATATTCTAAAGAAGCTTCTTGGAAGGGGAGCATATGCACAGTGCTATCTAGTGGAGATAGAGAATGGGGAGCAGTACGCCATGAAGGTGGTCAGGCTGAAGGACATTAAGAGCCGAAAGGTGCATGAGAAGCTAGAGTCGGAGATAGCAATACACTCAAGGCTAGACAACCCTAATGTTGTCAAGATGTACAGGTCGTTCAGGAACGAGGAATATGTCTTCATGGTTCTTGAGCTTTGCGAGCGAGGGGCGTTGGATGCTCTGCTGAAAAGAAACGGAAGGCTGAAGGAAAGACATGTGGCAAGGTTTGTCAAGCAAACTGTCGAGGGCCTTATATACCTCCACGACAGCGTCAATGTTGTGCACAGGGACTTGAAGCTTGGAAACCTGTTTTTGGACTCGAAGTTCAATGTAAAGATCGGGGACTTTGGACTGAGTGCAGTGATAAAGGATGGAGAGAAGAAGGTTACGATGTGCGGGACGCCGAACTACATAGCACCCGAGGTTCTGTTTGGAAAGGCGAGCGGGCATTCCTTTGAGGCCGACATATGGTCTCTGGGGGTTATTATATACACACTACTTATTGGAGTTCCTCCGTTTCAGAAGAAGAATGTAGAGGACATCTACAAGATGATAAAGCTCAACAACTACATATTTCCGGAGAACTGCGACCTCTCGAGCGAGGCGATTGACCTCATAACACAGATACTGAACACAAATCCTCTTGAGAGGCCAACGCTGCAGAATATTCTTGGGCATAAATTCCTGTCAAGGAAAGAGCACTTTTTGATGAGGATATACAGAAACCTGGTGATCAACAGAACGCAGGAGGGTGTTGTAGACTCCGACTACGTGCTTTTCAGCATCCCTGTGACGAGGCTAAGAGGCATTGGATATGTTTTGAAGTCTGGGGTTTATGGAATATATTTCAGTGACCATAAGAACCTGATGCTGAAGCCAAACAAGAAGAGTGTGATATACCTAAACTCTGCTGTAGAGAATGGGAAAAGGGTGTTCTACAAGGAGGAGCATCTTGTCGAAAAAATACCTGGAGAGATTCTGGAGCTATACAAGGGCCTGCAGTATTTCATCAGAACATTTGATAACGGATTTAGCTTTCTGGATGTAGAGCCTTGTTTTATTGTGAAGATAAGAAAGATAGAGTGTGGGTTTTTATTTGTGATGGCCGATAGCACCATTGTGTTTGACTTTGTTGATGGATGGAGAGTAGTGCTATCGAGGTGTGGAGAAAGGGTTTCGTGCTACAATGGACTTGGGCTTGCCTCATTTAGTCAAGAGATAAGAAAGAGATGCATAGAGATTCTAAAGAACTGTCTTGGATGTGAATGAGGCGCCTTGGCTTGAGCTATAAGTTATATGTGGAGGGATTTGGTTACGATGCCTGTGTACTGTTTCGGAACTTTGTATCAAAGCCAATCAATAAAAGAAGATAGATTCCAAGATGTATGGAAGATGTGGAGAATATAAAGGCCTCATACAAGATGCTGAAGTGCAAATGTGTTTACCTGAAGAGCTATCTAGAGCACATTATCACCGTGTCGAAAAGATCCTCCGACCTTCTTTTCCGTGCACTCCAGATTCCAAGGGATACTGCATGGAATGACCCACTGCTTATGCATTGTATAGAGATGAGTGAGAAGCAGAGGGCTGTATTTGATGAAGCAGGAGTACTTTATGCAGAGATGCTATTCAAGGAGCTTGACGGGCTAATTACAACCATTGTCAACGACATTCGGATGATTGAGGAGGAGGTGAGGACGATTTCTGAAAAGCCTGCGGAGGGGCTGAAGGAACTGAGGGCGGCCAGGAACAAGCACATGGAGGCCTGGACGCATGGTAAGCATGATCCTTGGCTGACGGAGCTTGGGCTGAAGAGGGCTGTGAAAAAAGTTCTTTTGATGGACGACGAGGCAAACCATCTGATGCACAGCAAGATCGGGGTGTTTGCCACATCTTTGCAGGGGGCCGGAGAGAGATTCAAGGAGACATTGATGAGTTTTGTTCGGATCCAAAGGCAAAAGTATCAGAAGCTTCGGGACTCTACAGATGTGGAGATGAAGGGATATGATGAGATAGACAGGTTTTTTGACACTGTTTCAGAGTCGCCGAAGGAGATGAGAGTGGAGACCAAGAAGGAAGAAAAGCTGAAAGAAAAGGTTGATTCATCATTCGAAACATTTGTGGAGGGCATCAGCAAGGAATTGATAGGGAAAGGGATAACTGTCAGAAAGAATCTAGAGGTTTCGAAGTCCTCTGTATGTAAGGTCAAGAAGGGGTATACTGGAGACTGGATCACAGCATATGTGGTAGTTACCTCGACGGGGTATGCGCACTTTTTCGACATTTGGGGGCTGCTAAATGAGGCTGAGGATCTTAAAAATGCTGTTGAGAGATTGAACGGAGGGGCTGGCAAGGGCCTTATATCTATATTTGATGCAAATAAGCCCAAGAGCGAGCCTGGAGAGGATAGAATGGTCTTTGAGGTGAATGCCAGGATTGGGGAGCTGGTTGAGACGTTTTCAGGCCCTACGACGTCCATCTATCTAAATGACAATATTTACGAGCTTGATAGAGAGAAGAGGCAGATTTCTGTCTGCAACAAGCACCAGAATGGATTTGCTAGCTTCTTTGGGGTCAGTGAGGTGAAGATAAAGCTCTTCACGCTTTCGAATGCAATAGAGATATTCCATGCATTCAAAAACAGGAATTTACCTGAAGAAAATGTAGTTGACTTTTCCGAGAGTCCTGAGAATGTGATTGATGAGGGAATAGGGTTTAAGGTCTTGTTGCAGGAAGAAAATCCTTGGGTGAGTGGATGAATCCTGGCGTCCTGTATGGCTCAAAGATTATACAATTGGTACCGATTAAAAGCGACGATTTACTTTATTGTATTGGATGTCTGATAATGATTTGGCCTGTTAGCATTCTATTTATGGTTTGGAAGCAAATTGGATGAAGAGGTATTTTTGGTTGGCCTCTGGCTGCATTCAACAGGATGGTTCGAGCATCAATGCAGAGATAAGATTGGGCGAGTCCGAGTGCAGGTAAAATTAAAATAAATAAATAAAGATGCAAAGTTTAGGTCCCTAGACTCAGATGGATAGTGCTTTGATGTCAGACAAAAACCTTAAGAAGCCTTCGAAGCCGGCTTACTATGGGACGGCTGGATACAGGTCGAAAACCTCGGATTTGAACAACATATTGTGCAGGGCGTCTCTCATAGCTTACCTGAGATCAACAACATTTGCAGGAAAGATTGTCGGGGTGATGATTACTGCAAGCCACAACCCTATTGAATACAACGGAATCAAGATCATCGATCACAATGGAGACATGCTGGATGAGGTGTGGGAGGAATACAGCGACAAGGTTGTGAACTGTGACGATGATAAGCTTCCCAGAGAGATGAAGAAGATCCTAAGGTCTTGCAGCAACCAGAGTGAGCTGGGGGAAGGGGTGACAGCCCATGTGGTTCTTGGAAGGGATACTCGGGACAGTGGGAAGGATCTATGCGACAACATCAAGTCTGTTCTGAGTAAGTTGAATTGTGTAGTGGATGACTACGGGGTTGTGACCACGCCCGAACTCCATTTTCTTGTAAGAAGGTGCAATATGGAAAACAGGATAGTTGGCAAGGAGGAATACATAAAGAACATTACTCGTAACTTTTCCAAGCTACTTTCCATAACGAAGGGAAACCTTAAGATGATGATAGACACTGCAAATGGAGTTGCAGGAATGAAGATCAAGAAGATAGATGAAGTGCTTGAGGGGAGGCTGAACTATGAGATTCTGAACAGTCCCACAGGGGTTCTGAACTTGGACTGCGGTGCAGACTTTGTCAAGACAAAGAAGAGAGCGCCGAAGCTGGAGGTGTTTGAGTCTGGCAGGTTTTCATGCCCACCCAACGGGATCTGTGCTTCTTTTGATGGCGATGTAGATAGACTCATATTCTTTACAGGCTCAAAGGACATAGAGATATTTGACGGAGACTCCCAGGCAGTCTTCCTTGGCCTCTACATAAACTCTCTTTTGGAGAAGATAGGGTCGAAGCTTAGCGTTGGGGTTGTACTTTCCTACTATTCAAACAACGCTGCTGTCGATGCTCTTCCCTCCTCGTCGTTCAAGGTTGTGATGGCACAAACTGGGGTCAAGAACTTTGTAAGTGCAGCAAGAAACTTTGATGTTGGTGTGTACTTTGAGCCCAACGGACATGGGAGTGTTTGTTTTTCGCAGGCGTGCATAGATGAGATAGAAAGGGGAAGCAGTGAGCACCATACGATTCTCAAATGCCTAGTCAATCTATTTGACCCGTGCATTGGGGATGCACTTGCCAACTTCATGGTTTTCCGAGCACTCATGGTGAATGCAAGTGACCTCAGGAAGTTCAAGGAAAACCCAAGCAGGCTCCTGACTGTTAAGATTGTGGACAAGAACAGCATTAAGGTTGATCAAAAGAACCATGTCATCGAGCCAAAGGAGCTCCAGGACAAGATCGACATGGAGGCGCTGAATCTTGGGGGGAGGTCTTTTGTCAGGCCTTCTGGGACGGAGGATGTTGTAAGGGTATATGCCGAGTGTTCGACGGAAGCAGATGCAGATCTTCTCTGTCTTAAAGTTGCACAGCATGTTTATGACATGTGCAATGGCGTTGGAGACCACCCTGAGATTGATTATACAAATAAATGAGGTCTTGGCTATGTGTTGTCCCCGATATTTGCTTTTTGCATTGCTCTTTTCGTAAAGATTGCAATGCTGCTGATAAGTAGGAGTCTTTTAAAGCATCTTGGTTGGAAGCCCTTTAGGGGCCATGAAAAGCGAAGTCTCCCAGACATGGCCATATCCAATAGACATTGTAGAGTACTTTGGAGAGCTTCCCAGGCACTCGAAGGCACAGCTATATGGTGCACCCATATTTGCAGTATCCTTTCTTAAGATCTTTGACGAGAAGACTACAAGGTTTATATTTGACCTGGTGCTGAAGTCACATTCCATAAGCTCCTTAAGAGAGATAGAGGGGATCAAGGAGATCTTGAAGACTCTGCTACGGATTGAGATGATTGAAAAAAAAGGAGACAACATATACTTGGATGAGAGCCTGCGGAGATCACTGATGGAAGGGCTCTGCATACTCACGATGGAAAAGCACTACAAAAACACTGGAAAGGAATTAGAAATCGATGAGGAGGAAAGCAATAGAAAGTTTGAGGCTATTCTGAAGTCCATTGTCAATAGAGAGTGCAGAATACAGGCATTTGGGATTGGGGAGGTTCTTATGTTTGGAGGTCTTCTTGGGAAAGACAGGAACATAACGAACAGAGGGTTCGAGTTTCTTCTGAAGACAAAGAAAGAACAGCTGTGGTGCCTTGTGCTCTTATCTTTGAAGTATTTTCTTGGGTCTGTGGACGAGGAGATCCATGCGCTTGAGGCATTATTTGAATTGAGCACAAAGGCCGTTGGGATAGCATACCATCGAACTGACAGGATGGATGCGAGGCTGCTGAAGTATCTTGAAGCGTTGGGGATTCTAAAGCTTTATAAGGAAAGCCTTGCCATTGGAAAGTCCTTTGTGCAGCTATTTGAGGCGTCTGAGCGCAATAGAAGGGAGTTTATAATAGTTGAGACAAACAACAAGATATATGCATATACAAACTCCGAGTATGAGAAGTCTGTAATACACCTGTTTTGTAGTGTATCTGTCAACCTTCCAAATCTTATCAAGGGAAGCATAACGGAGGAGAGTGTGAATGTTGCATTTGACAAGGGAATAACTGGAAAGCAGATAATACATTTCTTGGAAGCAAGTGTCAAGCCAGGAAGCCTTCCGCCTGCAATCAGCAGCCAGATAATGATATGGGAGTCCAAAAGGAACAGAATATTCATGGCACCTGGGTACATCTACTCTAACTTCTTGAACCTGTCGGACTACCAAAGGGTGCTAGAGTTCTGTACCGAAAGGAGTTATCTGATAGAGTCTGATGTTGACAAGAGGATGATAGTTGTGAAGGTAGAAGGGCATGAGCTAGTCAAGGAATTCATAAAGACTATTCTCTGAGGAGGGCAAAAGTTGCAAAGATATAGAAAAGCGATTGTTTTAATTAAAGTGGTGGAATCATTGACCAATGGCATCTATGAATTCTTTTACATCGAACGACACCTTACATCCAGCAGCAGCAAGAACTATTGCTTCCCTGTAGGGTGCTTTGTCACTTACATAGAAGATACCTCTGTCTTCCAGAAGAGGGCGATACTTCTCTTCAAGGGCTTTGGAATCAATCACCAAAGATCTTGTCTTGTATGTCCCGGTGCTTGTCTCGACCTCGAGGTGGTTCTCTCTCTTGGAGACATTCAGAATTTTCCCTTCCTTCACCTCGATCCCCATGTTTCTGGACTGTCTCTCTATCAAGTCCATAAGCTCGTTGGGGCCTTCGACTTCCTTAACACCCACGATGCTTTTGAATCCGGAGAAGTCTTCCATGGACTCCTCACATGGCTTGATTATCATTGGAGACAGGTTAGCAGTATGTGTGTATATCCCGCACATGTATGCCCCTGGACCCTGGCCTAGAATCACGACATTTCTCATTCTGAAGGGATTAAAATTTTGTAAATTACTTTGCCTTTGGTATCTGAAACAAGAAATATATCTAGATGATTGATGGGAATATCCTCAATTGCTATGATAAATTTGTTTTTATCTCTAAATAGGGAAATTCTCAATACATAGATCTTGTGTTTATCGATGCGGTGCACCCCAATGTTCGAAAGTACAGATGATATAAGGTTATCTGATATATTGTTTGGGAGCGATGTGGATGCACACCACTGTAGCAAGACCTCTAAGAAGAAGGAGGAGGAGAAGAATATGTGGAAGAAAAATGTCAAGCATTACAAGATCCTCTCTGTCGACCAAATATCTGCACTGGAGGACTTCTTCATTAGTAAGCAGGTGCCGGTGACAAAAACAAATATAAAGCATGCATCAAAGGCACTTAAGATTCCGTACCAGAGATCTGTAAACTATCTTTACAATAAATACAAGAAGGTTCAGGATAATGCCGAAGACTTCTACCACAGATGCATTCACGAGTTTAGCTTAATAATGCAAAATGTGGAAAGGTGCTGGGAGCTGTACCTCAAAGGATGCCAGGCATACAATACTTCTCGAGACAGCAAGAATTAAAGAGAAATGTATTTGTGTATAGATTATTAGGAGGCCTGAGGGAAAATTTTTGCTGTGAAAGCAGGGCAATTTTCGTCTCCCTAAAAGATGAAAGATGTCTCAGAGATCATGAGGAAGCAGGCAACCCTTAACATAGGAACCATTGGGCATGTTGCACATGGGAAATCCACCATTGTAAAGGCAATAAGTGGAATAAGCACAATAAAGTTCAAAGCAGAGCTTGAGCGCAACATCACTATAAAGCTAGGATATGCCAATGCCAAGATATACAAGTGTGATTCGAAGTGTGTCAGGCCTAACTGCTACCAATCTTTTGGAAGCTCAAGCCCAGATCAGCTTCCGTGTAAAAAGTGTGGAGGCACCTTGAAGCTTGTCAGGCATGTTTCTTTTGTAGACTGCCCTGGGCATGATGTTCTGATGGCAACGATGCTGAATGGGACTGCGATTATGGATTCTGTGCTGCTCCTGATAGCAGCCAACGAGCCTTGCCCGCAACCCCAGACCACGGAACACTTGTTTGCAGTGGAGATAATGGACCTCAAGAAGGTTCTAGTTGTACAGAATAAGATTGATCTTGTTTCGAGGGAGCAAGCTCTGGAGCAGCACGATCAGATCCAGAAGTTTCTAAAGACATCAAATGTCTCTGGCCCAGTGATCCCAACCGCAGCCCAGATCGGGGTGAACATCCCTGCTCTTCTGGACTTTATTGTCAACTACATTCCAGAGCCTTCCAGGGATTCTGCAGCACATCCGAAAATGGTTGTCATCAGAAGCTTCGATGTCAACAGACCGGGAACCAAAGTGAGCGAGATGACCGGAGGTGTCATTGGAGGAAGCCTTGTCACTGGAATGCTAAGGATTGGAGACAAGATCGAAATAAGGCCAGGGCTTGTGATGAAGAAGAACAACAAGTTTGTATGCAGGCCCTTTGTTTCTGAGATTGTTTCTCTGAAGGCAGAGAGCACTGATCTGGAGGAGGCCTATCCTGGAGGGCTGATAGGTGTCGGGACAACGATGGACCCCTCGTTTTGTAAGGCGGACAAGCTGGTTGGGCAGGTGATGGGGAAGCTGGGGTTTCTGCCGTCAATATTTTACAAAATAACTGTCGAGTACAGTCTCTTTCCAAAGACAACTGTGCAGGGGAATCACAAGCTGAAGGAAGGCGAGCATGTGCTGCTGAATATAGGAAGCACAACAACGGGAAGTGTGATAGTAAGCATGGGCGAGACAAGAGCAGAGTTTGATCTTGTGAAGCCTGCATGCTGTGAAGTTGGAGAGAGGATAGCAATATCAAGAAAGATCAACAATCACTGGAGGTTGATAGGACATGGGGAGATCAAGGACGGAATGTGTGTTGAGCCAGAATACAGTGTCTAATAGATGAGAAGTATTGAAGTCTTGAAGGAGTAAGAGGGGCTGTGGGAAATAAAGAGAAATGGTTTCTAAGGGCTTTAATTGCTATAGGCTGCTATCTCTGAAGGCATATCCTGTCTTCTGATCTGTCAAACACAACTATTCCTTTACTCAGTAGTCCATAGACTATTCTTAGAAGTGCTGTTCTGTCTATACCTAGAGCATTTCCCAGTTGGTCCAGCCCAACGGATTCCTCATGGATGAGATGCTGGCAAACAATTTTGTTGTATGAATCGGGCATGCTCCCAATCTCGTCAAGTATAAGCATTTTCTCAATGGTGTTGAGGTACTCTCTGCCTTCCTTAACATATGCAAGAGAGCTAGTGACTTCTTCGTCTGCGGGGCCCTCTCCTCTTAGAAATGCAAATATCCTATTGATGAGACTTGTGTGTGATCTTTCATACTCCATGTCATTAAACATCCTTCTAAGCTCATCGAGTTTGTGCCTTAGGTCACCTATGTCGTGGCGGTTGTACTTCTGCATTTCTTCATACTTCTGCTTCATGTTTGCCAGTTCCACCTCCAGGACGTCGCATTCTCTTTCGTACTCGTCATGAAGCGCCATTTCTTCCTGCTTCCTCCTTAGTTCGTCCAGTTCCGAGGAGACTGTTAGTCCGTATCTATTGTACTCTATGTTCAAGTTGTTCAGAACATCTATCAGGGCCATGTGGTCTCTAAGCATCCTCTCTTCTATTGTAGGAAACTCCATTTCTCTGTACATCTCGTTCAGATCATCTAAAGACCTTGGAGACATTGTCTTAGGAACCTCCAGCCCTGATGCAGTTTCCAATGAAGGGAATCTCCTCGCATCTGGAGTAGTTATCGAAGCCTCCTTTACTATGTCTTCTGGGTTGCACATCCGGGGATTGTTGCCCCAGGATTGTTCTGTTGACTTAAGCAAAAAATCCTGCAAACCTATGCCTTCTGGCTGCGAAGACGATGGATTTCCATGTGATGACGAGGCTTTTATGAGGTACAGGGAGAAGAGGATCCAGGAGCTGTGCGGAGGGATAGAGGACATTACGAGCGAGAGGGAGCTGATTGAAAAGACGAAGTCTCTGAAGATGATAGTCCATTTCTACAAGCAAGAGTTTAACCGGTGCAAGATAATGGATAGAAGACTAGAGGGGGTGAGAGAATTCTTTCCGGGGATCAGATTCTACAGAGTAAATGCCGAGATATGCCCAGTGGTGGCAAGGAAGCTTGAGATAAGAGTGCTGCCTTTTCTAGGATTTTTTAAGGACGGATACTTTGTGGACCAGATTGTTGGGTTTGAAAGGCTTGGAGACGAAGCGGAGCCCGAGGCTCTTAAGAAAAGGATCCAGGAGAGCAATATATTTAAGCCTGTTTCCAGCATACAATAAACATAACTGATTACTGAAAGTCCTTTTCCTTATATAGAAGAGAGCAAAGAAACTATCCCCATCAAGATGATTTCTGATTGCGAGGGGGAAGAGATCAGGTACGATGGCGACTCTAAAAGAATAAGGAGCATTGTGTACGAATGCTTTGATGGAGCCTACGACCCGAGGAGGAGGTACATTATATGCATTCAGGGGCCTACATCAACTGGAAAAACGACTCTTGCCAGGAAACTCTACATGCTGCTAAGTAAGGGCGGGATAAATACCTATGCACTTGAGCTGGATTCCTACTACTTTAGGCCTCTGAACCCAGACCTCGATGAAGAGGACTACGACTTTGACAACCCGGGGGCACTTGATTGGGAAAACATCTTCGGTGTTCTGAAGGCTTTGAGGGACAAGGAGCCGTTTATTAAGCGCAATGTGTACTCTGCATCCTCCTATGGAGAAGTTTCTGTGGTGAGGGAGGCAAACACCATGCCCGATGTTATAATAATAGATGGAGTGCAGGCGTTTAACACTGTTAACAGCAAAATTTTCAACATCAAGGAATTTGATCCGTACGACACAGAAAAGACCATTGACAACGAGTTTGTGGATAACTCTCTTAGGATGGATGATTTCAAGATACTTAAGATCCTTATGACCAATTGTGCCTCAAAGATTCTTTCGGTAAGGCTCAAAAGAGATGAGCTGATAGGGAGGAAGAGAGATGCAATAGTTAAGAGATTTTATTCGAAAACACTCCTCAGCACTTTAAGGTGGACATATTCGCCGATGTACAATAAGTTCATTAAGATTGTACATGGGAACTTCAACTATGAGAAGGTTGATCTGGTGATGAATGAGCTAGGCCTTTACTTCTTTGGAAGGGAGATAGCAGTGGATGATTCCAGAGAGATGGATCTGAGCAACGAGTTCAATGTTGAGTGTACAGGTGAGTGCAAGTATGGAGGAGAGCCATACATTGTCCTAGATGACAAGGGCGCAGGACTATGATGGGCAAAGGGGCTCTTCTGGGTCATATGAACAAGTCTTCATAGAAGTAAAACAACAGGGATGTTCCGCTCAGGAGCAAGTAACTTGTTGACCAGAAGATGAAGTGGCTTTTCTTATGAACAGCCATGAAGCTGAACATGTAGAACCCATGGAATGCAACGAAGGCCAGGTTTGCAAAGCTCTTGGTTTCGAACTCCATATCGAATAGCGGCTTGAGGCCCAAGATTATGCATACTAGACTCAACCCGTAAAGCACTGCTACCATTAAAATCTTTGTAAATCCCCAGTGAACCCCTCTTTGGTGGTTATTGTCGTAGTCTTCTGCTTCCATTTGTTTCTGCGGTTGAAGAGCGTTTTATACTTTCCTGGAATCTGAAACAGAAGCTGTATTCTGAGGATGGGAAGCAGAATGCGATTGCTTTTAATTGCAATGAATTTGGCGGTCTTTTTAGAATTAAAGTATAAAAGAATCACCAGCCCCTAGGAATAAATGAAAAGAGGAGTACTGAAGTTTGTGGCCTCTCCAATGAATGGAGGAAAGACGACAAACATGTTGCTGAGGGCGAAGCGAGCGAGTATCCTAGGGTGGAAGGTGCTGCTGGCAAAGCCCCAGGTTGATACCAGGCACAAGAGCACAGTGATAAGATCGCGATGCGGTGCTGAAATGGAGTGTAACCTGTGTGTCGATTCCCAATTCAACTTCGCAAAGGATATTTCATACAAGGACGTTGATATTCTGTTTGTGGATGAGGCGCAGTTTCTGAGCGCCCGGCAGATAGAGGAGCTAAGGGAGGTTGTGGATGTCCATGGAATTTCAGTGTGGTGCTATGGCCTCCTCACAGACTTCAAGAAGAATCTGTTTGCGGGGTCAAAGCGGTTAGTTGAGTTGTGTGACAAGATGTATGAGCTTGACGTTCTATGCTGCTTCTGTTCCGAAAGCGGAAGGTTTCATTTGAAGTATGCTGATGGGAAGGCGGATGTGTCTGGGCCATCAATTGACGTCAGTACTCCTGGGAATGATAAGTTTGTTTCTGTGTGCCACAAGTGCTGGATGGAAAAGATGTCGGCATCTGAAGAGAAGGAATGTGCCCGGCTTTTCTGCAACGAAGGTGTTTCTGTGGATAAGGCGGTGGAGATAAATGGATAAATACTGTGTGTTTCATGTTCGATTTCAAATCCCTTCCATGAATGATTTACAAACATTTTACCCTGAACAATGAAGAAGATCGTTGCATATGGGGTTACTCACTTCATCTTGCTTGCCATATACACGATGAGGGCAAGCCATGGCGGCCTAACTATGTACAACATTCTCACAACCACGACGCGCAATAGCACTGTGCACATTCTCCATGCCACGTTTTTGATATTTCTTATGTGCACTCTAACAGGACAGATAATTGACTATGTGTTCAAGAGCCTCAGGTCTGAAGAGATAAGCAACTTCAATGAGTCTCTGCTCTACTTCCTGACCGACTTTCTTCTTGTTGTGTCTACGTTTGACAGTGACATCAACTTCAAGAATGGGCTTTTCTTTGTTATGCTTCTGTGTGTGAAGTCCCTTAGCTGGTTACTGGGCACAAGGATAAAGAGGGATGTCTACCCTTCGCTATTTGGCCTTGCATATGGAATATCTCTGTTTTCGGGGCTTATGGTGCTTTTATTTACTCTTTCCTGCATATCTTCCATTGATGGGCAGATTCTCTTTCTCTTTGAGTACACCTTGCTCGTAATAGCCTCCATAAAGAATGTCTGTGTCATGAACCTGATTCTGTCTGACGACGACGACAAGAGGTCTCTACACAACTTCTACATCGACATAGGATACATGAGCATCACACTCCTTGTCTATGTAATATTCATAGGAATCACATCTGTAAGCTACAGGCTTCCCTTGAATCTCTTCCGATCTGCACTGACCATATTCGATGCTTTGATTGCGAAGATCAAGGTATTCCATAACTACCTCAAGCTGTGTAAAGATCTTGAAAAATGTGTTGAGGGGACTGGAGATGGCTTTTGTGCAATATGCAGGGATGACATGCAGGTTGGAAAGAAGCTGACGTGTGGGCATTGCTTCCATATAGAATGCTTGAAGATGTGGTGCGAACGGCAGCAGACATGCCCGATATGTAAGTCCGAGCTTGCATTTGATGTTAGGAAGGAAAGCTTTGTTGTGGGGGGTGAATACATATCTGGGATTCCTGTAACGATTGACGGCTAGAAAGTAACAATAAAAGGGTTTATTCTTCGGTGCTAAGGGCTTCATGTGTTTTCTTTGGCTGTGCAGCCTTTTCTATAGTTTCGCTACCTATCTTAACAAGGTTGATTCCAGTACGAGACTCTGGAGACACGGATACATGATATTTGTGCCTGACTATGACGCCGTTCCTTTCCCCTTGGATATTAATCACTGCTTCCTTCACCCCAGAAGACAATCTATACAGCCCTGCCTTTTTTGCAGCGGAATAAGGAAACTTCGATGGATACACACGCCTTTCTCCAAGGGCATTCGAGACCTCTTCTCCTTCATCATTAACCTCGATGAAGTTTATTTTTGTGGTGTAGTAATAGGACGCCTTCTTGTTCATCACCCTGATCTTGTCACTCAAGTCTATATGCCTTCTGCATTCATGGAAAATGTTTTTGTACTTTTCGAGGATTTCCTTCCACTTTCCATGTCCTAGCTCCTTGATTCCCTTGAGAAGCGCCTCCTCCTCTTCAGGGCTCCAAGGTTTGGGCTTTCTCCTCGGGTTTTTGGTATAACTTCTTACAACAATATTTTCTCTTACATGCTTCTTTTTTGGAACCTTACTATAAATATGCAATTTGAGCTTTGAGGATGGACCGTTGTATTCTGCTTCCTCCATTTAAGAGGGGTTAGGAGACTATGATTCCATTGTACTCTTTCTCAGCAGGAAAAGATTAGCCTATATGGGCATTATGAGACATTTTCTTACTTTACAACGAGTTGCTGTGAAATGGATGTCTATCTGAATGCTTCTATATCTACTGTGTGGAAGGGAGTGAGGCTGTGTACGGAGACAGCTTGTGTGGAGTCGCATCGGTAATGTGAAGGCGTGGCCGAGTGGTTATGGCGCTGGTCTAGAAAACCAGTGGGCTTCGCCCGCACAGGTTCGAATCCTGTCGCCTTCGATTTTGCCATATGAATCCATTGTAAATTATCAGCCACCGTCAACCCATGAACTGCCAAGTGTGTACTGGTGGTATGGATCTTTTTGCAAGATACGACTGCGGGCATCGGATATGCATGACTTGTTCTGCAAGGCTTGTGTTTCTGTATATGCAGTGCAGCTGCCCGCTGTGTAGAAATCCTGCGAAAGAAATAATCTTCTCAGCGCTTTCAATGCCGAGCGAAGGGTTCCCCAGGCAGATGTGGAAAGGCCAAAGAGCCCCATTGGTCGTCTTCTATGAGGGGGAGTATGTGAAGAAGATGATGGAGGACCTCTTATCTAACAAATGCCGGGAATGCCACAGGAAGTTTGGGACTCTGAAGGAGCTCAAGAAACATTATGCATACCATGGATTTGTCCTCTGCTCAGAGTGCATCAAGAGCAGAAGGGATTTCTGGCATGAGATCAAGCTCTACAAAAGCGACACTATTAGGAGCCACAGGAGCGGGAGTCTTGGAGAAGAAGGGTTTGATGGCCATGTATTCTGTGTTCACTGCAAGATCTATCTGTTTGATTCCGACGATGCTCGGAAGCATTGCAATCTCAAGCACGAGCTATGCAATATTTGCGATATACTAGGAACGAAGTATCAGTATTATAATAGCTTCAAAGATCTGGAAGCACATTACAAGAACGCCCACTATTGCTGTAGCTTCCAAACCTGCCAGATGAACAAGTGCTATGTATTTCCATACCAAACAGAGCTCTTCGATCATTTAAACAGGTTCCACAAGGCATGCGTCAAGCTATCTGAGATCCCAAGAGCCGGGAGATGCAGCATTCCTGTGATGGATCCGCTGAGGAAGAGGAGGACAGCGGCTAGAGCAAGTGTTGTGGATCAAAGCGGAGGAGAGATCAGGCTTTCTTCGTTTCCCAAGGCAAACACTTCCCAAGGCATGGTCTCAGAAAGCGTGGAGACCGAACTCCCGAAATACTTGGATAGGAACATCCTGGAGGAGGAGAGAAAGAGGCAGAGCAGACGCAAGGCCATTATGGAACGCATATGCAAGGCCGAAGCAGACGGGGTGGAGGAAATTGTGAACGAGTTTCTAGAAGACATCATAGATGTGATGGCGGCATTTAACAAGATAGCGGATGTAGTTGGAGACAAGGTGGCCCTCAAGCTATTTGAGACAATGAACTTTGGAGGCAAGCAGGGTGTGGTGCAAGGCAGCATAAAGGCTCTAAGAAAGAAGGTTATGTTCCCGAAGTTCGTTCCATCTGAGCCTGTGGAATATAAGGAGCCCAAGGAGAAAAAGAGCCCAGGATTTGCAATTATAGATTTATGTAAGAAGAAATAATGAACACAAACTAAAGGTATCTTTATTTCTTCACTATCTTTTTGGATATATAGAACTCCTTTGTTTTCCTATTGATGTACAGCAAGGTAGCAAATATTGTAGCTATCTTGAGAATAACTATCCTATTGATAAGCTTGAATATGCTGTTGTATAGGCCCGTATACTCTACCTCATCCCAATCGTCCAAGCTTTGCATGTCGAAGTTGTTCTTCGAGACATACAGTAGGTCACTCATCTTCCTTGTGAGCCACTCCATCTGGTAGTCTGTCCCCGAAACAATCTCGGGTGTCCACGGACGTCCCTCGTAGATGGCAAGCTCGAGTGCCAGTTCTCCTCGGACATCTGTATCCAAGGAAAACACTATGGTGTAGTATCCCGTCTCTGGAGTTGTGTAGAAGAATGTTGTGGATGTCTCGTGCTTTACATCCTTAAAGATCAAGTTCTTTGGCTCTGGATCTGCACTTTTGTAGTCCCCGTTTGATTTATATATGCTAAGCTTAGTCCCTACGCTTATTCCTTCTGCCTCTTTCCATGGGTGGCTGGATGACGCCCTGTGAAACAGCTTCGCCTGCATCAGAACCACAGTCTGCCCATTCAGTCTTAAGGCACTCTCCACCTCTTTGCTCTCATCCAGATAGAACAAGGTTCTTGAAAAAACACATCCTAGAAATAAGAAAAACATTCTTGAAGGGCACTGCATAAGCAAAATAATATTTGCTAGATGTACTAAAGAGAAGCAGAATAAACCCAATTTATTCCAGGAACTCCTGCTCAGGGCATCAAGGATTTCCTCCACCCATCACAGAGCCCATCGAGATTCCTCTCCGCCCACTTAACAGATGTAAAGACATCGACAGCCTTCTTGTTAATCTCGTGTCTCTCGCTCCTTTCTTCCATAGGCATCGTAATGGCCTTCTGTATTCCATCGGCAATCTCCTCAATGTTCCACGAGTTTATTTCCAATGCTGCAGATAAGGTCGTGGATGCTCCTGCACTCTCGCTCAGAAGAAGCACGCCTTTGTTCTCGTCCTGGCATGAAACATATTCCAGAGCAACGAGATTCATTCCATCTATCAGGGATGTCACAAGAAGGACGTCGCTTGCTGCATACAATGCACATAACTCATTAAAATCCACGCTCTTGTTTAGAAAGTATAGATGTGTTTCTTCAACAGACCCGATCTTGCCATTTACCTCGGATGTAAGCTCATTCAACTTGGTGATGTATGAAGAATACTCCTTGACGCTCGTCCTGCTGGGAACGCCAATCTGAAGAAACACAACCTTTCCAACAGACTCTGGATACTTCTCAAGGAACCTGTGGAATCCTTTGAGGCGGTGAGGCATCCCCTTTATATAGTCAGTCCTATCTACACCCAGAAGTATCTTCTTTCCCTTGAACATCTGCTTGAGTTCCCTTATTCTCTCTACAGTCTTCTTTTCCTTGAGTGCGTTCCGGAACATCTCGGGATCGATCCCTATCGGAATTGCATCCAGCTTCGACCTTACTTCTACTTGGTTGGCCACACATGTGTCATGGAAGTTGATGGCATAGTCGAACGAGTGGAATGCAACAAGGTCACTGTGTGCTATCCCGCTTACTATCTCCTTTCTGCATGCAAGGACCTCCATGATCTCTGCCGGCGGAAACGGAGTGTGCAAGAAGAACATCACCTTGAAGTCTTTCTTAGATTTCTTTCTTAGCATTTCCGGGACCATCATAAGATGATAGTCATGGACCCAGACAATGTCTCCGTCTTCCACAGTCTCACATATCTTGTCGCAAAAAATCCTGTTGTATTCCACATATGCATTGTAGTTCTTGATAGTAAACGCAACATCGTCCTTGAACGAATGGATTATTGGCCAAAGAATGGCGTTGCAGAAGCCATCGTAGCAGTCTTCGTTCAACACAGGATCGATGAACACAGGGATTGAGTGGAACTTTTCCCAGCAGTCCTTCCTTATCACCTCCTTCTCCTCTTCGTTTAATTCAACGCCACTTATGTTACCAATCCACTTGAACCTGATTTTGTCGTTTATGCTCTTCAGACCGGTTACCAGCCCTCCGCTTGTCTTCGTGTACTCAAACCCATTCTCGCCTTTCTTTATTGTCAGTGGCAAGCGATTGCTAATGACCAGGAGCTTCATAAAAAAATGATGGTGCTCATATTTATCCGAAGTGAAAATAATGAAGTCTCAAACAACATCATGTAACCAGTGGGAGGATTGCAGGAAACCAATAGAAGAAGATGTCTATGGCTTATGAGTGAGGGATGTGGCATAGAAGTTTAATCTTCATTAGTTCGGAAAGAATCTGAATCTCCCAAGATAGTGGCCTAGGCCCATGAATACACGGTCAAACCCAACCACGTATGTAAGCAGAAGCACGCCCAGGTTCGACATGACAAATGTAAGATAGAAAAAGGTGTTCAGTATGTCCATGCCAAGAAATGCTGTAAGTGAGCAGCACACATGGCTAATCAGCCCAAGAATGAGCAGGCTGACTGTCCTGTCGTTCAGGGATTTAAATATATATGCACTGAGGAAGTCGATAAACAGGATCAGCGTCATATAGGTAAATCCACGCTGTGCCTTCATCACCCTGTACTTCATTCGGTCGTTCTTGCATATCTTTGCTGTTGAGCGCATCGTCTCCAGCATGAATCCAATGGTTGCCGTGCAGAATGAGAACAGAAAGCAGAACACACCCTTGGCATCTGACACACGGAGGTAAGGAGACCTGGCAAGGTAGCTTACTCCTGCCGGTATGATCTTTCCTTCAGAAACAGCCACAAGCAGCAGGAAGGAAATATACATGACTATTTGACCTGCGAATAAATGTCCAAGCTGCATCATCGGGGTAATTAGAATATCTCTTCATTACCTTGGAAACGGCGCTCAAAAGATTTGAAACATAGTTTTACAGTCTGCCTTTATTTACAATCGGCTGTAATCCACAGGGCCGAATTCAACGCCAAAGAGACCGTTCTTGATGAGCTCTCTGAGCTTGTGTCCTCTGACCTTCTTGAGGTGGAGGCCTCTTCTCCTTCCCTCCCTGACAATGACTCTGTAGAACTCACAGTCGCCAACCATTACAAAGATCTCGCACCTGCTGTTGATGTACATGCAGACCCTCTGGCAAACATCGCGCTCAATGCGCCTCTTGAGCTGGTAGATCTTTCCTGGGCACCTGAGGCACTCTGGAAGAACCTCGGGGACGCACTTGTCGCTCCTTCCTCTGATCTCGCCATTCCTGGATAAGACAAAGCTCTCAAACTTGTCCTTGCAGTCGCTGGAGCAGACTCTGACAACGACATCTCCTCTTCTCCTATACTTCTCAACGTCAAATGTGAATGTCTTCTGACTCTTCACAACCTCAACCTTCTTTGGGCATCCACGTCGTCTTGATCCAGACACCTTCTTGGATACTCTTGGGAAGACTTTGCATCTCCTGTCTCCGCACTCACTATTACTGCTAGAGTCGCAAGGCTCGCATGGTCCGCACCTCCTTGGAGAGGGGTTGACAACAACTTTGTTGCAGATGTTCTCTTCTCTTTGGACGTATATGTTTTCACTGCATGGAGTAGACCCATTGTTCTCTACACATATGCTCTCGCATGGGACAGAGTTTCCAGGCCTGGTGTTGGACCCTGGGCAGCTGCAGGCCTCTACACAGAGGACATACTTTGCTCTGTTTGTGTTTGGGTCGAGAGGAGCAAGGGCTCCGTTCTTGTGGAGAACCATAGGGTTCTGTCGGAGATCGTGGTCGTTCCAATAGAGCACGTATGCCTTGTCGATGTTCACTGAGTTGAGGTATCTAATTGTCTCGTGGATGTTGTCTGCATTTAGAGCGAATGCCATGCAATTGGCACTTAGAACAGCACTGTAAGGCTTAAGTTCCTGCTCGCAGTTAAGATGAAGAGCCTTGGTCTTAAGAGCGTTGATGGCACCAGATGCAATTGCTAACAATCCCAAAAGCTTCATTGATGCTGCACCTGATTCACAAATATATGCATTAAAATGGCAAAGAACAGTCTTTTGGAGCATTCTTTTTTCCCTTTTGGGATACGACGTGATCGGTAATACAAAAGACATAATTAGATGGGACACATCATTTCTTCTAACATCAAATTAATGAGCTAGATATGACCCCAGAGGAGCGGTGGTTTTCACTATAAATAGGCTTTCAATCTACAGGACCCAAAAACGGATTTTTCTGGATGAAGAGATAGGAAGGCAATAGCCACACGCTTTGCCAAGAAAGTGCATTGAAGGATGGACTGTAGGGATTGGTGTTTAATTTAGCTTTAAAGATCAAGCTTTCGGGAGCGCCTAAATTAATTTATTGATTTAAGGTGAATTTATCTATTAATCATAGTCAAAAATTGCTTGGTATACAAATCTTTTGCACCACCTAAACTTAAGGTTCATGGACATTTTTGGAGGGAAAATGGACAAGAATCCATGGCCAATAGAGACAACTAGTATTGACATAAACGACTATGCAGAGGACTATCTAGACAAGTGCCAGTGTCTCTTGGCCAAAAAGACTTCTAAGTCCAGAAATGTTTGTACATGCTTTAAAAATAATAAGAAGCTATTCCAAAGCAATGCCACATCCTATATTTCTACACATCCAATTAGTAAAGAGCAAAGTCCTCTTGAAAGAAGGTTGAAAGGCCATGATCTTAAGGTGCCTGCCGGCACCACGCAAACCCATTTCTCGTCTGCCAGGGGATCCCATCCGAATAAGAAGTACCAGCTCTACAAGACAGAAATGTGTAGAAGCCACACAGAAATAGGGTACTGCAAGTATGGCGATAAGTGCCAGTTTGCACATAGTAAGGCAGAGCTAAGGTATGTGCAAAGACACCCAAAGTACAAGACAGAGACATGTAAGACCTTTTGGGAGGAAGGAAGCTGCCCATATGGAAAGAGATGCTGCTTTATCCACATTCCAAACACCGACATGGGCAATCTCCCGGTCCATGATCACCAGAAAGACAGCAAAAGAACGTATAGGAATTACGAGCTAGCCTTAGGAGAGATAGACAAGCATCCAGACGACGGGCTCATTTGCAGCAGGATCGATAGGCCCATTTCACTAGCCGAAAAAGGCTTTCTCGAGGCCGATGAAGAGGCCACAAAAAGTACGGCAGAGGAATGTAATATGTCCCAAAGCGATTTCTTCAATGAAATCCATATCCTCAATCGCCCTTTCTGCAAGTCCGCTACCCAGTCCTTTGTGCCTATTATTGAAGATGAGTTCAGCGATGAGGTCATGCTGAGAAGACCTTTCTGGGAGTCTAACTATTCTAGTGCATGGCTAGATGAAGAGACATCGCTGTTCTACCTCGACAGTCCCTGTAGAAAACAGCCTAAGGGTGGGGTTTTTGCGCCTGGAGGATCTGTATATAAGCCCTTCAACAAGAAGGTGTCTGATTTTGTATTTGGGCACTTGGGAATGTAAATAAATCTTTGTGAGTTCATTCTGTCCCCCAGAAGCATTAAAACCGAAAGAATTGGAGTCCCAATGGAAATAGTGAAGTTCGAGCCGGATGCCGAAGGGATTGAAAGAAGGAAAGGCATAAAGGCCTTTGGAGACACAAACAGGATAAGAGTGGTTAAAAGCACAACCGCACCGAAGTTTAATCTGTATACAACAGAAATAGGCGTCAAGCAAGAGGAAGAGGAAAAGCAATACACTCCGTACAGGCCCTCCCTAGAAGAACCGGCCACATCAAATGCCTATGTCCCACCGACGATCAAGCGTCCAGAGACATGCAGCGTTAAGCTCTCAAACCTCCCTCTGGACATGACAAGGGATAGACTTTACTCTATCATCAAGTCGCATACAAGCGTTTTCTTCATGAGTCCCAACCTTGTCATGAATAGAGAGACAGGAGTCTTCAGAGGATTTGCATTCGTGACTCTAGAGTCCAAGGATGATGCCATGAAGTTCATCAGAGACCTCAGGGGCGTTGCAATAGATAGTCTGGGATTATCTGCAGAAATAGCCAGATAGATGACCCTGTACTCCTTTGCTTAATCGGCAATCACTGGAAAAGGATCTGCCTTGCTGAACACAACTACCCTTCTGCTGATTGATATATATCCTCTCAGCCTTCCTGACTCAATTGCACTGCTCAAAAGGCAAACAATCTCCTTGAAATCAGTGCCGGGCAGTACCTCTGAGATCTTTTGGATCTCGAGCCTGTTATCGCATCCATGCTTTCGATAGGCTCTGCCCACCAGATTGTTGAAACATATGAGCGGATAGTGGACTGAAATGATTCTGTAAAGATTGTAGTCTGTAATTCCCTCAGATGCATTTCTAATGGCATTGTCCACACCCACGTAGAGCCCCTCTCGTACTACAGAGACCAGCTCCGATAGGTAGCTGCAGCCAAACCTTTCGAGATATATGTTCTTAGGGAACTTGTTAACAAGCAGAGATGAAATGAAATAAACCGGTGCCATTATTCTCCTCCATTTCTTGTATCTAAATGCTCTTTTCAATGACAGATAGGATTCCCTGAATCTATCCTGGTACATTTTAATGATTCCCTTGTAGTAATGAAACACATAACTGTCCCTGCATGCAGTCTCCGGTTCACTTGCGCTTGCTAATAGATCCTCTGCTAGCTTAAACCTTTCTGTCTCAAGGTATATCTGGAATAAGGCATTTCCAACATAGATGAAGGCTGGATTTCTTTGCTCCACTAGCTTCTTGTACATCTCCAGAAGAAGCTTACTCACCTTGTTCGAGCTATCTTTGCCCCAAAGCTCAAGAAGCTCATATACAACTCTTTTAATGATAGGGCCAGTCCATGCCTCTCCCCCAGTCATTCTTACAACACTTCTTATTAGTGTTTCATATGTGCCATAACTCTTTTTTTCTATGGCTGTTTTTTGATTCTCAAGGAGAATGTTGAATGGATGCTTGACCTTGCTAAGATCAATACTTTCCCGCTCAGAATCCATCCATATACTTTTGCTGAACAGCTGAGAAATATACTTTCCATCTTTGGCATCTATCCTTGAGTTGATTGCTTCTGTCCATCCCATTGGGGATATTATTACTGAGCACTGGTATCCAATCCCGGCGGCCTTGAGGACCCTGATTTGCTCGAGAGTTACATACCCTGAGGATGGATATGGAGATAAGAAGGCACATGGAAAGCTCTTGCGGCGATTCCATGGTCGGTGTTCAAGCATTTGTATCGGGTGAAAGCTACATCTTCCTTCTTTTCAATAGGGAAATGCTCTTGGCTGGCGTAACACTTCAGAGAGTGGGATCTCATGTATACATAAAGAACGTAGACACAACTGGGTATGAAAGGGGGCACGCCAGGAGGTTCATAACATCGATTTTGAAAGCGTTGTCCCCTGAGCTATCTTGTTGTTTCAGCACACCAAAGAGCGAGTATATCTTTAATGGTAGCTCTCAGAACAAAGGAAAGGTGATTAGGGAGCCTGGAGAGCTTTTGGAGTACTGGATTGGAATTTTTGAGGATCTCTATGACGATTTGCATGTGTGGTCCAATCATTATGAGAACATTTCCTATCCATTCAAACATTTGGACGAGGTTGTATATTTTGAAGACGACCCAAAGGAAAGGCTGAAGAAGCACTTTGTAGGAAGCCTTGAGGAGATGTTTGCAGTATTACTGTGTAGAGCTGACTTTACAAATGGGTCTCTGGTGTATGGCCGATTGTGCAAATATGTGGGGTGCGGCATGGTAGAAGCAGAGGCTGGTGACGTGTACGGGATGGAGGCTATGCTAAGGACATTGGATTTCTCCACTCATTCTATGGCATTAAAGTCTACAGAAAAGTTTATATCCAGGTTTGGACTAGACATAGAATACTTTCCCAGCAAAAGAACTGCGAGGCCGAAGAAAAGTGAGCAAGCCTGTATTGTTCTGAATCCAACAAGAAAGGCATGATTGATTTTCTTTGGTGCTCTATTGTTAAGAACGTCTTCCCGAGTAAGATGGCTGTAACAGCGTCTCTATCAAGATGTTTGATGTATGGAACCTGATTTGTCCGGAAAGTACGGTTTCGATATATAACACATCTGGATAGGCTTCCCTAAAAATGAAGATCATAGTTGCTATGGATGAACTGCCTATATGTGCATCTCGGATGGGAGAAGAAGAGACAATAAGAAAGAGGAGCTCTGCTCTCTTGAAGAGGATTTCCCATCCTGATAAGACAAGCAAGATCCAGATAGAGTTTTCGGATGATAACGAGGAAAAGCTGAGGCTTTTTGCAAAACCTCACTTCATGGCTCCCGATATGCTGGATGATCGAGAGATGTCCTTTGTAGGTGTTCCTGGATTCTACTCTTCTGAGGCTTTTAGCGACGAAGACCGCAAGAAGATTCAGATATCTATGGGGCATTATAGATGCTATCCTGTGTTTAAAAGGAAGGGAGAATACTCGAGAATGATTGAGAGAATCTTGAAGAAGAACACCTATGAGTTTGTGCAAAAACATCTCGACCATGCCGCAATGTTTGAAGAATATAGGATACGCAACAACGAATATTATGAGAAAATAATGGAGATCTATGAAGAGGGCGATGTTGTGTGGGTGATGGACCATTCCTTGCTCCTCCTTCCTGGAATGCTTGGCGGCATTCCTGTTGGGATGTCTTTCTGCGCACCTTTTTCTCTGCTGTTCAAGTGCATTCCGTTCTGGGAGGAGCTTTTCTTGTCGATTCTTTGCTGCAAATACATCGAGTTTAGCGAAAGTTCATCTGCAGAATCCTTCAACATGCTAGTTTCTCAGAAGAAAGGCTTTGTGGCAGGGAACCCGGAGTACAAGAGTGTAAGAGTGCCACAGACTTGTGTAGGAAAGAGGGGGATTGACAAGGAGGCCATTCTCAAGGCGTCGTCTGAGGCGAAGAAGCTTGAGAGGTTTGGGAATGGGAAGATTATTCTTGTTCCGTTTGACTCCCAAACACATCTTCTTGGTGTTGAAGCTTATTTGTCCAGGTATGAAAAGGAGATTACGATTCTGTTTCTGATCACTGGGGCTTTGAACAGAGACTTTGATGAGCAGACCGAGGTTATGAGGCTCCGGAAGTATCTTGAGATGAACTACAACATCCTATCAAGAGTATTTGTACCTACAAGTGACTCTGAGTTTGTCTCTGTGTTGAAGTCCTGCGACCTATGCTATTGCTCAGAAATGGCTGACATCTGTTCACTTTTTGGCATTCCAGTCATCCAAAGCAATCCATACGACTTCTTTGAGGTGGCAGACGAGATAAATGAGAAGCTTGAGCGGGGAGGAGCGAGCGAGAAAGATTCCAGGAAAGTGATTGGAAAGATGGAGTGGAAGAAGCGCTTCATGACGAATTTCTTACACGCTAGTGGGATTGAGTGTGATATTGATGCTGAGCCTAAGGAGCCAAGGGTGAGGGCGTCATTATCAATGAGGCAGAAAGAAGATGTGAAGACGAATTCAAATAAGAGGCTAAGCACTAGGAAGAAAGAAGATGAGAAGAAAGAGGCGATTGAGATTGATTTGGATAACAAAGAGGATGTAAATGCTGCAAAAATAGTCGATGATTTCAAGAAGAGTAAGGTAAGGACGCTTGTTATGGATTATGACGGAACACTGACGGACATTGTTGCACATCCCCCAATGGCTGCACCAACCCAGGAGATAAAAGATTTACTTGTGAGGCTGAACAAGATCTGTAGGGTTATAATATCTACAGGAAGAAGTGTCGAAGATTCAGATAGGTTTTTTCCAAAAGAAATCGAGGTTTTTGCCGAGCACGGAGCATGCTACAGGGTCGATGGAAAGTGGAAAGAAGGAGTTTCATTTCCACAGAAGGATCTTGCATGGCGGGTTGCAGAATTCTTCCACCTGAGGACGCCTGGTTCTGATCTGGAAAGAAAGAAAACAGGCTATGCCTTCCACTTCAGGAATGTGTCTCCCCTCATTGGAGTGAAGCAAGCAAAGGCTCTTTTTGAACTTCTGGTGAGGATTTGCAAAGACAATGTGAAGGAAGGAAACCACATAGTCGAAGTTAGGAGCAGCAAAAAGTCTCGTGTGATGGGCGAAGTTGAGGAAGGGTTTATTTTGTGTGCAGGAGACGACGCTGCCGACGAGGAGGCCTTTGATCTGTGTAGTGGATACACCATTAAAGTGGGTAATCAGGATACATCTGCAGCATATAGAATCAAGGATCCAAAGGGCTTCAGGATGCTCCTTGCTAAGTTCTTGGAATAAATGATTCATCTCTGTTACTCTCTTTCCCAAAGGGTCATTCCAGAAGCTCTCTGAGAATCTCTTCATGGGATTCGTTTACTTTGAATACCTTCCTGAAGGTCCTGACTCTATTAATACAGCCAGTCTTGGATATAAAGAGCCGTCTCTTTCCCTGGAACAGTGACGTGTATCCTCCACTCAAATACATCACATCTCCGGGGCTCAAGGAGCAGTTCCATACTCCAAACTCTATGGTTCCGCTTTCGTCTCCAATCAGCCAAACATCGATTTTGTCATTGTCTTTAGTTTTGTTTGTCTCTAGATATTTGATCAGAATAAACTCCAGACATATGTTTTTCTGGTAGTCATCCAGCTCGGCTATGCTGTTCATCAGCCGTGGGGTTCCATTCATCTTCAAGTACCATAATGTTAGTAGAATACAAAAGCAAGTGGCTTATAATTATAATAGTCTTTAATCTCGTAACATCAATCCGCCTGCCTTAAATCTTCATCGTCTGAACAAACTCATTTGCATCGTTCTCGTTCTTGAACACAACGCAGTAAGGCTGCTCAATACATTTACTCTCAGCCATCTCTCTAACTCCAATGCATACTCCCAGCTTCTTCTTTGTGGGTCTTACATCGTAGGTGACAAGGAAGTCAAATGCACACATCATCACACCATCCCTAATAAAGAAGCATCTCTTCTCCTTGCTCTTCGTCACATACACAAACCCAGGCCCTATATTCTCCCACTCACCCACAAACTTGTGCAGGTTGGCCCCTGCCTTAAACACAACCCCTGGAATTTCATTCTGGACAGGTTCCGAGCTCTTTGAGACAGGCGTTTTCAAAAACTCAGATTCCTTTGGTTGCTTCTTCTCTCCGCCAAGATCCTCAAAGATGGTTTTATTGCTCTTGAGATCATTCAAATCCACTGGCTTGAATATGCTGCCTACCATCTCCTTGTCTTTGCAAATTCCAGGCTCTTTTTCACCTTCCTCGCTTCCGCTCCTTTCCTCACTACTGACTTTGGTTTCTTTGATGCTCATCCTCACCATGGGTCTCGAGAAAATATTTTACAGGTTAACTGTAGATACCAGCAGAACATGATGTGAATCTTCTTTATTACTCAACTCAAGGCATTACCCACCTCTCCAACGATGTCTGGTATGTTGATAAGCTTGACAAGAACAAGAATAAAGAAATCCTTGAAAAACTTGATATCTTTCTCTCCCATTCCATTATCAAAGATTCGAAGAAAGACATCTCCTATAATTTGCAAAGGCTCAGACAGACTTTTTCTTTTGTTCACTAAGGCAGCAGTAACAAGCTTGATTTCATCGGTGTTTTCCATAATGCGGTCGGCTATATTGCACACAGACTCTAAAAACTCTTTGATTTGATTATCACTAAAGTAATTGTTAATCATCTTTCTCTCATTAGACACACTAAAAATAGAGTCACTTGGAACCTCTGCTACTGCATTGGCCATCCCCATAATCATGTATGTGAGCTTCAAAAAAACACACTTTCTTAAGATGTTCATTCTCACATCTCTTTCTTCGGCAATTTAACTATTCCACTGCATATTTGCCTTATAAGAAAAAGGAGTCTGCCCACACACCGTCCATTCCTTTCGATGGATAGCTCATAAGCCCACTTGCACACAGGGATGGCCAGTAAGCTCCACACAAAAGTTAAGGAAACTTCATTTATTCTTTGGTAGTCGCTTGGTTATTACATTAACCAAGGCCATGAGAATTTCAATGTCCCCAGACTTGTCTGTAGTGCTAGAAATACCTTTCAGAAACAATATCGCCCTCTTAATAAAATTCTTTGTTCTAGGGCTCAGACCCGAGCTATTCTCGTGTTTCTCTAGAAAATTCACAATATCCATATATGCTTTTTTTCCATCGCTGATATCCTCAAAAATCGCATTAAATAGCTTTCTCACGTGCTCTACATCCATCGAAAGAAGGCTTGCCCTTTCATTTCCTCCGGATGTAGGCTTCTTCCCTTCTCTTCTCATTGAAATCCCAAATCTGCTTTGAGATCCCGACACAGATCCTCCGTCACTCTTGCTGTTCAGGTGCCTATAAATAAGTATAAGCCCAGTTGCCATAGTAAAGAAGAATATCGCCACAATGATTCCTAACTTCTTCAATGAAATCGTAGATCCAGATCTTCCATCAGATGGCTCCATCAGTAATCCGCTTAGGTGTTCTCTATATCACTGCTGCCCCTTAATACCCTCTCCTTTAGCCCCTTATAAATCCTCCAATAGGCAAAATCCTCCAAAGGACAACAGATCGTTAGGAAGAAAGAGAATAGATAGAATGTTTTATTAGGAAGAGACTCCCCTTAGCAAGGCCGCCTGAACATACCCTGCCTCAGTAGTCTGCTCGCAATAGTCTTGAATTCCTGCAACACAGCATCCCTTGCTCCTTACCTTTCCGCTTGAGCTGACATTCTCAACCCCAACAATCTTCCCTAGCTCTAGGCGGCTTTCAATCGAAATGATCGGAATGTCCTTCTTCTTTGCCAGAAGCGTAATAAGCTTTGCAATTCTCGGCTCAGCATCCTTTGCGAGCATCACAAACCTCATGTTTCCAGCAAGCATTTTCTTCGACGTCTCCCTGGCTCCCCTGCTTAATCTACAGTATGTCCTGGACACCTTGCATACCTTGGAGAGCGCCTCCTGGAGAGTCATTTCTGATTCCATCATCGGTTCTTGCACTTCGCTCATTGGAGGGTAAATTTTTTCCTCATTAACACCTCAGACGCACCCATGCCAATAATCATGGTAAGCGCAATGCCTTGAAGTGAGCCTTGGCTAGACAGCTGCTCCTTGTTTTCAGAGCTCATCTATTTATATTTTATTCCCAAACAAAGAAACCCCAAGATGCCAATCGTAGTCCGCGACTTTAGTGGCATGAGTCCTGAAGAGATAAAGGAAAAGGTAAAGGAGCTCGGAAAGCCTGTGCTTCTGAAATTCTCCTCAGAAGGATGTGGCCCATGCGAGGATTTGAAGGAAAAGCTCAGCCAGTACAAGACAGACCTGGAAATCAACATTTTCGAGCTTTGCAGAACAAGGTCATTTTCCTACGCATCTCTTTGGGATGAGTTCGACATCACTGCATTTCCGACAGTTGTGCTTGTAGACAAGAACATGAAAGAAGTACAAGACAAGAATGGGAGTCAGGGTGCGCCAACCCGAATCATTGGCTCAAACATCAGGAAGTTTGAAGAGCTCGTCAAGGGATATGCTCACTTATTTGAGCAAGCCGCTTCTCAATAAACACTCATAGCCCCCTCCACTCTGGCCTTCTATGATATTTTCTGATGTTCTCCTTTACACACTCCATGTACTTTTCAGGATCCTTCTTAAAGCACAGGCTAGCATCTGTATTTGCAGGGCTGCGCGTGTTGGGGGCCCCAAGAAGTTGCTGGACCCCACACAGCACATTCATAACATTTAGGCTGGGCTTCCACCTGTCTCCAATAATATCAAGGCATACCTGATTGGTAGGATAGACATTCGGGTGGTACACAGGATACTTAAACAATACCTGGGGAGGTTGAAACGGATAGTCTTCCGGAAAGTCCACATACAGCGTATAGTAGGATCCCTTGTATACACCCTCATGGGGCCCTGGCACTCCGCATTCCCATCTTGTGATGTTTCTCCCCGGCTTCTCTGGCAGGGGAATTGCATAGAATCCATACTTTCTATTTTTTGCCAAGTTCTCCTGTTCTGCCAAAAGCCTTTCTAAATTCGGCATTAAAGGGATATGCTCAATAGCTAAATGAATCTGTGCAAGAGGATTCTAGAAATAGCACCTTCTCATAGCCCCAATGGTGAGAGAGAGATTGACAAAAGAAGACGAGGAAAACATCGACATAATTCTGAATCCATACCCCTTAGCCACAGAAAACACTCTGAATGAAATAGATGCCTCCAACGACCCAGAAGTCCGTAACAAACTTGTGGGTGATCTTTCTGTCATCTTGTCCAACTATGCTGCAGTCTTGAATCCAAAAGTCCAGGAGAAGTTTCCAAAGCTCGTTAGCCTGCTGAGAGATAAGGAAATATACAACTCCGGTGCTTTTATGCTATCTGACGCATGTAGGCATATAGAAGATGTTCAAAATGCATTCAGAGCCCTCGGGGTTTTCGAGCTTCTGGATTTCGCCATAGACCATTATAAGGCAACCACATCTTTGGTGTATTCCTTGTGCATGGAGAATAAAAGTAACACGGAACATTTCCTTGAGAAATATTACAACAAGGAGCGAGATGAAGACAATGCATTAATACAGAGCGTTAGGGATCAGTCTTTCTGAGTCGCCACCCGGAATTTTGCAAATAAAAAAGATCTTTTTATTATTTCCAATCGATCTTGAACTCAAGAATCTTTTCAAGCTCGCTTGCAATCTTCTCGTTGTAAGCTGCCTCTCCTCTTTCCCAGCTATCAATCACCGATACATTCTTCTTCATCTTCTGGGCCAGGTCCTTCCTCGACATCCCCTTCTTGGTCCTTGCATTGGCTATGGCATCTCCCACTTCCTTGCTGACCATCCTAACCTCCACATCTTCGTCACTTGTTCCCTTCGGCTTATTCTGACCCTCAGGTCTTTTTTTTGTCAGAATTATCGGTTTGTTGTTTCTCATCGGGGTTAAACACTGGCCTGCAAAATATTATCGTTTAATAATGTAAAAAACTTTCACTAACAGAATACTATACTTCAATCCCAATCTCTTCATATAGCTCAGATTTCTTCATGTCCATCCCCTCAGAAAGTCTCTCAACAATCTCGTTGAATATCCTCCTAACCTTCTTAAGCCCAGACTGTGCCCTTTCGTACTTCTTTTTGGCTCCATCCATCTCTTTCTTAGACACTTCTCTTCCCCCGTCTCTGAAGCCCTCGAGTCTTTTCTGATTGTCCTTAACTGTCCTGTCCAGCGCCTCGATGCTTTCTTCCAGCTGGTCAATAGACATCATTTTATCAAGCATCTTGATTTCAGCGTCAAGAGAGCCAATCTCCTCTGCAAGCAGCTTTATTTTTTCCTCGTACCCTTGGAGCTCCGTGCTCAGCTTGACATCCTCTTCATTCTGAAACAGATCTTGGTTGACAAGATATATCTTTGTCTTTCCGTAAGTCTTCGTCACCAATCTTCCATCAGACTCCAAGTAGTTCAAAATCTCTTGTATTGCCGTTCCTCCTATCTCTCCCTTGAAGTATGCCACTATCTCTGACTTGGATGTGGGCCTGTTGCATTTGTACATCATCTGGAACACCCTTTCTTCGTCATCGTCATAGTCCTCTTTCATCTCGGGGTAGACTTCAAACCCATCAAATCCATCTAGTGTCACATCTCAAATTTCGAGTATAAAATCTCAGGTTTTTTAAGCCTAAATGATTTGTAAAGTTCTGAAGCTTAACAATGGATATGAAATTCCCACGGTTGGCCTTGGGACATGGAAATTGGAAGACGAGTCGTCCCTTGAATCCTCAATAAGAAATGCAGTTAGCCTGGGGTACAGACATATCGACACTGCCTTCATATATGGCAACGAAAAGATGATAGGAAACATTCTAAAGAAGCTGTTCAATGAAGGCGTGGTACAGAGGAAAGATTTGTTCATAACATCCAAACTTTGGAACACATTCCATGATTGTCCGGAAGATGCCCTAAGACGAACACTAGGAGATCTTCAGATAGACTATGTGGATCTGTACCTCATCCACTGGCCGGTGACATTTGAGCCAGCACCCAATGGGAGCATGGAGTCTTGCGGAAAAAAATACAACATTGGAGAGTTTGATGCAGTCACACTATGGAAGAAGATGGAGGCTCTTGTTGATCTTGGACTGGCAAGGTCAATTGGAGTGTCCAACTTTGGAAAGGAAAATACTGAGAAAGTACTTGGTGCATGCCGAATCCGCCCAGCAGTTTCTCAGTTTGAGCTCCATCCCTACCTAACCCAAAAGGATCTTGTAGAATTCATGAGGTCCAAGGGAATCCAGGTTATCAGCTATTCATCTCTAGGGTCAGGGGGACAGGACTCCTCTCCGAAGGTCAGGGAAGACAAGACCATCAAGGAAATAGCCAAGAAGTATGGATGCACCCCGTCACAAGTAATACTTAGCTATATTGTCTCACGAGGTGTTTGTGTAATCCCAAAAAGCAAGTCTAAGGAGCATCTGAAGGAGAATATTGATCTGAAAGAATTATCAAAGGAGGATATTTCTGCAATTGATGGCCTGAACATCAACCACAGGTATGTCAATCCCGTAGGATTTGGGCCCAATCGATTCAAATAAAGACCAATGATGCCTTCTTATTATTCCATATTTCTTCCCCAATGGACTTCGGGAATCTCAAGAGTATACGGAGAGAAACCATTTACCTAATAGTGGGAGATGACATCATCCATTTTGATAAGGAAGACATACATAGAGAGAGAATCCACTTAGTAGACTACTTCAAAGTAGGAAAGTCCTGCGTGATAAGGGGAAAAGCAAGATATCTGTGCTCCTGTGGATATGAAATATGCTGGCACATAATGAAAGTCATAGATTCCATTGAGCAACAGAAAAACAATGAGAAATACTAATACCAAGCAATATCAGAAATACCTAAGATTTATCAACTTTGGCGATCTTCCAGATATACAGATACATAAATATGCTCCGCTTTCAGAGAATAAAAGCTTCGAGATGCTTCCATCCACCTTGTATCTGTAAACTTCATTGCATCTACAATCACTTAACACCACTTGGCCATCAGAAGACCCACTTGCAACCACACGTGATGAGCAATCGATGGCCATAACCTTATCTTCGTGTTTCAGCTCATAGACAGGAACGACCTTCTCCATGTCCCAGATCTTTACAAGCATGTCAGATCCACACGTTGCAGCCTTCCCATCTATCCATTTATGGCAATTGACGCCACCGTCGTGGGCACCTATTCTATTTCCATTCATAGAAGCAACATTCCACAGACCAAGGGTGCCATCATGTGAGGATGTTGAGAGAATCTGCCCGCTGTGCCCCATACTACTTATATTGCCCTCGTGTGCACCTAGCTTTGTCACTTCAAGCTCGCTGCCATTTACAAACGAAACAGAAAAGTCGCTCAGGCTGCATCCAACCTCGTTTTCTCCCATCCATACAGCGTCCTCTACTCCACACTCGGAAACACTTATTTCAGTGACTCCGTTATTCATCATAACTATACGCCCGTCCCTTCCAGAAGAAAGAATCCCCCTTCCACGCTGTCTTACTCTCGTAACAGCCTTACCATGGCACGCATAGCTTCTTGTCCTCCCACTCGAGACATTGACTGTGATCACTTCTCCACACTCATTCCCGGCAACTAAATTATCATCACTCCAGGATAGCGCCGTTAGCTTCTTCATCTCTCTTTTCCAGAGCAGGCCCTCGCTCCCAAGCCCAAGAACCTCTCCAGACTCAGTGTAGATGCTCAACCATTCTTTATTCCAGCAAGAAAGCAACTCGCTTCCTACATTCTCCAGGCAAACCTCAACGGCATTGATAGTCATCGTTTCTTCTTTCTTCAGTGCACGGGGCATGCTGCCATCTACTGCCTCCTTCTTCTTAAACTTGCACACATGCTCCTCAGACAGACAGAACTTTGCATCACACTTAATGATCTCGCTTCCATGAAGGTGCTTGGTACCATACATGTACTGCAGTCCTTTCCCCACAAGAGATATTAAACTATGGGCAAGGGGCTTGTCACTAGGAGTAGCCTCGTTCTTGAACGTAAAGAGCGTGTATATGTATCCCTCGTCCTCAAGATACTTGTAAACTAGCTGGTTTATCTCGTCCCTCGACATTTCGATCATTGTATTTAAACTTCTATGGGCTTGGTAGTAAGTGTTATCATTTAAGCGTTGTAATGTCCCCAAATGATCACCCCAGGGAATGTTAATGGGCAAGTTGGAAGAATTTCCATCGCTCAAGAGTCCATCAGGAAATGAAGCGAATCCCTTCAGACGCAGGAAAAGGAAGCTCATCCTATACTCGTTGTACCTGTTTTCCATAATTGTGATGTGCAGGCTTGCAAACACCTTCTATTGGCTATACACCTTGGATCTTAACAAGCTGTGTCTCAACAAAGTGGTGTACGACACAAAGACGTGGAAGAAGATAGAGGTTGGAATTTCTCTTGAGAACTCGGAGTCGCCCATCCATGTAAAGTTCACAGACGTGACTGCGAATCTGTTCAGTATGTCGACGGATGGCATTGAAAGCCCCCTGCTGTCCCTAAGGATCCCAGGGGCAAACATCGCAAAGCATAAGAACATCTTGTTTAATGGAGACATATATGTCGAGAATTTCAATAGGAGGAACATGCTTGAATCAAGGTTTTCTGTCAATTTTGTGATTAAGATAGATGCAAAGATGTATCCCCGCCTGTGCTTCATAAGGTTCCCCTTCCACAGCTCACAGACACTTTCCCTAGGAAGTTCAATCTCTCGTCCAGGAAAGGAAGTTGTGTTTAAGCATGTATGTGCTGGAATGAAGGACGGATATCTTCTACTGGAGGGAGAGGTTGACAGCAGCAAGTTTAATGTTCCAAAGTTTGTTGTGATCCGAAGCCGCGAGATTGTGGTCAACTTCGGAGGAGGAGAGGGGCCTAGGACCCTAACGATCGGCCCGATTGAGGTTGACGGAACCATGTTTATGGAGCCTTTGATCGTAAAGATCAGCATATCGGAAGAGTGGGGAGACGAGCTCAGGAGAAGCCTTGTTCGGGTGCTTAGAGGAGACGAGGTGTGTGTCAAGGTGGATGACTTTTACTTCAAAAATCATGACGATGGGACTCCTGAGGAGCGCATCAGGCTTGGGATTGGAATTGGGTTCAATGCAAAAAACTCGAAGGACTACGACATAACGTTCATGAAGAAAAACGTCAAAAGCACACCTTTGAGTGCACCTGTGATAATTCTAAGGAACGTGGTGGGAAGGGAGAATCCTGGGCTCAATATCTACATCAACAAAGATGCGCTTCCGTGCATTGAGTATTACAGCTTCTTGGCGATTCCCTCGAAGCCGGTCAGTGGGTCTGTACATCTCAACGGATGCTGCATTGGAGGGATTGAGGTTGAAGTGGGTAACACAGATAAGCATTTTGTGCTGCTGTGCACGTTCCTTGAATTCGATTCGCTGAAGATTCTGAAGGCTTTCAAAATGCGGCGGAAGAAAGATCTACGGGTTGTCCTGAATTCGGATGTTGGGTTTGGAGTTCTTGTGAATAATGTCGGGGTGGCATGGGATCTTTCTGAGAATCTCTATCTTTTTTACAAGGATGAAAGGTATGACTTTCTGTCCTCTGAAAAGAATAAAGACTCCATCAATGTCCGGCATGTGATTTCGAATGCCTCGGGGTCTCTCCGTGTTGATACGGCGGTTGTTTTTTCTCCGATTAGAAAAAACAGCGTTGGGTTTCTTCAGTTGAATCTCCATGGTTTCAGCCTTTCTCTTGCCAATGCAGGAATCAATGCTAGGATTAATGTGAGTGACACCAATATTCTATACCAGAACACAAACGAACCCTTTTGTAGAAGGCTCTTTGGAAAGCTCACGGTGCATACAAGAGTCGAAGACACATTGGACTGCATACTTAGAAGCATTGAGTATGTTGGAGATGATCCTGTGGAAGATGATGAACAGCAAGGCCTTCAGCTTGGAAAGATCTGCCTCAGGTACGATGACGGAAAGCCTAATGAGCTGGGAAAACACTTCTTCTCTATAACCATTCCGGAAGACAGTAGATCTCGAGACATGGGGGCCTCTATTCAGAACATCGTCAGAGTTGTAGGAGGGATAAGGTTCAGCCTGGTAGCGGACACGCGGGACATGAGCTTTGGGCCAGTCCATCCAGTTGTGGTTGAGATTGGAAACTCTAAGCTTCGTTATTTGAAAAGAGGGAAGGAGGCGTGTCTTGACGTCATAGGCGGGATAGATGTCTCTGTATCTTTTTCCCATCCTTATGATCTTGTTGCGTTATGGATGTGCGATGTGGATGTTGTTTGCGACGAAAAGGACTATATGGCAAGAACGATCAAGAGCATAGTTGCCAAGGCCATGAGGAAAAGAGATGGAAGGGCTGTTGAAAAACATGTCTGTAACAAAGACTTGGTGTTTAAATCCAGACTAAAGAAGATGAAGAGCTGTTCACCGAGATTTGAGCATGTGTATGAAGGTGTTACCGAGATATCGATCCCCATAGAAATGTTCAACTCTGCAGGGATTGAGTTTGATATCCCAAGAGTTGGTGTTGCGGCTTTTGATGTGTGCAATGAGAACTCTCACTACAGGGGGATTGCCTCCGTAGAAACTCTGCCTTGCTCCTATTACGAATTTGAAGGAAGTGAATACAGGTCTTTTGGGATACTGTATCGGTTCTCGGAGCTTTCCCTCGACAACGCTCTAGTGAGCATATGCCTTATCAATGGCAACAAGCTAAGCAGCCCCACTGTCATTGAGCACACCTTGTTCAGAAAGATAATGGCAGACATAAGAAATGAGTTCACCAAGGTGAAAGGAAAGAGTACGCTAGCTGCCGAGATTAGCAGCACAAGCAACTGGAAAATCAGAAGCATAGGGAAAACGGTGACCTCAGATGAGGACACCTGGACGCTGAGGGTTTTTAGTGACAAGCTGAAGGATCTTGTGTTTTCGAAGGTTCCAAATCTGCTTTTGGATTCCTTCTATGAAGTTCTTCCATCTGGGATGAGGTTTGTGGTAGATATAGATAAAGATGTTGTGGAGATCCTTATAGAATCCCATAAAAGAAATCCTTGGAGAGATGAAGAGGCGGGGAGTGAGAGCAAAGGCCCATTCTACGGGATACTTGACCTCAAGTTCTCTAGATTCTTGTTTTCTGAGACGGTAAAGTACAAGTTCCAGACTGTAGAGGACATACAGACAAATAAAAATAGAGCGATGCTGGAAAGGCCATACCGTGATCCCTTTACTGATACGGCTGAATACAAGGACTGGTGCATCACCAGCAAGTTTGGATTTCAGGCAAATATCACTAACGACGGGGTTATATGCATTCCAAAGGTAAGGTTCAGCATGCCCATTGTGTTTTCTCTAGTAAGCATTTTCCCTCCCTACGTCCCGTTTGTCCCCGATATGAACGGGCTGGGGATGTATGTGGAATTCCCCCTCCCGTTTGACCTCAGGATTCCATCTCCCGAATTGCCTGTAGAGGTTACATTTGTTTCGAAATCAAACGACAAGGAGCTTGGCAGGCTCGGATTTGGAACTATTGTGTCAAGTCCAAACATATTTTTCATAACCATCAGCATTCCGCCAACCTCGTATGCGTTAAGCCTTGGAGAGACGCTGAAGCGCTATAAAAAGGGTAGGAAGAGAGACTACCCCACCATCCAACAGGACGTATCAATATCCATCTTTGTCAATGGGGTCAAGGCCCACGAATGCCTCAATAGAATAGTGGTGGAAGCTCAGGAATTCAGCGGGCTTCTACACTCATTAGTCTTCTTGGAAAAGCGTCTCTTTAGCTTCACAGGCACAATAGCTAGAAAGATTCAAAGATCTCTTCGTGAAAGCAAGAAAAAGCAACCACGTGCATTAGGTAACCAATAAATATATATCTCAGTAGCTTTATTTTCTTTTTCCCCCCTGCCGAACTTCAAAACAAAGACGTGCCACCCCACCGCAGCAAGATGAAATTAGGTGTGATATTCAATGTCCCGAACACAATAGGATATTTTAGGATTGGGCTCTTGGTTGCATCTGTATTCGCATCTGGGCCAAGCTTTGTTGCTCTATATGGCTTGTCATCTCTTCTCGACTTCTTTGATGGGCATTTTGCAAGAATGCTCAACCAGTGTTCTCTCCTAGGATCAAGCCTCGATATGATAACAGACAGGGTTTCTACAGTTGTGATCTCGCTCAGAATCATCCAGAAGAGAAGTGAATACCTATATTTTCTATCTCTGTACATGGTATTCGACCTTATTTCTCATTTCATATACTTCCATATGTCTGCACTGCTAGGGAAGCACCACAAGGGGACGAAAAACAGAATTCTGAGAATCTACTATGACAAGCGTGTCCTCGGCCCCATATGCCTACTAAGCGAGGTGTTCTTCATGTACGCATACTATTTTGGCGGCAAGGGCGCACTTCTTTACACCCTTGGAGGCATCACAACACTCAAGGCGCTATTCCATCTTGCTCAGCTCTCTGAGGCAATCTCAAGCATGAGCGATATCATTGTATTGAAAAATAACATCCAAGGAGTTGATTAAATCTCTTAGCAATGCACATGCAGAGTGAGAAAATATTTTATTGAAGCTGATCCTAGTCTTCGGCCTCCATCTCCAATGCTATTTCCCTGGCCTGCGGATCTGTGCTTCTAAGCTTCTCATCTTCCTCCCGAGCAATTTTGATGACTTTCTTGGCATACTCCTCGGGATTGTCCCTATGCATCACAGAAGCATCAACATTCGCCGGAGAAGATGTGTTTGGTGCATTGAGGATCACGATGATCGACAGAAGAATCGTTCTGATGTTCTGGACAGGTGCCCATTTATCTTTGGAGTCTCCATATCCTGTTGGGTCATGGGTATCCTCCTCAAGAATGGATATGCACATTTTTCCATCTTCATAGATATTTGGATGGAACATCTTCGAAACAAACTTGAGGGTAGGCGGCTGGAGAGGATAGCAATCCGGAAACTCCATCACCGCCTTCAAAATCCTTCCTGCATATAAAGAGTCTCCGCCGAGAGTAAAGTAGATATCCCAGACCTTATAGTTTCTGTTTTCCTTCGGACCCCTAGGACATGCTCTAAAGAGCTTTCTTTCGTCGCCTGTAGAGTCCTTCAGCATATCCTCCTCCTTCGATAGTCGCCTACGGGCACCAGGTGATAACATTTGTGGGGGTCGTGTATTTCTTTTTATATCATGGAACCCTATCCATGGCTCTTCAGGGTTATGTCACCTGGTCATGAGATACAGGGCTTGTGCACTAACCAGCCTGTAGAATGGATGCCCCGAACCAAAGTCGCAGAAGAACGAAAGGCACATGCAAGCCCACTCCACAGGGAGAAACGATAGCGAGTACACCACAAAGCTCATCCAATATGATTTTCCTATTGGAATCAGTGATGAGCAGCATATGACTGCTTTGGCAAGGCATGACAGCCTTCCCATGAGCAGTGGCGTCCAAAGATCTATCTTGAACTCGGGAACCACTATGCTTCTACACCCCACAACCTCTCTGTACTCATTGGCTCTATCGGTAAATGAGGCCTCCCTCAGAAGCCAAGCTATCTTCTTATATGCCTGTCCATAATTGTCGCTTTCTATCGGAGGAGACATCAGACGATGTATGAAAAGGAAGTAGAGGGCCGCAAGGCATATCGACACTACATTGTTTCTTAAGGAATATAGCGACAGGAGCATCCCCATGGATTCCATCATCCCTGCTATTACAAGGTTTTCTTTGCGGAATCGGCCCATACAAAGATTGCTTACAGATACATATATTGCAGCTATTGTGAATCCATAACACAGGAAGTACAATCCTGGAAACAATAGAGAAAGAATAAACAGCAGATTTGATATGTACATTCTTCTCTTCGTTCCGGGGATAAGAAATGCAAACAAGGAGGAAGGAATGGATAGAACGAACAGATATGGGCCTGGGAAATGGCTTGCCACCAGAAGAAGAGGTACGGAATAAAGCACAGCCTGCCTCCTCAAGCATCCAGGACTTTCCATTGAATGTTTGTTTACCTTACCATCTGAAAAACACAAAAATATCATCTGGAGTTTAATGAGATCTACAGCGGCAAGAGTGCTCTGTGATTCCTTATATATCACTCGTTGCTTTCTTCATAGAGAATTCCAAGCACATCGTTCTTGAGACTTTCGTCGATCCCCTTCTCCTCTAGAAAGTACTTTTCAACGGTAAACAGCTTCTTGAAGTAAAAGTCTCTCTCCTTCTCAAAGGCCATCAGCAGGGACTTGACTTCTTCATCATCAAACCCTTTCAAGCCAGAGACAGGTGTTTTCTTTGTTGTGCTAGACTTTTCGGCCTCCAGCTGCTTGATCCTGCCCTCCATTTCTGCAACCATGCTTTCTAGCTCTCTGATTCTATTATCCTTCACATCCATTTCCTCTCTAAAGCTCTTACATCCAGGGCAATGCGGGCTATTTGAGGAAGAAACCAAGGCTCTTGGGGCTTCGTCCTTGGGGCATTCTCTAGATTGCCTTCCACCCATGTTCTTGGAGTAATACCTTGCTAACCACTGGGCGACCTCTAGATTATCTTGCATTTTGCATTTAATCAGCTTGTCGACAGGAAAATAGAGCTTTATGTTTTTCGATGCAAAGAATCCTTGGCATGCCTTCATGTTCCTCAAGTATTCGTGCTCTCCGGCTGGATCCCTGACGAAGTTGGCCGGGAAATCGCTATGGATTAGAGACAGAATCTTGCATATCACCACTCCCTTCCCAAGCTCCTCAATTGCAGAGATCTCAATTCCCAATGATTTTATCCACTCAATCAGCTCTCTACGACTTTTTTGTGCCATGTCTACCGGGGCTTCTGTTTCTGCCCAATTGATATGTACTTTCGATCCCTGACCCAATGGTAAATATCCAGAAGAAGCTCGAGCAGATCCAGCAGGACCACCATGTAGTCCATGACATGAACAAGGACAAACTGGGCGAAATACTCTCCATAGTCAAAGACAAAAAGTACCAGGATCCATCTACATACTACCCACAGTCCCTTCTCTCCAAAATGCTTCCAAACTGCTATCCAAAAGCACCGAACGAAGGGATCTTCAAGGTCAACATAGAGGACATGAAGATGGACAACCTTCATGAGGAGACGCTCTTTTATATCTTCTATACATTTCCAAATGACAAGCTACAGGCAAAGGCCTATGACAACATTCTGAAAAGAAAGTATGTCTTCTGCAGAATGTACAAGTGTTTTGTCACATTCAACTCTCCACTAATTGCTGACCATGTCAAGAGATCCATCACAATGTTTGATCCATTTAGCTGGTCAAAGGTGTCTATAGAAGTTGTTTTTGACGAAAGATTCATTCGGTCATTGGAGAGGTAAAAAGTGATGTACAATCCAAGCAAATAAATCCATTGCTCCATTTATTGTATTAGCTCTCTATGGCTTCTCGCGCTTTACATCTGGCTCAAGTATATCCTGAAGGGATGGCTCGTTATTTCGGAGATATCCATAGAAACTACATAGATGTCCTCTGACAACCTTCTTCTCCTGTGAACTCAGGCCCTTTCCATTTATTCCGGCTGCAAATCTATCTCTAATGTGGCATACTAGAGTTCTTTTTATTGTTGTATTTATGTTTTCGGGAAACCTCAAGTCTCTGACCTTGGAAAATAGCTTGAGAATGTCAACACCAAAGTCGTCGTTCGTGGCAACAGTCTTGAACAGCTCGTCAATTTCTTTTTTCTTCTGCTTTATAATCTCTTCCATGAATCTCCTATTCTCTTTGTCTATCTCTAATGAACACCTGAACTCAAGGCTCCTGTAAAAGTCATTTTTCTCAATAGAGTGCCTCAAAACCTCAGAAACAACAGACTGTGCCTCGATGAAGGTATCCATGTCGCCCTTGGTCTCATCAATAAGACTGCACAGATGCTGGTCTATCCTCTTTGCAAGAAGCTCATCAAGCTCATTTGAAAACTGAAATATGTTGGACACAAACTCGTCGCACTCATCGATAAAGGTCATCATCGAGGACTTCAATTGCTCCATCCCGCCTCCATCTATGCCTATGTCCTTGGGCCCCTGGACTTCAAAGTAGTTGATTGCCACAGAACTGATAATCCTATCCACGCTCTCGTAGTCGATGTTGAGGCGAACCGCAAGCTTTCGGAGAGAAACAAGCGTCCTCCTTAGCTCGGGGAAGTTCTGGCTTTCAAACAGCATCTTGTTTCTGGATAGAAGATCAAATATAAACTTGTCATGGATCTTGAATCCTATGTCAAGAGACGCAATGTAATGGCTCCACAGAATAAATCCGGCAGTATCGGAAATCACAATAGTATCATCCCCAGACACAACATCCCTTCCAAGCTCTTTTCTTTTCTCGTTGACTCTCTCCATAATGCCTGTCTCAACTCCCAGTTTTCTTGACTCATGGAGAATGCACAGGAAGGTCTTCGATATAAACAGGTGCCGTAGAGAGTCAAGAGGGTCAAATATGTGCGATTCCTTGTTCCTCTCCTCAAGAATCCTGTTTATCTCAATCCCAGCCTGGCGAATATTGTTGCCAGCGCTTCCAATCCATAAATCAATGTCTTTCATCATCAGACTCACGAGCACCTTCCTCGATTTGATGCATATCTGGCTTGCATTCACAAAAAACCTGTACTTCTCCAGCAGGCAAAGCTTCTTCTCCATCAGCAAAACACGCTTTGTCATCTTGTAATAGTACAGTGGCTCGTCCCTTACGTCCTTATCAACACTTTCGTACTCAGATGCAATGCTAATAAACTCCAAGATCTCCTTTAGTTCAGATACAACCAAGTCGAGACGCGACTCTATTACAGAGTTCTCCTCGATTTCGTGAAGAGCATCTGTGTATTGTATAACAGCATCAGAAATAGAAGAAACCAGCTCGTTATTTATGTTTATAATCCCTCCCAGCCTTTGCTTAATCTTCTCCAAATCGCTACACTTACCGATTATATCCATGTAGTCTTGCGAGATGCTTCCCATCATTTCCTTTTCCTTTCTTTCGATCTCCCTTGAAAGCTCCACCAGCACCTCTTCCTTCTTCTTGGACTTCAGCATCTCTTTGAACCTTTCTTCTTCATTAGATGTAAAGTTCATAAGGGATCGTCTCAAATCTAAGGCTTTGGATTCATTTTCCTATTCTTTTTGTTGCTCTTCGTAAAGGCATGGTGCTGTGGGCCCTTCCTTTCAATATAGGCCATCTCATCGGCTCCGCTGAGGCTCTTCAGCTTTGCTGTGCTATATACAATCCCTTCTGCATTGTCGCTCTCCTCACTCTCCAACTCCTTTTCAGATGCAAGTAGTACCCCCGCTAGCAACTCCCTTTGCTGTCCTTTTGTTCTATACACACAGTGCTCGTTTTCGTGTACCTCGGGGATGTCCGTAAGTATTGTGAACGTGTATCCCTGGTCTATCAAAAACTGCTGTCTTTTGTTCGAATAGAACATCTCGTCAGTGTCCTTACTCACTAGGGAGTAGAAGTAGACCTTAAAGTCCGGGTCGTTTCTCCTCTTTGCCCTAAGAATTCTTCCAAGTCTTTGTGCTTCTTGCCTCCTGCTCCCAAAGTGGCTACTTATCTGGATTAGGCATGTGGCTTCCGGGAGGTCGATAGAAGTGTCTCCAACCTTACTTAGAAATATCGTGTTGATAACTGGGTTTGTCTGGAATTGCTTCAGAATCCTCATCCTTTCAGTCTGCCCCGTAGGCCCGTAGATAAATGGCTTTCCAAGCTTCAGAGCATATGCTTTCAATGCATATACACTGTCAGAAAAAACAATGATCTTGTCTCCTCTGCTTTCATGTTTATTGATTAAATACTCACACACCTGGAACTTCGTTGGGTTCATTATAGATAGAAGCCTTCTTCTGCGCGTCGGCTGAGAGAGGTATTCTCTGTAGAAGTCTCCAGTCATCCCGCACCATACCTCCACACATGACACCTTGGCTATGTGCCCCTTGGCACTAAGATCCTGCCAATCGGCCTCATAGAGCTTGGGCCCAATCAAGAAGTTCAGATCCTCGATCTTATCATCCTCTCTGACTAGCGTCGCAGTAAGTCCGAGCTTGCAGTGGTGAGACACTAGCGATAGAACCCTTCTGAACATCATTGCAGGAACAACATGCACTTCATCAAGAACAAGCAGCCCCCACTCGGTCTTTCGTATGAGATCCATGATCTTCTGTGCCTCGTAAGACCTCTTCCCCGTATACGCAAGCATTGTATATGTTGTAACAACTATTCCGCAGTCGTCCTTCGGCCATTCCTTATGATCAGAAGTAAATCTTCCCACGTTGTCCGGAGATATGTTTGTGAACTGCTGTGTTTGCTGCCTCCACTGCTCAACAGACACCGCAGACGTGCACAGCACAAGGCAGCTCTTCTTGATCGTGCTTATGGCCGTGATCCCAACAATAGTTTTTCCAGATCCACAAGGCAGCACAATTATTCCCGACCTCGCCCTTCCGTTTCCAAACATCTTGTTGAGACATATCTCCTGATAGGACCGGATAATCGTGGTGGGCTTGAGATCTATTTTGAGGCTTCGGAGCACCTTGTCATTTCTGAAGTCATACTCCTCAATCAATGGATAATCAACCTCGATGCACCTCTTCTTCACCAACTCTACGTCTTCAACCTCTATGGATAGGCCTCCCTTCTCCTTCGGCTTGTCGACAGTGTGCGATCTTATCACTGCATCCTCAGACAGCATCTTGTACACAGACTCGTTTGCCGCCTCCAAGAAAAAGCTATTTTCCTTCATGACAAGCTTCACTTTCCCATAGCTCAGCGTGCATTCAGTGATAAACACCTTGACAGACCTTGGGAGGTGGTTCTTGGAAAACCGGTCCAGCGTCTCGATGATGTCTCCGGTCGTCAGCCCAACACTCACAGCAGCATACAGAGAGTATGCTGTGATCTGGAACTCATGTATCTTGAGAGGCCTACTCATGGGCTCTGCAATAGCTATCAGAAAGTCGCTCGCTTGCCGAGAAGACTCCCGGAACGTCTCAAGTATGATCAACCCGTCGTAGTTCACCCACATCGGATAGCTCTCGCTGTTCTCCTTGAGAACAAGTTCCTCGTACGGAAACTGATGCTTCGTTGCCTTCTTGGGAATCACAAGCTCGTTCATGCTTGGGTGATATTCCCCACAGATTTATCTCATTTCTTTCCTAGTTACACAGGAACACAGCATACCCCATGTTTACAATGGACCACACGTATTACACAGATGCATTTCTGGATGCATGCCTTCTGGGCTACACAAGCATAGAATTAACTGCTAGCTCGTTCACAAACATAAAAGATGAGGAGATAGAAGAGGTGCCAATACCCCTTGCAAAAGACCACGCTTTTCCAATAGACTTCGGACTTGGCCCGTAGACCTGCTTTAGAAAGTAAATAATTAAATGCATGTTTATTCCATTGGAGGAAGAAAGGATATTCTTACAATCAATAAACCTCCTTACATATAACGCAACTATAAACAGATCAAGGTTTTACCTCTTGACATCACCGCGGCCTATCGAGTACTCAAGCTGTGGGTATTAGCATCACTTCTTTTCATCGTAGCACGAATCACTTGTCAATTCGCTGATCTCCTCCTTCTCTTCATCTTTGGATTTCTTGGTATCCTTCCTCCTGTAGTCTTTACAGTACTTGATGCATTCGTCCTTCATGCTTGGAGAGTCATATCTATCCATGTCTGCACACATTTCCCTTGTACACGGCATCTCAGGCTTCTTAGATGGACGGGGTCTAGGGCTTTGGGTATCCGAAGGCTTCCATTCATTTTCGGAATCTTCTGTCGATTCCCAGCTTTCTTCGTCCCTCTTCGCTCCTCTAGCTCTTCTTCTATCCCCCCGCCTTGGCGAATAATGCTTGCCCCAAGTATCTGGAGAGCCCTTGCCGTAGGGCCCATTCGGATTGCCCTGTATATCCGGCTGTTCTATACTTCTTTGATGGGGAAACCTCTGTTGACGGTCTAGGATGTTCGTTATTGCTTCATACTTGCTCTGCTCTATGGGATATATCAGCACGCCGGGAGGAACATCCTTTCCAAGACCAAGAGAAGATCTAGTGCCGCCGTCCTCGTCACAACCTCCTTCTCCCCTACTGCACGAGGTCAGGCTACCAAGCTTATTCCCTATTTTCTTCAAGCTCCCCTTGAGAGAATCCAGCAAGGACTTCTTCAGCTGATCCAAGTTGAGGTTCTTGATGATCTCGTCTGCAATCTTGTCCCGGCATTTCTTATCTTTGCAGTTTTTTTCGTCACTTTCTTCATTGCACGAGGTGTTTCCTCCATTCAGAAGGTCAAGGCACTTCTGATCAATGCAGCACTCCTTGGCATTCTCGCCTAAGGTCTTTCTACAATTCTCTAGTATGTTCTTGAATTTGCCGAGTTGATCAGCTAAACACTTCTTGAGCTGCTCCTTCTTCTCAGACATGTCGCATGCATTTGCATACTGAGAGTTCCCCGGCGGTTGAAGTGCCATGGGGGACATGGCCATCTGCTGGCCATTTCCAGCTCCCCCCTCGGGCGAGTACGACAGAAGCTGCCCGGGCTTGCTTGGAGGCACACTAATGGTCTGCACCTGGGGTATAGGCCCCATAAACCCTTGGTCAAAAAGAGGAGAGTTCGATGGGAGAACAGAGTACAACGGGCTTCCTACATCCGTTGCCTCGGCATATCTCCAAAGCACTGCCACCAAACTCAATTGTCCTATCATTTGGTGTTTTGTTTATCAGGCACTCATCTGCCTCATAGATATCAAATATTTCTGTAACCAGTTTCATTCAAAGAAAGGTGTTTCAAGGATTCATCATAACTAGCAGAACAGTTCATAAACTTTTATTATTTCTTCACTATCTTTGCATAGAAAAACCCATCCATATTGTGGACGTGTGGATAGATCCTTCTAGCCATCTTAAGAGACCCGTTGTAGTTCCTTCCCTTGAAGCTCATGAACCCGTCCTTCCCAATATCAACCTCGCACTGCGCCATCTTGGCAGAGGGGCGTTTTGTGAGAAGGTAGTTGACAACCTCCTCATTCTCCTTAACAAGTACAGAGCATGTGGAATACACCAGTATCCCCCCAGGCCTTAGCATATCAAACCCATGAAGTATGAGCTCCTTTTGTAATGTGGCCATTCTGTCTATTTCACTTTTTGTCCTGCTGGTCTTCACAGAGGGGTCTTTCGATATCACCCCAGTTCCAGAGCAGGGCGCATCCAGCAAAACCCTATCCACCTTCCCGACATTCACCTTCCGGCCATCCATATTCATCACTATGCAGTTCCGGACCCCCATCCTCTGTATGTTGCTTTTCAGCCCTGCAATCCTCTCCTCATTCACATCATTTGCATAAATCACCCCTGTATTCTCCATCAATGCTGCAATGTGCGTTGTTTTTCCTCCGGGCGCCGCACACAGGTCAACAACACTCAGGCCTTCCTTCAGCTCCATATTAAGGACAGGAAGCATCGATGCAGCCCCTTGAAGACAATAGTACCCCGCAAGATATTCGGGAGTTGCCCCAATAGGCACAGACGACTTGAAGATCACACATCCGCTATCAATCCAGCTAAGATCGTCAAGATCCACCCCCCTTCCCCGCAAAAGCTTCGAAACATCTTTTCTGCGCTTCAGAAGAGTGTTTATTCGTATGGTCGTCGGCCTCTGCTTTTCACTTTCCTCTATAAAAACCTCTGCTTCTTTGCGCGGAAACAACTCGCATATCTTTTCCAGAAGATATTCGTTGTACGTATCCATTAGAGGGCAATTTTTTCTGCAAAAAATCGTTCCTCCACTTGCTAGTCTAAACTCAAAGAATTTAATCATCACAGCTCCTCAACACTTCAGTCATTTCTTGAACAGAACACCAGCCGTTCTACAGAATACAACCTCCTCCCGGATGTTTCCAACATGTCTTGCAGGCGGCGTGGTAACCCCCTGCCCAAAATCATGCAGGCTGGCCTCGAGCCTTTGCTCATTGTAGCTGAGATTCTTGTAGTATTTGTTATAGTACTGCCTTAGATCCCCAGAGGTCTTCGATGGAAAGTATGTTGCCATCAGAATCCAGTTCTTGCTGTAGTATGGAAAGTATATGGCAAACACCTGCCTCTCATCTATTGTCCATTTCCTCAGCACATCCTCTTTGCTGATAGAAACCCTTCTTGGTGCTGCAAGTGCGACAGTACTTGTGCCCTCGCTAGATGGTAGAACAAACTTCATATAGTATCTGAAAAACATCTTTAGGTCTTTCTCAGACTTGTTTATCAGTGGTTGGTACCTTCCCCACGATTTCCCGAACATCCTGAAGTGCTGAATAAATACGTTTCTTTCATATTCTGACCACCTGCTCTCAATTATAAGCTTGACCTCAGAGTCAGAGATCCTTCCAGACTTGTGCTTTATGTACGAGTAGGTCTTGTCTTTCATCATATAATACTTCAGGATGCACTTCCCTGTTTCCAAGTGGGGTGCCGCCTCCTTAATCTTCTTGAAGTTGTTTCCATACTTGCAGATAAGCTCAGAAACCTGCTTGTCCTCTTCTTCAGTGAACCCAGTTTCCGGAATCTCTGGAATGTGAGGAATGATATTCATAGGTGCCTTGGCAGGCCTGTTGCAAATCTCAGGAATCTCGGCTCTGTTGCTTTCCGTTCTTTTCAAAAGCATGTCTCTTTGGTCGGTAATGTATTGCAGAACCTTCTCATCATCCTTTTGCATCGTTGGAAACACTCTCCTTAGAAAATATCTATATCTACAATCATCTGTGTCAGAGGGCAAAGACTCCCTGCTGCTGCCTTCACCTTTGTCTTCAGCCAATTCTTTTCTCTTCCTACCGCTTGTTCTTCTTTCATCCTCTATCTTTCTTTTTGTTTTTCTATCAGAATCTGCCCTTTCTTCTATAAATCTTTCCCTATCATCCGTCTCTTCCTTTATGCCAGGAGACCCAGGCCTTACGTCTCTAGAGCCTTTCTCCGTCATTGAAGAGGAGCTCGACGACTTAAATCCAATGGTCTTGAGCCCCAGATTCCCCTCAAAAAAACAGAGTACGGGCACTATCTCATTCCCCGGGATGTCAATCACAACACTTCCAACTACATCGTTCAATAGCATGGTCTCTATCTTCGCAATATCAATCTCTTGGCCTTCTATCTCAGAACCATGCAAGCGGCACAAGGCCTCATTGACTATCCTGTTCTTTAGTGGATTCTTGTTTCTTCTCGCCACATGTCCTGCCCCATTCTTGCCCCTAGAATCATCTCTTAGATTCCTTGCTGCCTCACTACTCTCCATCTTAATCCCAGAACAGTGTCTAAGGGGCAAGGAAATAAACCCCTCAATATACAATCCATGGAGAATAAGGAAATAATAAAGCTGAAGAAGTGGAACCTGGTCGCTCTGTGGTCTCTAGACATGAAGATCGAGACCTGTGCAATATGCAGGAACCATATAATGGACACATGTGTGGAATGCCAGAATGGCATTATAAGCAATGATGAATGCAAAGTGTCGTGGGGTGTCTGCAACCATGCATTCCACACACACTGCATAACAAGATGGCTAAGCTCCAAAAACGTTTGCCCCTTAGACACAAAGAAGTGGGTCTACTACAACCCAGAGGAAAAATAAAATGCAAATAGAGTTTACTAACTTCTACCCAGCTAGTGGTGTCTTATTCTGAACGAGCCTTTAGCTCTTTTTTTTTCTTGGTGCCCCATATCTTTCTTTGAGTTCCAAAGCCTTTGCTCTATAGGCCTCGTCAAGCCTTCTCTTGTACTCAAGGATCTTTTCCTTGCAAATCCTTCTATACGCCTCTTGTTTTTCCTGAAGCTTCTCATCATACCGCTTTTTAAGATTCTCTATTTCTACCTTTTGCTTGGCTTCCATCTCTCGCCTTATCTCAGACATCTCCTTTTCCATTGCCTTTATTAGCTTTCTTCGAGCCCTCAATGTTTTTCCATGCATCTCTTTCAGCTCCTCAAATTCCTTCTGGATCCTAAACAGTACGTCGTCTCCCCTGTTCTTCGCCCTGTCTTCACCAGCAGCCGGCTCTTGGCTATCGTCCAAAATAAAATCCTTGAAAACAACCTTTCCCCTACCTACATCCCTGGATCCAATTCCATTCAGCAATTCCTGCTCTGAGACATCATTTCCTTTGCCAGCACTTGCACCCTTTCTATCCCCATCTTTACCTCCATCCTTCACTCCGTCCAGCCTATTTGTGATGTTCGAAAGCACATTTCTCTTACGAATCCTGACTCTCTCGTCAAATACACCCTCACCATCGTCAGACAGAAAGTCCATTCCAAGGGGTCCTCTTTTGTTACCTTAGGAAGAATAGACTAGGCCTTACCTAACCAAAACACGCAAAAAACTTAAAAATATTAATAATGAAGTCTTCAGATTACAGAATATGCACATGCAACAAGGGCAAACCTTTAACTCAAAGAGCGCAGTGCATCGGAAGGTTTTCCATTCAAGGTACATCGAATAGGTGGAAAATCAAGGTTAGACATCGTTAGATGCTGGAATGGACTTCCTTTTATCTGTAATGGTCATCATGAGACTTTAAGGGGGGATTCGTCAGACGCTTTAATATTTGAGACTATTTAATTTTCAAAAATTTCAGGCTTGGGAACTTACAGGCAGGCTTGTGCATCACTCATGCAAGCAGCACAAACCTTAGCAAGATGTAGAAAAAACACACCATAAAGAAAAACAGCAGAATAAAGGACAGGAAGAACACTGCTCCTCCAATAAGAGTAGAGACAAAAGACCCCCTCTTTTCTCCGTTTCGAAACACCTTCTTCTGCAGATCTGCATTGTATACCAGGTCGAGCTCGCTTCCTATGTACACAGCCCTCACCATGGTTCCAGAATGCGGGGGCTCGCAGGCGCCATCCCTCAGACTATCCATTGCATCTTCCTTTCCCCGCAAGAGGTTGCTTTTTTGGATGTCCTTAAATATCCTGAGGTACAGAGGATTCTTAACAACCTCGAAATACAAGATGTCTTTGACCTCGTTTCTGGTAGAGGGATCCTTCAGTTTGTATATCCGAATTGCCCCGGAAACCGTATATCTCATACTAACAATGCTGCTTGCTAGATACACGTGCTTGGTGTTCTCACATACCAAAATACAAAAAACAACAGACCCTGTGCTTGACAGGAGCTCCTCATACGTCTCCAGTGTCAGCGGATCCACATTCTTGAGGTCCTCTGTGTGAATCACTTCCCCATTCTTCACAAACACCAGCATCTACTATGGGCTCTGTCATGTTTGCACGAAATTTTAATGTTTATGTGCAACATTCTGCATTCAAGTCATCTAGACATCATGCAATTCATTTCATATGGTTGACACCTCAGCTTCATTCCTTCACCACCGTCCCAATAACACTACCAAGTAGCAATTCCTTATTTACGTGGGGATGTGCCTTGTTGAATGCATCAGTGCAGTCCCTTCCAGCATGCTTCATTATGACATCTATGCCGCCGGGATGTAGGCGAAGGAAGTCGGTAACATCGTACACCACGCCATCCATTATGATCCAGCAGTCATCCACCTTGTCATGCCTCGACACCTCTTCCACAGTAAATGTCCTAAAGGATGGGGCTCTGCGTTTTTCCCTAGACCATCTTATCAGATTCATCAGAGGCTTGGGGCATGAAATACTATTGATTAAGCAAATTTTGTCCCTTAATGGAGGGCATAGACCAAACTGACCTCTGCATCAAGGTTAGTCCGTTGTTTAATGCGTCCATGAAGACCTCTGCAACTATATATGTTGATGAAGAGCTGAGAAAGCCGGTGATGGAAGAGCTAGATGCTGGTGCGAGTATATCCTCTATTGGGCAAATATCTGATGTTTGTTCCTTGCCAGGGCTTATTGGAGATGTCATAGGATTACCAGACATACACACTGGGTATGGATTTCCGATCGGGTGTGTTGCGGCATTTGACATTAACAATCCCGAATCTGTTGTAAGTCCGGGAGGGGTAGGGTACGACATCAACTGTGGGGTCAGAGCACTGAGGACTAACCTCGACATAAAATGCTTGAAAGAAAAGGCGGAATCTCTCGCGGACGAATTGTTTGGGATAATACCCACAGGAATGGGAAGCGACAAAAGATCGAGGATAAGCTTAGGCACACTGAACTCGATCCTAGACCAAGGATTGGACTATCTGTTGAAATCGAAGGAGATACCTGATGAGGATGTCGAATATTGTGAAAGCAATGGCCATATGGATGGAGACAGCCGCCTGATCAACCAGAAATCAAAGGGGAGGGGGCTGAACCAGCTCGGGACTCTTGGATCTGGGAACCATTACTTAGAAGTGCAGTATGTTGATGAGGTATACAATGCAGAGAAGGCAGAAGTAATGGGGATAAGAAAGGACCAAATAGTACTGATGATCCATACTGGGAGCAGAGGTCTTGGGCATGGAGTGTGCCACGACTCATTAATGAAAATGGCGGGAAAGAACGCCGATCACTCCCAACTTGCATGTTCTCCCTACAGTTCTAAGGAATCCCAGGAATATCTTCTATCCATGGGATGTGCAGCAAACTTTGCCTTTGTCAACAGGGCCGTGATAACCAAGAAGGCCAGGCAGGCATTTGAGAAGGTGTTTCCTGGATCAAGACTCGACTTGATTTATGATGTTTGCCATAACATTGCAAAGGTAGAGAGCCATAGGTCCCATGGAATGGAATATGATGCCATTGTACATAGGAAAGGAGCATCAAGAGCATTTCCCCCAGGACACCCGGATATTCCATGGAAGTACAAGGAGATAGGGCAGCCGGTGATAGTGGGGGGATCCATGGGGACATACAGTTACATCCTATGTGGCTCCGAGAAATCCATGGAGTTGAGCTTTGGATCTACATGCCACGGGGCAGGTCGCGTCCTCTCTAGAAGCAGATCGAAGGACCTGTTTACTCACAAGAACGTGTGCGATCTCCTAAGGAGTCAAGACATAGTATTCAGATGCCCCAACGATCCCGGGATGGTTGAGGAATCACCTGGATGCTACAAGGACATCAATAGAGTTGTTGACTTAAGCGATAGAATTGGACTGACAGAGAAAGTTTGTCGGATGAAGCCATGTCTGGTTATTAAAGGATGATGCTAAGTCGTTATATTTTATTCTTGATTCTCCTCAGCAGTTTCTCCATAGATAACATAGGAAGTTTTCTTCTATTGCTATTGAACAGTGCAGGAAAAGGCCACAGGGCATTGTCGTTGGAGCCATTGTTATCTTTGTCCTCTACAATTCGGGCATCGCCTATGATACGGTGCTTGAGTGTTTGAGGGTCATAGTCGTAATATGTAAGATATGCTGCCATGACTCCTGTGGTATGAGGAGCTGCCATCGACGTTCCAGATATGATCTTCTGTGTTCCCCCTATCCATGAGCTGAGTATATCCACTCCGGGTGCAAAGATGTTCACACACTTCCCGAAGTTGCTAAAGAATGCAACGGTATCTCTGTATGTAGATGCACCTGTTGTTATACTTGCTTTTGAGGACCCTGGAGAAAAATCACAGGCATCATCATGATCGTTACCAGCTGCTGTGGAAAAGTGTATTCCTAGTCTCGATGCATATTCGATTGCAAAGTTGAGAGCCCTGTTTCTAAGGCCTCCGACACTGAGATTGACAATGGTCTTTGGCTCCAGGGTTTTCTCAGAAATAGTGTCCACTAGCCGCTGTACTGACGGCACTCTGGATCGAAGGAAAGAAAAACTCTCGGGGTCGCTTATCTCTATATCAATGTCCGAGGATCCGCTAGAGCTAAGGTATTCGTTGGCTGCTGCACTGTAAAGATCGTCCTTCTTCCTTTCATGCTCCTTGATCACAAAATCAAGCCCCTGGAGAAGTCTTGAGGTCATCCCAGATCCATGTTTGTCAAGAACTTTGACGGCGATGATACTTGATTCCTTGGATATCCCAAAATTCTTGCCTCCAATAACACCTGCGCAATGCGTTCCATGCCCATGCTCGTCCTCATCCAAGCTTCCTGCAACAAAATTGGCTCCCCATCTGGCTCTTCCCTCAAATTCAGGGTGGCTGACTTCCACTCCAGTATCCAGAACATACACATCAACACCCTCCCCTGAATTAATGGGATAGTAGTAGTTTCCACGGGCAAAGGATGCACTCCCCCCAATCTTGGCCAGGCCCCAAGGCGCATGCCTTTGCATCACAATCCCTCCCATCCAGGTACCAGCTGGAGTGTCAACCTTGACCCCACTGATCCCCACCGGCGTGTCCCTAACAACCATTTTCACGTTTGGATGTCTCTTCATCTTCTCCGCAGTGGACTCGGTCATCCGTGCAACAAACCCATTGGTTATCTTTATTTCAATGCTTTCATCGGGCTCAAGAATGCTTTGCGCCTTAAGAATGTTCATACTGTATAGTGCACTCATCGATGCTTTGTCCATGCTTGGATCCTGGTCAAACATTACAATGTAATCACTCCTCTCCCTACACAATGCTAAGGACAGAAACGCAATGGCTAAAATCATTTGCTTTCCAATATTTATTGCGGTATATATTTATTTTCTACCTGAAACGGTCGTTTTGGCTGCTAGTAGCAAGATCCACAGGCACACTCTCCCTCCTTGCAATTAGATCCTTTGTGGATCTCCGTTTGGTCTTCTTGTCAGCCAGCATCTTACTCACCTCATCTCTGATTTTGTCTTTTATTTTGTACAAGTAGCAATCAACCGCTAGGCTCTGGAACACCTCAATCAGGTCTCTGAATGTCCTGATTCCATAGACCTTCATTATCTGGATAAACCTAGACCTCAATAACCCAGAAGAAAACCTTACGAATAGCTTTATAGTCCTCCAGAAAACGTCTTCCAGATCGATCGGAATGCCCAGTTCATAGCCACTGAGGTCGGGAATCAGCTTAGATATCTCCTCCCTTATCCTTTCTCTTCCCACAATCTCTCCATCCGGTGACTCAATCCCTCCTTCATCTATGAGCCTGAGAATCTCTCTAATCTTTATGTCAACGGAACAGAAGTGGTTGTGCAGTATCACATGCCCCATTAGTGCCATGTTGTTGTATTCATTCCAAAAAGGAACCACCAGCTTGCTTGATATATATCCGTTGATTAGATGCGATAGCCTCCTCCTATTGGTTCTGAGCCTTTCGCACAGCCTTTCCCACTCCTCGTCCGTGGTCGGAATCCCCTCTTCGGGCATCTTGAAGGACTTTCTGTACAGGTAGTTGAACCCCATTATTCTGTAGTACATCGAAATGCACTTCCTGGAGGTCTTGTTCATTATTCCGCATATCTCCTTCCACCTGAACCCAAGAACTCTGACAAGATTCAAAAGCTGGATTTCGTTTTCGGGCTCCCACTTTGCATCAATGTACGGGTGGTAGTGGTAGGATACATAGACCCATATGGAATTCATTGTTCTTTGCCCCAATGCATTGCTTATCTCCACTAGGAGCTCCTTGATTGGAAAATCCAACTCTTCCTCAAGAAAAAAGCCATACAAGTTCTTCATCTCCATGCCGTGTTCCTTCAGGAACCCGCGGATAGTCTCATCAACCACCTTTGCTTCATAAGAATTGTAGCACCCTCTCTTCATGGCTATTCCATGCTTCTCTATTAGATCCTTCACCTCGTGTGCATCCGTAAACTTTGTCCGTAGATGCTTGGCCGCCTCCTCCTTTGTCCTAAAGACATGCATGGGTACAGTGCGACTTATTTCTTTATCACCACCGACTTTATTTCCTCAACCAATGCCCTGTTCACACTCACCCCAAAAAAGCACTCAAAGAGACTAAGCTCTTCTTCATCCAGAACACTCAGTGCAACCATCTCTGGCTCGTAAACCCCGCCAAAGTACTTGATGAAGTTCACTCTCCCATCGCCATGGATTTCGTCCAGAACACTAAGCTTTTTCAGAACATCTATATTCAGCGTCTTCCCAAGCCTCAGGAGAAAGAACTGTACAGGACTGATATTGAACTGGAACTCAATCAGCTCTATTACTTTGCATTCTATGGCTATAATCCTTTCTCTAGACGGTGCTGTGCTCATGTGTGCAGCCTTTGCCATTGCCTCTAAAATTACATCCAGCTTTATCAATGTCTCATTGATCTTGGATGCCAAGTAAACACAGACAAGAGCAACTACATTGTAGCTCTCCTTCTTGAAAAGCTTCGGATATACCTGCTGGAATATTATCTGGGAGACTATCCTGGTCTTGTATGGTATGCAGAGAAGCTTTGCGAGGTTTGAGATTGTTCTGTTTCCTTCCACAATGTCGTTCCTTAGGACAGATTCCATGAAGGGATTTGATGGATTTTTATCTATCCCTTGGATGTTCATCAAGGAGATAGTTCTTGACGGGTTCAAGTGCTATGAAGAAAAGGTGACTGTGGCGAACCTCGACAGGTCCTTCAATGCAATAACCGGGATGAATGGCTCTGGGAAGTCCAATGTTCTCGATGGAATACTGTTTGCCCTTGGGCTTGAGAGTACAAAAGCTCTGCGAGCCAACAACACCAGGGAGCTTGTTAATGCCAACAGAAAGGAGTGCAAGGTGAGTCTTGTGCTGTGTAATGAGGAAAAGTCTAAGAGCCCTCCTGGGTACGAGCACTATGACGAGATCTGCATTTCCAGGAGCATTGATGCTGAGGGAAGAACGAAGTGTTACATAAACAGCCATCTCTGCACCTCATCAGCACTAAGCAAGCTGTGTACGTCGATGGGACTTGGGCCAAGAGGGTCTTTTTCCTCTATTGTGATGCAGGGGCATATAACAAAGGTTCTAAGTATGAAGAGCTCTGATCTCCGCGAGCTGATTGAGGAGACTGCAGGGACAAGGTCCTATGAAAGGGAGAAGGAAAGAGCAATAGCGATGATCGAGAAGAAGGAAGAAAGACTTAAGGATGTGCGGGAGATGCTCCAGAGAAGGATATCCCCGTTCTATGACAGGCTTCGGCAAGAAAGAACAAGGTTTCTTGAGACCAGAGACATTCATGAGAGGAGAAAGGAGTTGGAGCGGAGAGAGCAGGAGATCAAGGGAATGTTGGTGCGCCATGAGATAGGCGAGGAGATAGACACACTAGAGAAATGCTTGAGAAGCTATGCCGGCGAAATGAAGACGCTAGGGGCCATTGAAAAGAGAATTGAGGAGATTTCTGGGGCCAAAGAGGAAGTTGATGTTGTATGGATCAAGGCAGCTATTGATGGAGAGAAACTGAGGCTTGATGAATTGAAGGGCAAAAACCTGGAAGAGGAGCTTGTGGAGAAGAGAGAAGAGATGAAGAGGATGAAGGATCTGACGCCCAGTGTTGAACTGGATGAGCTAGTTGAGAGAGAAAGATTGCTTGTGGAAAGTCTAAGAAGAATAGATTCTGGAGAGAATGATGTCTTGAAAAAGATTGAGGAGGTCACGTCGCTTAAGTTCGAGAGGTCTCGCGCTGAGTTTGAGCTTAGCTCGATTTCTGGGGGAAGGTTTTCCCAGGAAAGGCTGGACGAGATTGAGAGGCTTAAAGTTTCTGAGGACGAGATTGAGGAAATGAGGAGGAAGGCCCACATTTTGAGATCGAAGATCAACTATCCGTTTGTGGAGGGGGTGTTTGGAACTGTTGAGGAGAATGTTGAGGTATGTGACAAGAAGTATCTTGAGGCCGTGTACACTGTGATGGGATCGAGGGGTAAGTATGTTATAGCGTCTGATGAGAAGGTTGGAGGGTTTTTGGTGAGCACTATGGAAAGGAGTGTGAGTGTAATACCGCTTTCGAAAATAAGGGTGTTTTACCTTTCTTCGAGTGTCACGAGAGAGATAGAATCGAAGGGCGGTGTGAATATGGTCAGTCTTTTGAAGTTTAACAGCGATGTGCGGAAGGCGATTGAGTTTGTCTTCAACAACTTCTTTGTGTTTGAAAGCAAGGAGATGGCAAGAAAGGTTTGCTTTGAGCAGAAGGTGATGTGTGTAACTGTGGATGGGACTGTGTACGATCCGAAGGGAACGCTCAGTGGAGGAAAGACAAATTTCAGGGTTGGCACCGTGCGTAGGAAAGATGTAGAGGATATCGAAAGGACCATTGGACTCCTAGAAGAAAATAGAAGGAAGTTTGAGAGTATGAGGGAAGAGTACGGAGAGCTACTGAGGGGAAAAGCATTGCATGAAAGAAGAGAAGAGCTGAAGGAGAAGATAAGGTCTTTTGATACAAGAATCTCCATACTGTCTAACCTGTGCGAGAATGGAATGAACATCAAGGAAGAGCTGAGGGCTGTTCGCGAAAAGATGGTTGAAGGGATGAAGGAAAAGAACGAGATTGACGGGGCTATAGAAAGGAGAAAGAGGCTTGAATGCAAGATAAAGGAGCTTGAGTGTGCGATAAGAAGCAACAAAGAAGAGATTAGGATGTGTGAGGAAAAGATACTATCGTATGAAAGGATGCTTGGGAAGCACAACATGGAGAACGACAGCAGAAGAATGAGTGAGAAGGAGATTGATGGGCTTGAGTCTAACCACAGGCATTTAATCAGGAGTACTGGGAAGCTGCAGAACAGGATCACGAAGATCTATAATGATGTTGAGAGGAAGCTGAGTGAGGCGTCTGAGCACGGTGTAGAACAGAGATATGGAAATGTCGGCATGCTTGATGAAGAGATTCGTATGGCGGCAGAATCTGCAGGGATCAGTCCTAGGTGCCTCTTGATTAGGAGGAAATGCATAAGTGAAGAAGAGAAGGCAGGACTTACAAAAGAGCTGGAAATGATTACAGGTGAGATGGAAAGGCTAAGATGCATGAGGAGGTCTACGATGGATCCAGCAAATTTTGACCTCCTTGAGCGGAATGAGCTGATGATTGAGGAGTTGAAGGAAAAGATTGATAAGCTTGAAAAAGATAGGCTTGCGATTGGGCAGAGCATATCGAGATTTGATGACCTGGGATATAAGGAGAATCTGAAGGCATTCAAGCACATCAATGGAAGGCTGGGGAGGTTCCTCAGATACTTTATACCAGGCTCTGATGCAAGGATAGATGAGAGGAATGGGGAATACAGCCTGAAAGTCAAGGTTGGAAACTGGAAGGAGTCTCTAAACGAACTCAGTGGAGGGCAGAGGTCTCTTGTAGCCCTTTGCTTGATATTTTCGATGCTGACGTACAGGCCGTCTTCCTTCTATATCTTCGATGAGATTGATTCTGCACTGGACTTAAGCTACACACAAGGGATTGGGGAAATTATAAAGAAGGAATTCGATAGTGCGCAATTTATAGTTGTGTCTCTGAAGAGCGGGATGTTTGACAATGCAAACAACATATTCAAGGTGTATCTACAGGATGGAAAGTCAAGGATATGTAGAATAAAGTGACTGTCCTATGGAAATAAAATATTTTATGTTCTATGTTTGCGAATGGGAAAACCCTCACAGATGAACGAGACTATGAAGAGTGCAAAGTTTGACTTTGACACTGGGGATAGCGACAGCCACAACTACACTCACAATGAGTCTGAAAGCTATTCTGCAGAGGATGCGAAGTACGACGTCGGGAAGGAGGAAAGCTCAGACCCGTTCGAGAAGCTGAGAAGCAGTGCAGCAGATACCCTTCACCAAAGGACTGGATGGATCTTCCTGGTAGGTGTCTTGCTGTCTGTACTGGCGGTCTGCTGCTGGAACCTTCAAGTGGATGTCAAGGACAGAAGCGAATCCATTTCCAGCATCCGGGTGAAGGACATTCTACTTGCCTGCTCTTTAGGCGTGTTCACATTTATTGGCCTGAACTTCGTGATCTTCAAGACGAGTTTTCTAGGGATGAAGAGGTCCAGCAGCCTGAACACGTTCTTCTACTACGCAAACGAGCTTTCGGAGCATTCATCTGCAGGAATCATCTTTATCCTGGGATTTTCTCTGGCGTTGCTGAAGGGCTTTGACTACTGTGTGTATAACAGGCAGGGGCTGGACCTGTTTCTCAGCGACGTGTTCAGCAGTCTTCTGATAGCGACCCTCATGCTCGGAGTTGTGAAGGTATTCCACAGGGCCATTTCAATGAACTTCAACTATTCAGTGTACATTAAAAGGATCAGAAGGGTGCTTCTTGAGGATGCATTCATTAATCTTCTAGGGGTCATAGATAGTAGAAAGAACCGGGGAATTGAAAGATCAAGGCTCAACAGATCTCAGGAGATCATGTACAAGAGCGATGCAATATCGTCCATAAACGAGTACATGGAGGATCTCTACGGCTACAATGAGCCCACGAACGAGCTTGATCTGCCTAGAAAAAGGGTTCTTCTCAAGGAGTTCCAAAGGCTTGTGAGACGTTCTAGCGGTATCCGTGGGAGTGTTATTCAGATATCCCAAAAGCTTAAGAACAGGGCTGCTAGCAAGGCAAGCAAGATAGTTGGAAAGGACGGGGTTGGGCCCATGTCTGACCTGTCGCTGTACTTCCACAACCCGGAGGTGTTCAAGTTCTTAATGAAGGAAATAGGTGTTGAGGAGGGCTTCAAGTTCACCAAAGGTAGCCTTGCGGACTTTATTGAAAGAACATACAGAGAGAGGCACTTTTTGAAGGAGAATCTCGAGCACATGAACTCTGCAATAGACAAGGTTGCACTTGGACTCAAGGTCATAATAGCTGGGCTCATTTTGGCGATGCTATACATTAAGGCTGGGGGAGAGGGGATTACAACCATAGGAGTGATATCTGCATTCTTCGGGACACAGTTTATATCGAACTCATTTTCTGCCAGCGTGATAGGCAGCATAATTTTCCTATTTTTCATCCATCCATATGACATTGGAGATAGGATTTTTGTGACCTTGGATGGAGTGGAGGAAAACCTTGTTGTATCTGAGCTGAATGTGTTTTCAACTGTGTTCTATAGATGGGACGGGGTCTACATAACGATCCTCAACACAGTGCTGGCGCAGAAGGCGATCAGGAATCTTAGAAGAAGTGGGATCATGGCTGAGTCTCATAGGATCCAGATAAATAGTAGGACCAACCAGAAGAAGCTGATTCGCCTGAAGGAGCTTATAGAGGACTTTGTGAAGAGTAATCCGGAAGACTATACAGAGTACATAATGCTGAATCACGAGTACATTGAGGATGCCTCGAAGCTCCACATGAAGGTCTACATGCAGTACAAGAGCAGCTGGCAGAATTTTGAGCTGTATCTTCGGAGAAAGACAAAGTTTCTGTCCTTCTTGAACAGGGCTCTCCAAGAACTTGAGATTGAGTATGTTCTTCCGCCAAGACAGATTTCCTTGAGAAATGCCTAGGTGGCCCCTTATGTTTTCTCACGCTGAGTAAATAGACTCGTTTAGATAAGGATGTGTAAGCCGGGTGCCCTAAGAAATGAGAAGCCAGATTTGGTTTGAGAAGTATAGGCCTCGGAAATATACAGACCTGGTGTTCAAGGAGGATGTTCACCATGATGTTCTCAGGTGGCTAAGAGACTATCCTGCCCACGGAAGGATCCTTCTACTCAAAGGACCCCCGGGAACAGGGAAGACATCGCTGGTGCATGTTCTTTCATCTGTATTTGGACTAAATCTTGTTGAGTTTAATGCTTCCGACGACCCCAAGTACATAGAAAAGATATCGGGTGCCTACGGAACCATTGATGGAAAGAAAAACCTCATTTTTATTGACGAGATAGATAGCATCCCATTGGCAGACCTGGAAAGGCTGGTGTCTTCCATAAAACTGGTCTATCCCGTTGTGATGACATCCAACGAAATACATTTGGAGGATGTCTATACTGTGGAGATCAAGAGGCCTGGGATCAGTGAGATCAGAAAGGGCATAGAAAGGATCTGTAAGGAGGAGGGAGTGTATGTCGGGAACTCCGCCCTGTTGCAGATGGCAGAGGATTCCGGTGGGGATTTTAGGGCAATAATAAACCATCTTCAAGTACACAAGGAGAGATTGCAAAACTCAAAGGATTTAGGAATTGGAAAGTCTGCCTCTCTAGTCCAGCATAGAGCGGTGGAGCTCGTCCTGACCAAGCGCATGGGGTGGAAGACATACGAGGATGTGTATTCTGCCAATGTACTATCTCTATGCCACAGTTCATTTCCACACAATACCGGCCTAATGAGACTGGTTGCAGACATAAGCGAGGCCACATCTCTTGCAGACATCCTTCCTGAGGAGTTCAGGTATATATCCCTGTCAAGATACAATATGTGCAATAGCAAAAAGGCCAGTATACAGAGCATGGTGCATTATGAAGAGACCATGCATGACCCTGTGAGGGAAAGAGTCCTTCCCTACTTTAAGAAGTATGATCTAAATAGAGCAGACAGAAGGAGTTTAAACCACTTGAGGGAAATAGTGAGGATGTACAATATTATGGATGTAAGGCTAAGAGAGGAGGATACAGCAGAAAGTAACATGGGAGACGGTTTCAAGAGATTCAAGTTCAAATACAAGCCTGGGTCTTCATCAGCATTTAGGAGGGATGTGACGATGGATGATGTCATGGATTGGTTCTTTAGCACTAGGCATTAGTCATCCTCAAATAGAGAATAAACAAGTTCCATAAGCTCCTTTGGATCCACAACAGATTTATGGTACAGAACAAGAAGAAAGTTTACTATTGATGGATTTTTCCTCTCTTGCTTTGCAAACCTAGCTACATCATCCAGGAACATGCCTCCATGGAGCCTAAGGGCATTCCATTTTTCCATCAGGGCAAGAGTATTCTCCGGCAATGCCGAGCTTGCTCTTACTCCTTTGTTAGCCAGCCCCAAAAGGCTTTCCATTGACCAAATCCCATTGACAGAGCCTTCATATCTCTGGCTGACATCTTGTACCTTTCCTGGTGTCAGTCTTTTCCTCTTATATTTCCTGGAAAAATAGACCAGTGTCCTGCAACTCTGTAAAGAGTCGGAGTCCTTCCTGAGAAGGAGAGATCCCTCGCTTTGAATGCATTTGTATCCGGAATGGATGTAACTGATGTGAAACGCTAAAGAACTGATATCCTTAAACTGCTTGATGCAAAAAATACAGCGAAATCCATATACTGTATACCTTTCTCCTTCTATTTCAAGGCCTAGCTCAGGCCTAGCCTGTCTTTCCAAGCCACCTTGGCCACTCCAGCAATAGTGAAGAAGGCCTTGGTGTTTGCTCCTTATGTTTATGGACTTGAGTATCATATCATGGGACGGATCCTTGTCTATTCTGTAGAACCCGTCCTTATGAAATAATTCGACTCTATACAAAGGCACCTTTGGATCCCGGAGGGAGTAGCACCCACTAAACTGGGCATAATACATGGTTGTCTTGCCCCTTGCATTCGTAATAAATATGTAAAGTACTGTCCTTCCATGGCACGAGAAGTTTGTCATCCTGGTTTCCCGTATGTCCTTAACTTCATAGTAATCTTTTGCATCTAAATCAGTTGAAAAGTCTATCCTGGGCCCAATACCATCATTCCATTGATATCCTCTTACTAGTAGGGTTGCAGGTTCAGGCTTCCCAGCCCTGGGCACAATGGACAGTATGTATGACACAGAGCATTCTTTCTTCACGCCTTCGGAATTCCTCTTCCCTGCATCCATCCTTTCCACCTGCCTTTCAAGAGCAACCGGATATAGTCCAAGACTATTTTCCACAAGCCAATCAATCATAAAATGGGTCCTCTCATTCTTAGGGAAAAGAAGCTTTATTAAATAAACAGACCTTTACAAGACTCATCCCGGCAATATGTCAATGGGGTGAGGACTCAGGTGCTATAGAGAAAACACTCTCATTGTCAGAGTAGTTTATAGATGTAGGGTTTTCGATGTTCTTACTGTAGAAGTGACTGTATACATTTTGGGCATTCTCAAGGTTTTTAACAAGCCCCATGTTTTCTGTCTCGAGATCCTTCAGCCTCGTCTCCTTTGACTTCAACTCCTCCTTCATTTTCTTCATCTTATCCTCCATTCCCTTCATTCTCTTCTTAAGATCTTCAATCTCAGATTTGTACTTTTTGTTGCTTTGCCGGAGATCTTTCGTTGCATCCTCACTTCCACTTATCGTGCTCTTCATCTGTGCAATCTCCTCACTGTATTTTCTTATTATCTCATTTGCAGTGTTCAACTCCTCCTTGAGTGTTTTGTTCTCATCCTCTATCTTCTGGGCTCTCTCAACAAGCCCAGAGTTCTTTACATCCTGCAGCTTGAGCTTGTCTAGCTCGTACTGTAGCCTTCCGTTCTCTTTCTCCAGATCATAGGTCTTGCTGTTTAACCTCTCCACCTCCTCCCTCTGCGCATCTCCTTTCTCATTTAGTAGCTCGTTCTCCTTGTATAGCTTGTTCATCTTCTTTTGCGCTGCCATCGCCTCTTCTTCTAAATATCTGATCCTGTCTCTCAGCTCCTTCTCTCCACTTCTGCACTTATCCCGAAGCATTCCGTTCTCCTTAACAAGCCTCACGTTCTCAGACTCCATCCTCCCTATCATATCTCCCAGGTACATCTTATAGTGTGTTTCGTCTGGCTTCGAAAACTTCAGCTCTAGCCTTACTATGTTTCTGAACTCGTCCTTCTCGACAAACAGGAACTTGCTTGTTTCTTTTGAAAACAGCCCTCTTAGCTTTCCACTGTGCAGGCTGTGAAACATTTTTACAAGAATCGACACAAACTTCTCATAGTCAACAATAATGTCTTGCTCCCTCTTCATCACATAGAAGTCGCCCGGAGATATGGTGCTGAAGTAGAATGTAAAGATGTCCCGAGTATCAATAAGCCTGATCTCAACCTCGTCGTCAGAACGTACAATGTCACACTTCATCTGCCACGGAATCTCCTCGTTCTGGCACGATATGGGAATCTTCCCGGTGAAAATCGATTCCCTCATTTCAGGGTTGTGTTTAAGGCGTCCTAGTAATATAGGGCTCATTTGGCCATAACTGCATACCGAGCATGCATTCTCTACCCCATGCCTGACGTCAAGAAGATACATGCTCTTCAGGACATTGCCTCCACAGTGTCATGCCTCGGAATCAACATGCCACAGATAGTGGCTGTAGGGTCGCAGAGCAGTGGGAAGAGCAGTGTGCTTGAGCAAATAATAAGAAGAGAGATTCTTCCTCGTGGCACAAACTTGGTAACAAGATGTCCTGTTGTCCTGCATCTTAGAAGATGCAAAGACAAGCCTGAGTGTGTGGTGTTTGACCATCTTGCAAACCCTGTCTATGACTTCGCGGAGGCAAGGTCTATAATTACACAAAGGATGGTGGAGATATGTGGAGACAACAAGGGAATTAGCAACAGCCCAATAACTGCATTTGTAAATCTGAAGGACACGTTGGAGATGACTGTGGTTGATCTTCCAGGACTCATAAAAGTTCCCATAGGCGAGCAGCCCGAGGACATCGAGATCCAAGTAGAAAGCATGGCTCTTAGCTATGCAGCAAGAGAGTCGTCAATAATTCTGGCTCTCATAAATGCTAATGCAGACATAGCAACGAATGAGGCATTGAAGATTGCAAGGAAGGTAGATCCCCAGCTAAAAAGAACTTTGGGTGTGATTACAAAAATCGATTTAATGGATGGCGGAACCGACTGCTTGAATATTCTTCAGAACACAAACCCAAGGCTAGCCCTTGGATACATAGGTGTAATTAACAGGGGGCAGCAGGACATTGCTAAAGGGGTCTCCGTGCACGAGGCCGTTCTCAGGGAATCCGTGTACTTCAGGGAAAGCCCCTTTTATAGCAGGTTGTATCCTAGCATAGGGTCCGACTATCTTGTGAGGAGATTAAATGAAGTATTCTGTAAGATGGCAGTGGAATCTATTCCAGGAATCAAGGCAGCAATAAGAAATCAGCTGAATGACAAGGCAAAAAGGCTTCATGAGTTGGGGCTTGGAAACACCACGAAAGGTGAGCGGTCTCTTGTATTGGACTATCATCAGGTAGTTCTTGGGATATTCAGGAATATCAAACCCAGCAGCGGGGTATTTTCGAAGGATAGCACAAGCTTTTTGGGTACCCTCAGGGAAACATTTGAGAAAGATAGGCCTCTTCCTAGTTTCGAGGACCTCACACACAGGCTTAAGAAGTCATCGTATATATTTATATCGGAAGATGTTTTCTATGACGTGGTAAGAGAAAACATAAGGAAAATGGCAGAGACATACCTGGAGAAGGCCAGAGCTGCAGTAAAGCTGCTTACTAAAGAAGTTTGGGGTATATCAAGCACGAGGTTCGAAGCTCTATCAAAAAAACTCAACAGTGTGACCTGCGAATGCATAGAAGAGCAGAAGAACAAGCTTCTGGACAGTATACACCTATACTCGTCTATACAGTCGTCGTATATCAACGTAAACCACCCGGATTTTGACAAGTCAAGGGCCTTGGCTCTAATTCTACGAAAGATGCCGAGGGCCGATCCTGGCATTCTAGGCGCAATCTTCAACACTAAGGAGATGCCCTTTGAAGACAAAGTTCTCGAGGCACAGGTCATAAAGGAGTTGGCAGAGTCCTATCTTGGAATTGTAAACAAAGAAATGAAAAACTATGTCTTCAAAGCAATTCATTATTACCTATGTGAATACATAGACTCCAAACTTCTCGGCATCCTCACAGAATTGGAAATCGAGGACTCAGCACTGTCCGAATGCCCAGAGATTGTTCACGAAAGAAACATCCTTTTCAAAGACGTGGAGGCATTGAAGAGCGCGCTTTCTGCCATAGGTAATCTCTGATTTCCAGGAAACAAGAAGGATACAGCCAAGGGCCCTCCATCAGAGCATGAACACCTTGGATATGATCTTCTCGACCTCTTTCTTAGACTTTTCAAGAGAATGTGTGTTGTCGACTTCATAGTCGCATTTGCCTCTTATCGAATTAAATGCCTCATAAAGGTCCATTCGTGCTTCTATCTCCCTTTTGAGCCCACTTCCCATTCTCTTCTCCAATCTTTCACGGGCAACATCCTTATCGCAGTGAATGTATATGATAACAAAGTTGGGGCAATTTTTCTTACAGTACAGAACACCATCATACTCCAAGTCGAGGAGCACGGTTTTCCGAGTGTTTTTCAGCTGGGATGCAGATGTTCCATAATAGTTTCCGTTATACCGGACATACTCGAGGAGTTCTTGGCCCCTAACCATCTCCTCAAACTCCCTTACAGTCACGAAGTAATAGTCTTTTCCATTCACCTCTCCTTCTCTAGGCGCCCTGGTTGTGTGAGACACAGAAAATTCAAATGGAAACCTGGATAAAACATGACCTATGATCGTGGACTTCCCAGAACCGCTAGGACCAGTAAATACCAAGTGAACCGTGTCAATCATGGGTACGAGAAAAAAGATAAAAAAGACAAGACACATCCAGGCAGCATGCAGAAAACAACTAATCCATTTATTCATAAAGTCCGTCGTCATTGAAGTCCTTCTTCTTATCAAACTTTCGGACATCAATCTTCATAGACCTTGCAAATGCTTCATATCTTTCAACCTCCTTGTCAGAAACACTACGCCTTGCAGTCTTCAGGGCTTGCACAAGATGGTCAGGCCTCAGATACGGAACAGGGTCCTCAAGATCCATCATCTCAGACCCCTTCTTTTTTTGCTCAAGCTCATACTCAATCGTCTCCCTTATGGCCAACTTACATGCTCTTTGGCATATCTCGGAAAGATCGGCCCCAGAAAACTTGTCAGTGGCTTCTGCAAGCTGTCGAAGATCAATATCAGGAGAGAGAGGTGTCTTCTTAAGTGTGGCCTGAAGTATGGATACCCTGCTCTCAAGGTCAGGGAGCGGGATATAGACCAACTGATCGAGCCTTCCAGGCCTCATCAGCGCGCTGTCCAACTGATCAGGCCTGTTCGTTGCTCCAATCACAAAAACATTCTTCTTCAGGTTTATTCCATCCATCTCAGACAGCAGCTGATTCAGCATCCTATCTGTGACTCCACTGCTTCCGTCATTTCCAGACCTCGCCTTGGCAATCGAATCTATCTCATCAAAGAACAAGACACAGGGCGCCGCACCCCTTGCTCTAGCAAACAAATCCCTAATGTTAGACTCAGATTCTCCAACCCACATGGAGAGGAGCTCGGGGCCCTTTATCGATATGAAGTTGGCCTTACACTCTGTGGCAACCGCCTTGGCAAGAAGTGTCTTACCACATCCAGGAGGCCCATAGAATAGGACTCCCTTGGCAGGCGTCATTCCAAATTTTATGAACTTCTCTGGATATTCCACAGGATATTGAACAGTTTCTCTCAGCTCTTGCTTAACCAGCTTGAGCCCTCCAATGTCAGACCATTTGACATTCGGGGATTGAATGACCGTTTCTCTAAGGGAGCTTGGATCCGTGTGCTCAATTGCATATCGGAAGTTTTCATTGGTGACCTTCAGAGAGGCCAAGACTTTTGCCTCGATCTTATCATCATCTAAATCTATCTGCGGAAGCTTCTCCCGGATCTGCTGTAGCGCTGCCTCACTACAAAGTGATGCCAAGTCGCTTCCAGTAAACCCATGCAGCTCCTTGTTTATTGCCACCAAATCAACGTCCTCAGACATCTTCATGTTCTTGGTGTGGATTCTAAGGATCTCGAGCCTTCCTGTCTCGTCAGGCACCCCAATCTCAATCTCACGATCAAACCTCCCATACCTTCTCAGCGCAGAGTCGATCGAATTGGGCCTATTGGTGGCCCCAAGAACTATCACGTTGCTTCTTGCTTTCATCCCATCCATAAGAGTCAACAGCTGGCTCACAATTCTTCTCTCAACCTCCCCCTGAGACTTCTCTCTCTTCGGTGCAAGTGCATCTATCTCATCAATGAAGATAATCGATGGTGCATTCTTCTCGGCCTCTTCAAATGCCTTCCTAAGGTTGGACTCGCTCTCCCCAGCCATCTTCGACATAATCTCGGGCCCGTTTATCAGAAACAGAAAGGCCCCGGTCTCGTTCGCTATTGCCCTTGCTATTAAGGTCTTCCCTGTTCCAGGCGGACCGTAGAGCAGAATCCCCTTGGGTGGCTTCACCCCTATTTTTGAGTACAGCTGCGAATGCCTGAGGGGAAGCTCAACCAGCTCTCTGATCTTCGCCATCTGTGCCCTGCATCCCCCGACATCGTCATATCCAACCATGTTGAATTCCTTCTCAACCTCCTCCCTCGAAATGGTTTCGTCGCAGTACACAGACGTCGTCGATGTCACAGACCCATGCTTTATCTCCATGTCCTGAGCATCTATCATCTTGGTAACCTTGAACTCAACCCTTCCAAGCCCTGAGCTAACCCCATAAATAGATCCCACAGTAAGAGGCATAAAGTTGAAATCCAAAAATGGCCTGACAAACTCGTCAAAAATGTTCCCTCTGATCTTCTCAACCGTGTCCTTTATCGGGAGAAAGTTGAGCTTGCTAACCACAGGAATATCCTTATCTACTCTATACAGCTTCACCGTGTCGGTAATCCTTACCCTCAGGTTAAACCTTCCATCCCTGACAACCGCAATGTGCTTCGGCGGCACACTCTCAAGTGCAACAGTGCTAAATATAAGCTCAGCCTTCTTCTTCCCTAGTATCCTGACATAGTCAGACTCAAAAAGCTCCAGCTCATTAAGAGTCGTGGGATGGAGCCCCACCTGATATGTCCGGAGCTTGTCACAGTCCTTGTCGCAGACTATTAGCGTATTCTTTGTCTTTGATTCAAGAATAGCTGTCGAAAAATCTTTCTCATTCATCGTACCTGCCATTTGGGGCTGTCTTTGTTTTTGTTTTTACCCAGTCTTTTTGTAAACAAACTGATGCATACAGAGTTACAGTTCTCCTTGCATCCATCCACTAGATCGTGTGCCGCAAGGCCCTTATTCCTTCCGTAAGAGCCAATATAAGCCAGGACTGCTTTTGGAAGCCAGCTGCAAATGCCCCTGGCCGTTTCCTTATACGTCATAATACATGATTGGCTCCACCCTAAAGGAATGGGATGGTGTTCAAATCTTCTTTCATCCTTGACTCTGATCGCTTTGCTTCTAGCATACGCTTTTGCGGGAAGGATTGCAAAGTGCATACTATATCTGCCTCTCAACGGCATCTCCTTCATGATCTACTTCAGAATTAGAAGCTTTATTGGAAGAAGACATCTCAGCGTAGTCACAAATGTGCTTTCGAGACTTATAAAGTTTGCTGTTGGGGGGCTTCTAACATATACAACAGCATCACTAACTTCAGCAAAGTGCGCCCACGGACCCTTGGTTTTGGGAGGTATTCTCCTTTCCATAGATCTTATAAGAGCATACCTCTACGAGTCGTCGAAAAGGAACTTTGAAAACAAAATACTTACGGGAAACTTTATGGACATCCTTAAGCTAGAGAAATACATCATACACTCTGTGGAGGGCCCGCAGTCGGCAGACTTGGAGAGAAACCTATCTGTTGACGAGTATTTTAATAGGGGGCGCCCAAAGCCAATAGAAGCCAACGGGCTTTTTGATCTATGGAATGACCAAAATCCTTATGAAGAGCATGCTTCTGACAGCGATTTCATCGAGAGCAATGTGGGATCAAAAAAGAAGGTAAGAAGACAAAGAATATCGATTGATCCCGAGACATATGGGTTTGCTAGTGAAAAGGGGAGGCCGCCCAGAGATATTCTGAGGATCGAGAAGGTAGTTCTTACACCTGAGGAGAAGAGGAAAGAAAGGATGTATGCAATGAACCCGTCCGAGATGATGCCTGGGATGGACTGCAAGCCAGAGATTGATTGGAAGGACATCAGCGGCGAAGAGTGGGGGTTTCTGGAAATAGACAAGAAAAGAACCAAGAAGATTCCGGCAAGGCCTGGGCTGATAACGATTGAATCGCTTCGGACGCAATTTGGAGAGAAAAATGCAAAGGAGGCATACTCGTTGATTGCTTTCAAGAGAGGAGAAGGGATAAACTATGATGTCTTCAAGGAGAACTGGAGACAGATTAACGGGGAGAGGGACAATCTGTACAAAACGATTATGGACAACAGGAGACTCTTGAATGTCATATGGTTTATTCTGGTTCTCCTTGAAAGTATCATTGGGTACCTAATGATATCCATGTACTTCAAAACACAACCACTACTGCTGGAGCTGATCTTTCCAATGGTGATACTTCCCGCACTTCCGATAGTCAAGATGACTGTGGAGTCGTTTTTGTTTATTATATACACCCATCCGTATGATCCTGGAGACCGGGTTCACATTGACGGAGAGAATATGGTGGTTCGAAGGATCTCGCTGTTCAGCACTGTTCTCGAGACGTGGGATGGGATGGAGACGATAATCCCAAACCTGGTGATAAGAGAAAAGGCCATTCTGAACATAAGAAGGTCGAAGCAGCAGCAGTGGAGGCTCTCGCTATTAGTATCGTCAAGAACACCCGAGAGAAAGATCGAGCTACTGAGGGAGGCGATCAAAAGGTTTGTAAGGCACGACAAGTCCTACATTACTGCAAGTGTGAGTCTTTCGGAGATAGTCGACTGCAATCATTTGAGATTAACAGTAATTGTAAAGCATTCTATCAACTTCCAAAGTGGGTTCTTTATGTGGACAGCCCATACAAAGTTTGTCAACATGGTTCTGGCGATTATGTGCAAGCTAGACATTAGGTTTGCACCCCTTGGTAAGGAGATTGTGAATCTGGGGCCCACCTATGAACATGCTAATTATGAAAAATGACAGGGGAGAGATGTCGAAGTGAAACCAAATCTGGCCATGTTGTGACGGAATGATTCCAATTCGTCGATTTCAGGTTATCAAGATGTTTTGAAAGAAAATAAAATCCATTGAAACAAACCCTGAATGGAAGAATTTTCGACAACCAGCAACAGAAGGGAGAAGCTATCCAAGCCTCTTCTGCCTGAGGATGTTCCAAAGAGGGCTGTTGAGCCTCAGCTTAGGATCCATGAAAGAAGTGTCGAGGAATTCCAGGACATTTTGGACATGGAGCCGAAAGAGGGGCTTTTTTTTTACATAAGAATTCCCGGGCTGATTTTTGTGGGGTCTGTTGCAGGCTATATCATAGGAAAGGCGGGCCTTAGCTTTGTTAACCTATTCTTTGTTGGATATGTGATTTTCTTTGTCTACAACCGCAAGGTTGAAAGGTTCACTAGGAGTCTTAAGTCATTAGTTTACCACAGTGCAAGAAAGGAGAAGGCCAGGAATAGTGGAGAGACTGTTGAGTGGCTGAACTATGCCGTTAAAAAGTTCTGGGAGGTTGCGGAGCCTGTTATTTCTGCGGAGGTGTATCAGCAGGTCAACAACGAGCTTCTCAAGATCACGCCACCCTTTCTCAATGGGCTGAGGTTGACAGAGTTTACCCTTGGAAGCCGGTCGCCTTTTATAGAGGGAATATCCTACATAAGCATGGATGGAAATACTCTTGCAATAGAAATGGAGGTTGCCTTTGTGCCATTAGAGATAAGTAGGGATGTGGTCAACTACCTGGAGGACGACAGCAAGAATTGGAACTCGAAGATCCAGTTGTCTGCCAGGGTTGGAACAAGAAACGGGATAGGAATCAACCTCCCGATCCTTGTTAAGGAGCTGTTTTTCAAGGGGAGGGTGCGGATTGTTGCAAACCTGTTTTCTAAGAATGTGTTTGTCAAAGATGTGGAGGTGTGTCTGATGGACAGTCCTGAGTTTGACTTTACCCTTGTTCCGCTGAAGATGGTTGATATAATGGATGTTCCAGGGCTCAGCAGGTGGATAAGAAGCATAATCAACTCTTCGTTGGCAACGACGGTTGTCAACCCAAACTCCATTACGGTTGACGTTGACAAGATTTCGAAGGATAAGGGGAAGACGATTGGGGTTGTGTGCCTCCAGATACTTAACCTGGAGAATGAGGAGGATGAAAGGCTGTCTGTTGAAATAGATGTGGATGGAAGGGTTGGGTACCAGACGGGGTATGGAGAAGGAAAGGGAATTGTTTACAACGAGCACTTCTACATGCCTATTGAGAATGTCGACTCGAGGATAGGGCTGTCTCTAAGAAGTGAGTCGAGAAAGACCAGAAGAAGAAACGGATCGATATTCCTGAAGAACCTTCCCCTGGGCAAGATCGAGGAGTCTGCGAGGTGCGATCTGTACGATCCCAGAAGGACCTTCTTCAACAAGACAAGGCTGGTTAAGGATGAACAGACGTATTCATTTCTGAACACGAATCTGCAGTTCTATCCTATACAAAAGGAAAGAAGCAACAGCGGGATAATCAAGATGATGCTGGTTGGTATTGAGGATCTTCGGGGGAACAAGGCGTCGAAGGCATACACGTACTCCACGTTCTGCACGGTAATTGTATCTCCCATCAATCGGGAGGAGTCCAGCATCCCAATGGGGTTTATCGAGAACACGGTGAGTGTGACGGCAATGATGGTTAGCGGGATAATCAAGACAACAGGAAACGCCATTACAAACATCATTCCTGGGCTTGAAACAACGACCACAAGGCTTCTCCCCTCGTCGAAGAATACCTTCTATGTGTTTGAGTCGAAAAGGATATTTGGGACCAACTCCCCCATCTACAACGAAAGCTTTACATTTTTCTGTAGAGATATCCAAGTTGATGTTGTGTCGATATGTGTTATGAATGACAAGACCAACGAGGTGATAGGAAGAGTGTCGATTCCTGTGAGGGACATCCATTTCAACAAGAAGGAGAAGTACAAGCTTAATGATGCCTACAGCGGAAGGATGGAGCTCTCGTTCACAATTGATTATGTAGATATGGTTGACAAGGCGACCAAGTTTGTAAACTACGAAAGAATGATGAAGGTTTCTGTGGACTCCATGAACGAGAAGGGGGTCTACTATGCAATATTCGAGACCAACACGGATTGCTTCAGGATGGAGACGTTCACCTCTGCACTACCGATCAAGAGGACGTCTTATGTTCCCATCCAGCCCCAAGACGCCTTGAGGTTCAGGCTTTACAAGGAGACGATAAACGGGGATGTGTTTATTGGAGAAGACAAGATAAGCTGCAGGCCCTGCGATGGAGTTAGGAAGGAAGCCTTTCTACTTGATGAGCAGATAAGCCTGACTCTTAGCATTGAGGAAGAAGCTCTCCGAGACTATTCGGGGGCACCAGAAGAGAAGAACAACGTCAAGGTGATCCAGGCCAAGTTTGGAAGGTTCTATGGGCACAGCCAGGAAATGTTCATTGAGTTTAGCAACAAGTATGGGATAATCGGGGCTTCTGGATTCACCAGGGGAGGAAAGCTCAATGACACGTTCACCTTTATTTCTGGGAGCGAAGAGATATATGCTGTTGTTAAGAGTGGAGACCAAACAGTGAACTCGACAGTGGGGCAGTGTATAATTCCAAAGAGGGCTTTGAAAGAGAGAGTCATGCTCAACGAGCAGGGGCTGTCAGTTGACATGGAGGTGAGGATCCAGGGGTGCTCATACAAGCCACCCTCGATGCTGAAGGCTGGATATCTCGAAGTCTACATCAAGAACGGAAGCAACATCCGGCCTACACAAAGCCCGGCTGACACCTACTGCAAGATCCTGGTCAATGACACCAAGGTGTACACGACCAAGCCTGTGCGTAAGAACAGCAATCCTGTGTTTAACGAGTCGTTTATCATGGAAATAGACAAGACAAAGGATGTTTTTGGGATACAGGTATGCGACTACAATGTCTCGGAGAGAAATGCGCTTCTGTGCTACACGGAGTTTTCGCTCCACAACCTGTCTGAAGGATTCAGTGAGATGGAATTTGAATTGTTTGATGGCAAAACCTTCCAACCTGTTGACTCGAGGATCAGGATTGGATTCAACTTCTGTGCAGACCACAAAAGCCTGAAAATCAAGAAAAAGGGGATTTTGAGTGACTTCTTTGGATTCTGAATTAGATTCATTAAAACACAAATGAAGCATTTTATACATTACTCCTCCTCCTTCCAGAGGCTGTTCAAGTCGTCAAGCCCCATTCTTTTATCCTTGAATATTCCGATCATCGCATCGATATAGCTTTCTTTGAAGGAGAGCCCGTAGCTCTTGAGAATCGTCTCCACATCTGATTTGTCTATGTATCCCTTCTGGCCTCTGTCCCAAGAGCTGAATACGTCCAGGCATCCTGCCTTCTTGTGCACCAGGGAGCCGAGGATGGAATTAAAGTCATCTCTTGTCACAACACTTCCTAGAGACTGTGTCAGTTGGGAAACCTGCTGGGGATTCACATCAAGAAACACAATGTCTATGAACTGCTTTAGAGCCTCAACAGTCATGCCATCGCCGCCACTTACCAAATCGTACACCTTATCCGACTCAATCCTCTCTATCATATGGGCCTGTCTGCAACCAAAAACAATGGGAGGCCTGCCGCATTCTCAGAATTGTCACTGCCATTCCATGACGGGAGTCGAGTCGAATATGATATATTAGGGCAATAGATAGGCCATTACACCATGAAATTGACAACTTTCGGATGAAATATTTCTAACTTTTTAAGTGTTAAATGAATTCTATATATGGAAAAAGAACAGAAATTCCTTGCATTTCCAAATATAAATAAAGCCTAAACAGCAGGTTCAATGGTTAGAAAGAGTTTGTACATTTTGGCTGCTGCCGGGGTAGGAATCATAAAGGCCACCACTAACAACGGGGGGCTCTACATACCCAGTAGTGTCTTGCAGGACCTAGGAAATACTAGTGGATGCCTTATGGTTACAGAGTCAGGAGATGGGAACTTCAGTATTGTGCCTAGTGGGAGTCCTGTGTATATTGAGCAACAGAATGGGCACGCCGAAGTGAGCTGGTCTCCTTTGGTTGGAGGAAATAGAGCAGTGCCTGTATATGCACCCAGTGCACAAGAAGTAAGAGAGAGCATCCCTTCTGCATCTGGCTTAGAGATAGTTCAGTACACTGCACCCCAGCAGGAAGGATTCGTCTCTTCTTCTACGCCTGTGGTTGCAGTTGTTGAGGAGGTTGTGCCTGTTAGTGGCGTTGCTGTATCTTCTACCTCTTCTACACCTGAAACAAAGAGTACTGGCACCACTACCACTGCTGTAGGAGCCACTGGTGACAAATCAAAGACTACAACAGGAACTACAAGCGACAAGAGTAAGAGTAGCTCATCCTCCTCTTCAAAAAAGAAGAAGGGTGCTAAGAGCATTATGGCACTTGGAGCAGTTCTAACTACAGCATTGTTCTCAATCTTGTGATGTAAATAAATTTTCAAGCATCAACTTTATTTATAACTCCGCGGCATCCAGCAGTAATGGAGTATTTTTGAATGCCATTAAAAGCTAGCTCCCAGGGCTTTATAAGCAGATAGATTCCTGCTATTTGGAAGGAGGCGTACTTATGTCCGAGCACAAGACAAGCTTGGTGCTAGGATTTCAATGAGCTCCGATAGCCACCTCCCAACTAATATCCCGCGTTCTTGGGCACACCCAACCACCTTGTCATGACTTATCTCAGAATCAACATCATATTCCATGGGACACTTGCCTGTAATGAGGCTGAACCCAAACACTGTAAGCCCGGCTTGGTGTGCAGTAATGGCCTCTCCCACCGCACTCATTCCAATGGCATCAACCCCTAGCTTATGTAACATCCGCGATTCAGAAACAGTTTCATAGCATGGCCCGCCAGCAATGGAAAGAACACCCTCTCTAAGGAAAGGCTCGATGCCAAGTCTTTGAGCAGCAACCTTTGCTTTTTCTCGAACCTCCTGTGAGTATACTTTGTCCATGGGAACAAACCTTGGCCCCCACCTTTCGTCGTGGGCCCCAATTAGTGGGCTGACTCCACCATACCCAAGAAAATTAATATGATCCTTTACAATCATGATGTCGCCGATGTTATAGTCTGGATTAATTCCCCCAACTGCATTACTGATTATAATGTGTGTTATTCCACAGAGCTTCATCATCCTGACGGGCATAGAACATGTGGATAGAGGATATCCTTCGTAATAATGAAGCCTTCCTTGCATGCATATAACCTCTACACCACCCATCTTACCAGCGACAAGCTTGCCATCATGGCCTTGGACGGTACTAACAGGAAAATGAGGTATGTCCTTGTATCTTATCTCAACCTTTCCTGATAATTCCTTTGTTATTTCCCCCATTCCAGACCCACAGATAATGCCGACTTTTGGACTTATCTGTATTCTCTTCATGACAAACTCAGAGATGTCCTTGACTAGTTCGTAAGTGTACTTTATGCTAGAATCATGGGAGCCGCTTCCGAAGCCTTTATTTGCTTTGACTTCCGTAAACATCTTGGGATGCCATTGCACTCCTCTTAAATTAAATTAAAGCAAAGAAGGTTCCTTAAATATCCTAAACCACATCAGGCACGAGGATAGTTTCATGAAAACCGGGTGTGCAGGAGAGTTATAAGTTCAGTCGTGCATCTAGATGAATAAGCCGTGGATTCTGCGATTAGGAAAAGCCGAGCAGTTCATTCCATCTCTGCGCATCCCTCAGTAGGTACCAAGAGCCTGTAGAATTATTCTCTAAAGCCCTTACATTCTGTATATTTCGGACTTCTAGAGCAAAATTTTCTGTAGAGAAGCCCTGATAAAAATGCCTCAAGAAGCAAAGTATACATGGGATCAGGAGCTTAACGAGATCAACATCCGATTTCCAATGGTTGAGGGTGTGGATAGTAGCTCAGTAAAGATAAGCGTCGTTGGTAGGAAAGTACTTATGAAGATACAGGAAGACGTAATAATGGATGGGGAATTCCTGCACGAAGTAGACTCCTCCAGCCTATGGTGGGTAGTTGATGGAGATACTGTTGATATAAATATAACAAAGAAAAGAAACGAGTGGTGGGACAGCTTACTAGTAGGGTCTGAAACTGTTGATGTGCAGAAGCTGGCTGAGGACAAGCATGCCGACATAAGCATGCTGGATCCCGAGGCAAGGGAGGTTGTGGAGAAGATGATGCACAACACAGGCAAGAAGGACTCGAGCGAGTTGTGTGATTAAAGCTTATGGAATTGCAATGTTGTGTTTTTTCAGGTCCAAGGAAAATATTTCAAAAAATAAACACAGGAGGGGCTTATGACGGCGAAGGAGATCAAAAGGATCATGGAGAAGGAGACTTCGAGGGTGAAGAGCCTCAGCTTCCATCCAAGCAAGCCTGTGATTATTTCTGGGCACCACAGTGGGTCCATAAGGGCATGGGACTACCAAATGGGCGCCTGCATCCACGAATTTCTTGACCATGACGGGTCTGTGAGGGCTGTGTTATTTCATCCCCGAGGAGACTTTTTTGTGAGCGGAGGAGACGATAAGGTCATAAGAGTGTGGAGTTACACCGAAAGAAGGATCACAAACCGGCTCAAGGGGCATGAGGACTTTGTCAGGTCGTTAGACTTCCATCCAACAAAGCCATGGATTCTTAGTGCGTCTGATGATCAAACAATAATGGTATGGAATATGCTCACAGGAAAGCTCCTTGCAACTGCCAGGGGACATTGTCACTATGTGATGGCAGCCAGGTTTCTAGGAGAGGAGACTATTGTGAGCGGGTCCCTGGATCAATCCATAAGAATCTGGGACTGCAGAGGGCTGAAGGAAGGAAGTAAGAAGAACTCACTACTACCCGACATAGTCATAAAGCAGATTGTGGATGGACACGATAGAGGAATCAATACGATTGCGGTCAAGGATCAAGTCTTCGTTAGTGGAGGAGATGATAGAGACATTAAGTGTTGGGAATGGTCGGATACATCTGTCTGGGAGAAAGAGGTTATGTACAACCATCAAGGGCCTGTGACCGGGCTTTTGTGTGATGGAAAATACATATTGAGCTCTGGCGAGGACGGGCTGTTTTCGGTATACGACACAGAGGGCAGAAAGTCTGTTGAGTGCCGTACAGAAGGGAGGTATTGGTGTGTGGCTAGCAAAGAGAATTTGTACGCAGCAGGCCATGATTCTGGATTTGAAGTGTATCTTTATTCTGAGCCGAAGATTGTCTGTGTAGACGGCGAGGGTCTCTTTTATTTGAGGGATTCCAAGATTTACTTCAGCGATTTCAAGACTGAGAAGATGCTCTTCAAGGTGAAAAAGGACGTGGTTTCTATTTGCTCCAAAAGTCCTTATCTTCTTGTACAGTACTACGATAGATTTGATGTTCTTATGGAAGGAAAGGTTATTTTGGGGGAATCTGGGGAGGGAGCCTTGTTTAGGAACTCGAATGGTGATATGGAGCTGATTGTAAAGAACGAGGATGGAGCCTTCAGAGGGGACATGAATTCAAAGAACAGAAGCCTTCTTTCTTCCTCCAAAGGAAGGCTGCTCAAGGGGAACGATGACTTCTTTTTCTTAGTTAATGGAAGAAGCATCACGATGTGCTTTGTTGAGGGGGAAGAAAGATCGTTCAGCATTCCCTTCAATCCAACAAAGGTGGCCTGCTCAAATGACAGGATATCGTTTATTGGGAGCAACGACATTCTGGTCTATGATCTTGACTTGAATCCTGTAAATAGCATCAATGAGATAGCCTCTATTGTGGATGGGTTTTTCTATGAAGACGTCTTTGTGTATGCAACTTACAGGCACCTAAAGTATGCGTTTGAAGATTCAGGGGTTCTGAAGAGTATTGAGAAGCCTATAGTTCCATTTGCTCTTGAGGAGGGAAAGGTCGTTTACTTCTTGTCTGATGACGGAATTGAATGCACCGATGTGGACTTAACAGAAATAAGATTCAAGAAGGCTGTTCTGACTGGAGAAGATGTTACTTCTCTGATCGAGGAAGGAACGATGCCTGGGCTTGCACCTCTCTCCTATCTTGTTAGGCAAAAGAAGGGGGCACTGGCCCTTCCGTACATTAGGGATAGTAGGCAGCGGTTTGAGCTCTGTCTCAGTGATGCGAGGTTAGATGAGTGCATGGAATATTGCATTGAGGAAGGAGACGGAGATATGAACAGGAGACTTGCAGATACGGCCATAAGGGAGTGTAGGGTAGATATAGCAGAAAGATGCCTTGAAAACATAAAGGAATGGAATATGTTGTTTATGCTTTATGTATGTTCGAAGGACAATGAGAAGATCAGGAGACTTGTGGATAAGGTAGACTCCGTCACAAAAAACATGATCATGATGTACTTAGAAGATGTTGAGTATTTCCAAAGGATTGGGGTGATTGGCAAGTATGAAGGTAGGAGCGAGGAGAAAGAAGCGGCCCTTGAGGATGAGGAGTGCAACCATATGGAGTCGGAGGCATCTGGTTCTCTCAGGCTCAAATCATCAGCCTCGAGTGATGCCCTACAAGAATATGAAAGCTATGAAAAGAACAGTTCCTTGCCTGAATATGAACCAAGCACACCTAGGACAAAAGAAGAGGGTATGGCTAAGGACCTTCCCTTTGATGAGAAATCTTTGGACGAGAGCGGCCGTTTTGAAACCTCTGAAGACTTAGATAAGATAATGGAGAAGGGGCTGTCTCTGACGACAGAAGGCAAGTTTGGAAGAGCTGTCGAGGCATTTCTGGCGGGGATTGTGAAAATTGCAATCTACATACGCGACAATAACGCAAGCGAAGCTTTTGTCGAGGAAAGAAGGAAAATAGGGTCATATCTCTCTGGGTTAGCTGTGGAAAAAATAAGAAGGAAGACGGAATCACCTCTAAAGAACATCATGATGGCTAAATACTTTTCTGAGCTTCCGCTTGAAAAGGAGCACCATGTCCTGGCGTCGTCTACTGCCATCATGGTTTTTAGAAAGAATGGGAATTTGAAGCAAGCAAAAGAGCTGGCGGTACTACTCAAAAAGGAAGGGGGTAACAGTAGAGCCATTGAGAAGGCAACAGAGGAAGTAGATCCAGAAGACAGGTACGAAGTTCCCGAGGGTGTATTCTGCCACGACATTCTCGAAATAAGGCCTGTTGCAAAAACATGTCTGCTATGCTTTGTCAGAAGCGCACACGGCGATGTATGTACAAGTTGCAGGATTGGTGTTCTCCAGTAATAATAAAACACTATGGTATTTCTGCATTGTTGCTCCTCTTGATTAGCTCCAAAATTGAGATTCCTCTAGATAAGCCCTTGGGGTTCTATGAACAACAAAAAGAAGGTGAAGCCAGACAAGAATTCGTACGGCGCTTTGAACCTTCCTCAAGAATTGATTCCAAGGATCATTGCTCATCTGAGTGTGAAGTACATAAAGAGATTAATGAGGTGTAACTCCCTTCTCTACACAAAGCTAAGAAACGACTTCTCACTGTGGAGGCTCTTTACGTCTGGGAGATATCCTTGCGTTTCCGGATACATCAGTGAGATTAGGAACAAATACACGCTGGTGAAAAACATATCTCGCTCCAGAAACGAAAGAAGTGTTGATTTTGAGACAAAGCAGTCTGATCTCACGTATATGCAGATAGACCGGGACAAGGTGATATGCTCTTCGGATGATCAGACCATAAAGATATTTGGGATGGATGGAAGGCTCGTAAGAACATTCATTGGGCACAAAGGAGGTGTGTGGACCTTCATGGTCAACAGCAAGTTTCTTGTGAGTGGAAGCACAGATAAGACGGCGCGGATCTGGGACTTGCATACTGGGTGCACGCTTTGCGTCCTTGTTGGGCACAAGTCTGTTGTCAGGTCTCTGAAGATGTATGAGGACTATATTGTAACTGGAAGCAGAGATTCGGAGATAAGGGTCTGGAACTTCAGTGGGACATGTCTTAATGTGCTCAAGGGCCATACGATGAGTGTTAGGTGCATGGACATAAATGAGGCCTATCTTGTGAGCGGGTCCTACGATGGAAGTGTTGCTCTATGGGACTACAGAAAGGGAAGGCTCCTGAGATATTTAAAATCACATTCACTTAGAGTGTATTCTGTTTCTCTCTCGTCGAACTATGTAGCCTCTGGAAGCCTCGACTCCAGTGTGCATGTCTCGTCTCTCGATGGAAGGCTTCTGTGCTCATACAAAGTCCATCGGTCGCTGGTGATCTGGCTCAAATTTGTGGGAAATGGGCGCTATCTACTCAGCTCTGGAGCAGACGGGATTTTGTGCAAGTGGGATATACTAGAAAATGCTCTTGTGTACAAGATCGAGGAGAACGGGCATATAACGGCACAGGCGGTGATTGAAGACCTGCTGATAGTTGGAACGAAGAGGGAGGTGAAGATATATAATCTGTTTAGTGGAAGATTTATCAGAACGCTGTTTTCTGCCTCCTCTTTAATAAGTAAGGTTGAGGTATCTGGAAGATGCATATCTATCGGATACTATTCGGACTCTGGTGCTTGCAGGCTCATAGTGTTTAACTATTAAGAAAACGGCCTGTGTAAGATAAGTGCAATAGGCTGCCCCCTGGAATGATCCACAGGCAGGCATTAAGAAAAGAAGTCTCAAAGCCTCTGTACCACAGGCTTGCAGATGAGGCGCTGTCAAACCTGTCTGAGCATTTGGAAGACAACCTGTGCGATGGATATGCGGACTATAAAGACGGAAATCTTCAAATCAAGGTTGGGAATGTTGGGGAATACATGTTCAACAAGCAGCCGGCGTCAATGCAGATATGGGCCTCGTCTCCGATAACAGGGCCCAGGAGGTTTGACATATACAGAAGCTACGAATGGATAGACACCAAGAACAATGTCACACTTAGCAAATATATCGAGGAGGAACTAAAAAAGATACATAGCAAACTAAATAGCGCATGAGTTCACATCTAGAATGCACTTGTGAGTAGAGGTATTCTATTCCACAAAGCTCTTTAATCACCATATCTTTAAAATTCAATATCCCTTGGTTATGCCCAGAAGCTTCTCCTTCTCCTCAATTGTCCTCATCGTGACATAGTAGGTTTTTCCTGATTTCAGTGCCGAGTAAAGCTCACAGGAAATATCTCCAAGAACATAGCAGGACTTGTGCACAACCATTTTGCAATCTCTGCATTCAAAGCCTTGGTTAACAAGCCCGTACAAAACCTCATTGCAGAAGTCACAAAGGGATCCCTGGGGCAGCGTCTTGGTAGCAAACAGGTGATTATTAAACTCATAAATCTTGACGGGGTCTTCAGGAATGTTTTCTACAATTGTGCTTTTCCTGCTTCTTTCAATCTCTGCCTTCAGTTGGCTTATTTTTCTGTTTGATCCTTCAAGCTGCATATTTGCTTCTTCAAGTGTTTTTCCTTGAAGCAGAGCTCTAATCTTCTCTATTCCTTCTTTGATGGCCATCTCCGTGTTAAGATCCTCCTCCAGAGACTTGAGGCTTCTTCTTCCAGCCGAGCTCACGCTCTTGACCTCTTCGTTCATAAAGACTATCCTTAGTGTCATCGGGATCTTTTTCTGTGGAAGATGGTGGAGCTCGTTAGGTCTCAGCTCCCCAACGTAGACATTTGAGATGTAGTGGGCATCGTCTCCCACCCAAAGACGATCCTCCTCTATCCTTACAACTATAGACTCTCCACTAACTAGGTGGCATGAAAATGATTGCCTTACAGTTACTCTATGGACCCTTGTTCTTTCTTTCTTCAGAAAGTTCAGCTCCTCCTCTATGCTCTTCCTGAAAAGTATCTCTTGATTAAGCTTTTGCTCATATTCCTTGATCTCCGCGGTTCTTAGCCTAAGCTGTCTTTTCAAACTATCGAGTCCCTCAGACTTAAGCTTTTCGGTAAGGCTTTTATTTTCATATTCAACTGCTGCCTTCATTCTAAAAGCTTCCTGGTACTTCTCTTTGCAAACCTCGATCTCAGATTTCAGGCCTTTATTTTCCATGGCAAACCTGTTCATGGTCTCCTGGAGTCCATGGAAGATGCCTAGAATCTCTTCCGTCTCCCTCTTGGCTCTGTGTACAGTCGACGAAAGCTCCTTGAGCAGCGCATCTCTCCTCTCAAACCCTGCTTTGGAAGTCTCGCTGCCATCTGCAGACCTCTTTTCTGCATTAGAATACTCCTCAGAGAGAAAGGCCTTATTGCTTGCCTCCTCGGCTATGTTCCTTAGCCAGCTTTTGTATCTTTCAAGCTCAGACTTAGCCTCCTCCAGCTCTTCCTTTTCAGACAGCAACTGCGTCAAAACATCCTTGAGCTCCTTCTGACGATTCCGAACTTCATTCTTGGAGTCCTCCAGCCTCGCTCTAGTTCTTTCGAGCTCCGCCTTCACACTTGTTAACTCCTTCTTCTGGAGTTCAAGAGCCTCTTTGTTCTCAGAAATCTCGGCTAAAAGACCCTCAAGAGCCCCCTCGTACTCTCTGGCCTTGGAGCCTTCCCCATTGCAATTGGGCCCCTCTCTTTCTATCATGCTGCAGAACTTAGATACAAATCCCGGGTCAAAGGTAAATCCTACAAACGGCATATAGTTCCCCTTCACACCCAGGTTTCTCTTTTCAGGATCAAACTGTGTGTCCACAAAATGTGATGTGTCAGAGTCCCCGCTTATCTCGGGAACAAAAGGCGGCCTGAGCTCTTTGAGCCTGCTCCAGTCTATTCCCTCGAAAAACTTGTGGCCCTTTATGTCGTCGATCTTGATTCTTTTATCCTTTGTTGTTATTAAACTTTCAATCAAATTCGTAAGCTCTGGAGATACCTTGAATGGAAACCCAAACTCTGCCTTTGTTATCCTTCTGTATGTCTCCATCAGGGTGTCGGAGTAAAAGGGCGTGGTTCCATAGACCATCTCGTAGATTATAACCCCAAGCGTCCAGAAGTCCACATCCTCCCCATACTCGCATTCCTCGTTCACGGAGCATAAGACATCGGGAGAAACATAATCAGGCGTTCCAACTGTGATGGATGACTTCGCCTTCCCGTCCTTCATCCTAATGCAACTACCAAAGTCTGCCAACTTCACATGTCCGTCGCTTCCAATAAGTATGTTGTCCGGCTTCAGGTCTCTGTGTATCCATCCCAGCCTATGGAGCTCATCAAGTGCTGCAACAATCTCTGCCGCATAGAACTTCACCCAATCCTCTTCCAAGACATCCTCTTTCGACAGTAATCCCATGAAATCTCCTCCGGGAATAAAATCCATCAAGTAGTAGAGGTACTCCTCGTCCTGCATGGTCATGTGAGCACAAACAAGCCACTCGCTGCCAATGCAGTCGACCATCGCCTCCTTTTCAGCCATGAACAGTGCAGTGTGCGGCTGCCTAAGAACCAACTCCTTCGAAACCCTCTTCATGGCATAGATCTTTTCTTTCCTCACAAGGAAAACCTCTCCGTACCCACCTTTGGCCACATTCTTGACAATTTCATAATCAGAAGGCTTTGTCTTTTCCCCAATAACTTCTTTGATTCTTTCCAGTGGCACACCGATCCTCTTCTCAGATATCTCATGGTAAACAGCTTCTAAACAATCTCCAATTATGTTTATCCTTTCCATCTCCATAAGGACTTTGATTTTTAATGTTTTTACACAAGAGAAAGTTGGTGCCCAGAGGTATAGGTGACAGAGCAACCCTGCTCTAAAATCTTGAGGCAGGGTACTCAAGCATGCCATATATCCAGGCTAATTGTGGAAAGATGGTGCTCCCATGAACGCCAGAAACGAGAGCACAATTCTCACACCTGCCAAGGCACTGCTCGCAGAAGAGTCCATGGAATACTCTCTGCGCTCTCCCTCTAGTCGCCTTCGCCAAGGCCATTCTCCCCAAGGATGATTTCACATGGAATTAAAATCCAGGCAAGAATTTGTTCTGCATGGCCTGTGCTGCAAATAGACGCTCGGCCCCAGTCCCCAAATGGCATCTGGGGAGAACTTGGCGCCACGAGATGCAAAAGTCATTTCGGTGATCCTCAGATCTTTAGGAATAGAAGAGTGCGAGCCAAAGGTCATTATACAGCTGCTGGAATTTGCTTACAAATATACTACCGATGTTCTCGAAGATGCACTGCTATTTGCAAAGCATGCAGACAGAATGCACATCAGCACAAGTGACGTCAAGCTTGCCCTTCAGACAAAGGTAGGAAGGCACTTCGTCCCGCCCCCTCCAAGGCAATACCTGTCTGACATAGCTGCAATGGTCAATTCAAAGCCATTGTCAACACCAGAAGGCGAAAACCTCATCAAAGTCCCCCCTTCGTCCTCAGCATTGCTTAACTTGGACTATGAGGTCCTCAGAAAAGACAGCGACAAGAAGAGAAGGATCTACTGAATGTCCTCCAGAACAAGCACTAATTAAACTCCTTTTCAACAGAAACAGTGATATGCGGGTTTATTTCTTAAAAAGGTCGTACAGATGCTCCTTTGCAGGTTTTTGGTTGCTTTTAAGGAGGTTTATATACGCATCGACTACAGGCCTGTCTATTCTCAGGACTAGGTCTTCATCTCTAATGTTCTTAAATACAGATATTAACTTGTTGATCTCGTCTTCTTGAAATTTATCAAGTATTCGAAGCTTTTCCTGTGCCTTTGAATCTCCCTTCAAATAAATATCCAATATCTTTGTCCTCTCCTCGAAAGCTTTGTCTATCTTCTCCTTGAACAGGCCGTTCCTCCGCTCCAGGCATCCATAGAGGAAGTCCATCACAAGAGACCTCCTCTCCGTGGACGACTTCAAGTGCATCTTGGATATAAGGTCTTCACACGGAGAAACAAGCCTTGGAACTACCCTGTTGATTACCTCCGATACATTTGGAACAGCCAGACTCTTGACTACACCAACAAGAACCCCAGGCGCAAATATAGATCCTCCAATGCTGAGGCTGATTCTAGAGTCAAGCACGAGCGTCTTTGAGATCTTAGTCTTCTCGCCGTAAAACTCAGCCATCTCCCTGTTGATTGCCTTATGTATCCCGTCGTCCTCGTGCTTGGCATTCATGAGTCTCTTCATCATTTGTACATACTCTTCGTCCTTGTCCTCATAGTACAGCTTCGGGATCCTTCCATTTGTCCTGGACCTAAGCTCTCTGTACTTCTCCGCAGACAGCTCTTTTCCTATCGTTGATCTGTCACTATTGAAGTATTTGTTCCGAAGCTCCAGTGCATCTTTCAGGTCCTTCCCAACACCATCAACCTTGTCCAGATAATTGTTGAATTGGTTGAAGGCAGAAGAGTTTTCAACCAGAAGTTCCTTCGCAACAAGCACAGTCTTCTTCACAAACTCCTCCATATACTCACTGGTAAACTGGTTCATCTCGGAAATAAACACAAGAGAGTCTATGGATATGAAGCTTTCATACAGAATCTCTCTGTTCAGGTTTGTGGGAATTGCTAGACCTCCGTCGGTAGCACTAGTATCCCCATGGCCGCTCGCCATGTCCCCAGAAACATGCGCAACCAATGCATTAAAGAACAACCTTAGAAGGCCCATTGTTTTATAATCTTGCTTCTTTAAATCTCAAGCGTTTCAAGTCAGATCTGTTTGGAAAGGATATTTAATTCAGGCTACTTGTACATTGGAATTCCAGACCACACCATCCTCTTATACTCTGTGTACTCTGATGAGATAGAGGCCATCTCCCTCTCGTGCTCCTTTATCCTTGGGATGGTTCTATTGCTTACAAACCAAAGAAATATAGCAAGAGAGACAAAGCAAGAAAGATAGACAGTGCAGGACCCCCAGTAAAGTATTAGTGAGGAATACAACGGGTGTCTGATATATCTATACGGTCCATTCCTTTGTATTCTTCTCCCCCCGGCCTTGCTGTCTGCCATATATCTTAGGGTGATAAAGAAAAGCACAGTGGAAAAAATCAGTCCACAGGCTGCTGCAGCTCTGAAGACTCGGAAGACAAAATGCCCTGTAGACTTCGGCACAAAAAGGCTTTCAAAAAGCAGGAAGCCAAAGAGAACGGCAAAGTCGTTGTGCCTGACGATCTTCATGTTAGGGCCAATGCCCCGAGCCCTTTCTCTCGAGTATACAAATACTAGGAGAGATGTGGACGAGACTATGCGGAGCGGTAGATGGCTGCTCGAATGTGAAATGCCAAGCATAAATAGAGATCCAAGAGCAAAGTAAAATGAAGGACATTCCATTTAGGGGTTGTTTGTCTTATTCTTTCTAAACATAGGAGAGAAGAGACAGGCCTGCCGGATGGTTGAGCCAAAGATCTCCGGCAGACATCCGGATTCTATCCATGGCGCCTGCCTAGACGATCTCTGCAAGGCAGGTGTACCCTGCCAAGGAAAAACAAAAAGCTTATCACGGGAAAAACACTCCCTTGGGTAATGGCCAAGAATTTTAAGAGTAAAAAAGTGCAAAAGTCAACAGAAACAACCGAACTTGGGAAGGTCCTGTACATGTGCCAAGGGCAGCCGGTTGTGAGACTGACATCAAGGGACATTCCGTATCCAAACTCCCCTGTCTTGAATTTATCTTCAAGAATAATAGGAAAGGTGGACGAAATCCTGGGAAGAATAGACGATGTCCATGCAACTATCAAGCTGGACAACCCATCTGGTGAGGTCAACGAGGGCGAGACCCTGCTTTCCTATGTAGATAAGTTCATTCCAAAAAGGAGGTTTTTGCCCAGAGAGGAGGTTGAAAAAAGGAAGGAGGAGATAGACCGAAAGAAATCCAAGCCCAAAAACGATCACGGAGCCGAAAGAGGGAGGTCCAAGGCCTTCAGAGAAAGGCAAAAGATGCACGAAAGAAAACCTAACAAAAAGTGGGGTGCAGCCAGAAACGGAAGGAGCGAAAGTAACAAGAAACGGGATTATGGTAGAAGCAACCGTGGTAATTAAAGGTATTTTTTAGACAGAAAGTGGAAGACAATGAGAAGAATTTATTTTTCGCCTTCATGATTTGCAGACATCTCGAGTAGTTTCGATTCATAGTATTTTCTTTTCTCTATCAGCCTTTGCCTTATCTCGGAAATAGTCTTTTCATCTTCTTTGATCTTCCTCTGGATTTCCCTTGTTAGCCTCTTGTCATCTTCTCCAAGGGCTCCAGACTTGTTTGCTATGGATCGGCCAATCTCCTTAGTCTTGTAGTCATCATAGAATACCTCTGTCGCCTCGACAAGCTTTATAAGATTCTTTGCTATTAGAGAATCGACCAAAAGATAAAAGTCGTTGCATCCCACTTTCTCGAGGACCATTGTCCCCCACGGGTATTCCCTGCTCTGCCTGTTGCTATCTTCGGGAACTATGTTTTTTGCAATGACGAAAAAGGGATACTCGGACTTTCCAATCCTCTGCTTGTCGGGTATGTTCAAATGGAAGACATCGATATTTTCCCTGGACAGAACCTCTGCAATTCTGTTGCTGCACTCCTGTCTCTCAAGGTCACTCAAAAGATCGCTCTTCCCAACAACCGGGATCAGGTTGCACATCTTCGATATCTCCTTCATTGTTTTTATGTCCACCAGCTTTACATGCGACGGATTGGGCTCCAGGAAGTAAAGGCACACATGGAACCTCTTATCCTTTATCAGGTGCCTGACATTCCTTCTCTCCTGCTCTAAATAATCCCTGAAATTGTCCTGGATCAGATCAACAATCGGGACCCAGCATTCCTCGTTACAGACATTGTCGCCCACCCCATCTACCTCTGCTATAGTAATTCTTGTCTGGAAGTCCTTCTCGATGACAAAGAACTTGGATATCTGGACATTGATAAGAGAGTTTCTGTGCAAATACTTGTCTCCGTGCTCCTCATCCTCGTCAAGTGCTTTTGTAGAGTCACTGCCCTGATGAACATCGTCATCCTTCAGAAAAGGATCTGTGGATAGAACGGAGTCTCCAAGCATCTGGTTGACGAAGGACGACTTTCCAAGGCCGTTTGAGCCGACGATCATCATGTTGAAGTCTATTCCTGCTTTGCAGAAGCTTCGGTATTTTACATTTGGAAGGTTTGACACTCCTATACCTTTCTGCGTCATGTAAACAAATAATCATATAGTCTTTATAATATTGTAAACAATAAGGAACATCTGAAACATTGCATCTTTAAATACGCATCATTCTCTGTCTCTATAGATAATGGATGAAAAACTCAAAGAAATGGTGGATGCAAGCACATTTGCAGAGAAAGAGCTGAAGGCGATACTTGGAGAAATAAATCTGCAGAATGAGAGGCTTGTGGACATCCAGCGCAAGATTGGGCTCACCAGAGGCCATCTTCAGAAAAACTCGAAGCTTATTGGAGAAATACTTAAAGTCACAAAGCCAAAGCTAGCCATTGGAATAATAATTCTTTCTATAATGTTTATATTTCTGGTTTATGTCAAGCTAATATTCCCAAATTAATAAACACACTCTGTTTGTTTCGGTACCTGTTCTTATTTTTGACCTGTTTACTCTTCTGTCTTCCAAATGGAGCAAATCGATTGGAGTGATCCAGGATTTTTCTTCCGAGACAAGCTGAAGAAAAGCTCCACAACTGTAGAAGAGGAGTTCCGGAAAATAAAAACCCACAGATCAGAAAGAAATAAAAGGACCTCGGCATCAATGATCTTTTGCCTTGTTGTAGAGAGCTCGAGAGAATGGAAGGGAATGTATGTCCAGGCAACACTGGAGGGGAAGATGTTTGAGATGAAGGCCAGAACCGAAATACATCCCCAGAGCTTTCTAATAGTTGAATACAACAAAGAGCCGGCCCGCAGAGAGCCGCTTTGTGTCAACATTGAGGTGTGGGGCCCAGAAGAAATGATCTCTACAAAAAGATTCAGGATCTTGGAACTGGAGCAATCTTCAAAAACACCAATTTCTTTTAGGATAGTCTATGAGGGAAGAGAAGAGGATGTTGGGATGGAAGTCCATTGTCTTCAAACAAATCGAAATGCAAGTCAGGTCCACGAAGACATAAGGGTCATAGGACACCGAGGATGTGGAATGAATGGGCTCCCCACAACAAAGATGACAGAGAATACAATCTCCTCGTTCAAAGAGGCATATAGAAGAGGAGCAAGGTGGGTTGAGACGGATGTACAGCTCACAAAAGATCATGTTCCTGTAATTTTCCATGACTTTGTAATCCAGACCAGCACATCTTCTGTGGGAATAAGTGAGATAACACTCAAGGAATTTCTCCATATTGTAGGAAACCAGGACGAAGAAAACTGTAGTCTTCCCTGCACGCTTTCGAGACTTCTGGAACAAATTGACGATAGGCATGGAGTCAACATAGAGATAAAATATCCCCTTCCGTCCGAGGAAAGAAGGTACAAACTGAAGAACCTGGTTCCTGTCGAAAAGGTCGTTGAGAAAGTTGTGGAGGTGGTTCAGATAAGCAGGAGGCAGAAGGTGATCTTTTCATCATTCCACCCATATGTTCTTCTGATGATCAAGCTGAGGCTTCCTAACTTCGGCATCTTCATGCTAACAGAAGCAAAGGACAACGGAGAGAATCCATATACAAATACCCTGTACGATGCCTTATACTTTTGTACAAAACTGGGGCTTGATGGGGTTGTTCTGGACTGGAATTGCATGGCTACTAACCCAACAGATATCGTCAAGATTTTCAAGGCGTTTGATCTGAAGACACTTGTGTACGGCGATGAGATTAATGATAGGAACGTCATAGACACTTTGAACCAAGCAGGAGTGAATGGAATAATAATAGACGATTTAGAACTGATCTGTAATGCAGGCAACAGGGATTGCTGAGTCTTCTTCTCTATTGCTGCTTAGAACCCTGTCTTCAAGTAAAATCTAACATTTATTTGCTTCGTTAAGAAACTCCTCAAGCTCCCGCATTCTTATTTTTGTGTGATCAAACATACCACCTTCGTCTTCCCCGCCTTCTCCATCAACCTTTCTGGTATCCCCCCATGTGAAGTCATCGAAGTGCCAGAAAGCATATGTGGGGAGGACAAAGTTCCAGATGGGAATGGATAATATGTAAACCAGACACCAGAATACATATTGAACCTCCATCGTTGTAATTAGTATCAGTACTGCAGGCAACCCAAAGATACCGACAAGCATAATCAAAGGAACCCAAGCAGGCTCAATCAGGATAGATACAGCAATCATAACAAATGTAAAGATTATGGCGGCAGGCAACACCAGCGTCCCAAACAACTCCATAACGACAACAAGCTGCATAGAAAAGCAGAAGGCCCCACACAGGTTATTAACCTGGACAAGCTCAAATAAGTTGTGTATGGTTGAGTTGATCCATCTTCTTCTTTGACTGAGAAGAACTCTGAATTCTCCAGGAACGTATGTCTCACACTTTGCTGCCGGAATAAACACAAGCTTTCTTCTGTAAAAGTTCTTTAGCAATAGGGTCGTTAAATACCTATCTTCCCCCAGATGTAGAAGGTTCTTTTGATGCAGGGTCTTTGCCTCAAGAACAGAGTAAGCATTTATGATCGCAGGGTTTGCAAGAATAGGAAGGCAGAGGCTCTTTTCCAAGGACGAACTTAGGATGGATTTCACGTTGTTGAATCTCGGTGCCCCCGTCCGAGACTTAGATGGCCCAGATAGTAGCTGTCCTTGCTGGTTTGTAACTATCTTTATCCTGTACATACAGAAGCATCCAGGAAGGCATGTAACACCACCAAACACAGATTCAAACGTCTTGTTAAGGTGATGGCTGATGTAGTATTCAAAAACCTGTATCATGGTAACCCAGCTCTCAAACTTATTCAGGATCATCGTCTCCCCACATATCCCAATGACCTTCTGGTCTGTTTCAAAAACATTCACCATTGTAGAAAGAGCATCAGGCTTCACTATCGTATCCGCATCAACCATCAATATGCATTCAAAGTCCTCAGGCTCTATGTGGGGCATTAAGAGCTTCATCTTCTGGTATATCTCAAAGTCTAGCTCCGTCATTCTGTCCCCGTAAATCAGCCTCGAGAAAAATGACATTAGAATAACCTGGCTGTCCCTTTTCCCCCTATTCCCGGCCTTGAATGTTTCCTCAGGATTCCCACACTTGTTGATTATAAGAATCCTTGTCTTGTGGTTCCTAACTTCGGTAGTGTCCTCCTGCCTTCCAAAGCACGGCCAGCATCTGTACCGCCTACTCTTTATTTCCTCCTTCACATGATAATACCCAGCATACACCTTGGCACGGTTATGGCGCTTGGACCCATGGGTGAGAGATATGTAGCTCTTGGGCTCTGCGTTCCTATCAACATCAGACAGGCTTAAAACTATATCCGGCGTGCTCATATCATTTCCGGCCCCAGTTATTTCCCCGTCGCATATCACTACAATCATTTTGTAGTCGTACCCGTAATCCTGCTTGCAGAGACTGTCCAAAGTGTTTTTTATCCCATCCCTCCCTTCGCTGTAGCATGTAACCAACAATATGCAAGGCGTTGTGTTCGGCCCAGGGCGAGGCCTCTTCTTCACATACCAAGAGTAGAAAAATCCTAGCGAGAACTTCGTAATAATCAATCCAAAAATAGAAATAGTTGTTATCCAGAAAACAGTGTCAGCAAGCAGGCATCCAGGCGTCTTCGTGGCAACCTTTCCAGCATAGAACGTGTCCTGATAGCATCGCCATTCGTCCATGCCAAAGTCAGGTTTTCCCTCAGTCCCTGCATACTTGCTGTTGAACTCCTCGAATAGGGGCTCCGAGCAATGAGATGGATCATAAACCTTATTATCGACAACTATCATTCCCTTCCTCATTATATCTCCCCAGTCCCAGTAAATGTCATTTATCCTTTCCAACTCGTCAATGTCCTCAGTCCCACCTCCCAATTGCTTTCCAAATGCAAGTTTGCATGCCCCGCTGTTCTTTTCGAATACATGTGTATAGTTCTCTCCAAATTCGTATTCATCTTCTGTATAATATATTCCTCCATTTGCTATAACAACATTCCCATCAAAGCTATCCTTCTTTAGATTCGATGCAATATATTGGGTGTTCCCCTTACAAACAATAGTATTCATTCCATATGTAATAAAAGCCAGCACAACCCAGCAAAAAAATATACAGATACACAGCGCCACCTTTTCTCTCCATGCATGCTGCACTTCGGGCGTTTTCATTCCAAAGCATCTCAGCATGAAGTTCGGAATCAGGCAAGTTAGAAATATGGTAGCCTTGTACCACCATCCCCTATTTTCAGACGTATTTTTTGGAGGTTTCTGAAGCCTAGTCCTCGACGGATTTCTTAGTATTTCCCCCTGAGACAGCATTTGTTTGTGTGAGGTAGGCTCAGCATAAACTATTTTAATTAATTATACCTGGAGATTCCCAGGTGGACGTCAGGAAGTAGGTGACAGAGTTGACATAAACCTCATACAGGATGTCAAAGACATCCAGGTCCGCCGTGTCAGTCTCAAAAAACTCAAACACAGGCCATCTTCGGTCCCCCTTCCATCTCACTCCGCTCTTCTCAACCTCCCCCTCAAAGAGATATGCCTTCTTCCTCAAAGTACTGTTCCCCACAAACTCATTCTCGTTCACCTCAATCTCAACCATGTATGCATATCCATCAAGGTAGTCAACACGCAGCGACCTCACCCATCCCGTGCTGACCTCGTTGTTCATGCCTCTTGGAAGTATCGTCTCTCCAACCTCGTACCTCCCCAACACACGCCCCCAGTAGTCTCCAGGCACCATCGACGCAATAACCCGGTCCCTCCGAGCAAGCAGCGGCCTGATCTGCTTGTGGTGCTCTAGCTTGCACTCAAAGTCCTTCCTTGCAAACTCCTCGTACTCCCGCTCAATGTCCCGCTGGATCTCCTCCAGGTCCTTGTAGACTTCCTCTATCATCAGGGTGGGGCATCTCTCGTAGTACTCATCTCAAGAATAGCCCATCGTCTTCATCCTCCAGTACACCCCTCCGGCCTCCATCAGCTCGCAGTGCCTTCCAACCTCCACAGCCCTCCCATCCTCAACAACAATGATCTTGTCCATGTGCTCGGTCATCCAAAGGTCGTGGAGTATCATAACAATCGTCTTGCCCTCAAGACTCATCAGAAGCTCAAAAACCCTCTTCTCTGCATATCCGTCAAGCTTCGACGTTGCCTCGTCAAGCAGCATCATCGGAGGATCCTTGGCCAGGCACCTTGCAATGCATGCCATCTGCGCCTCTCCCCCACTGAGATCCCCCATCCGAGAGTCAAGCCCCTTCTTTCTGATCACCTCACACAGCCCGGCATCCCTGCACCCCTTCAAAACCTCGCTCATCCCAGCCTCAGAATTCCCATACCTCACATTGTAGAGGATGCTCTCGTCAAAGAAGAGGGCGTCCTGGAGAATGCATCCAATCGAACTCCTGAGCGCCCTAGGACACATCTCCCTGATCTCAGACCCGTAAACCCGGATCGATCCGCTGTACCTATGCAGCATCAGAAGAAGCTTCACAATCGTACTCTTCCCACACCCAGACCTCCCAATTATCCCAACACGCTCCCCCCTCATAACCCGGAAAGATAGGCCCTTGAGCACACCGGTAGAGCGCGGGTACGAAAACTTGACATCCTCAAACTCAATCGCCGCCACTCCTCTGCCCCCCTCAGACTCCCCAGTCCCGCTAAGAGACTTGCTGTGCTCAGGCATCCACAGAGACCCTGGCTTCCTTGCTGCATTCTGCAGGGCTGCCCCAGAACTCTCCTCCACATCCCTTTCAAGCCCATCATAAAGAGTGAGGAGGTCCGTGCAGTCAGTCATCCAAAACCCCATGTCCCTTGCAATCGTCCCAAGCGTCCACATAGAGGTATCAATCGAAAGGACAAACGAAAAGAGCGTGGCTAGATCCCCAACCGCCATTGCAGAGGCCGATGCATCCTGGACGCCCTTAAGAACAGTGTACACAAAAAGAATCGTAAACAGCGTCCTCTGCCCAAAGTTTATCACCCCCACACACCCCTTGTCATAAAGCTTCAGGCCCCACATCCTCCTCATAACCTCCGCAACCCTGGACTCCTCCATCTCCTCGCAGCAGCATGCCCTGACAAGGTCGATGTTCGAAATACACTCGTGGATCCTCTTGGAGACCAGATTGTCTGCATGGTTGATCCTCCTCTTATACCGAGAGCGGATCCTCAGAGCCACGTAGGTGTATCCCGTGTAGACAACAACAGTGAGGAGAGCAGGAAAGAAGTACCTGGTACCAAACATCGCATAGACCTCTCTGAACAAAAGAATGAGGTTGTAGAACGCTGGAACTGCAATGGTCAGGATCTTCCCGAGAACCTTGCACACCTTCTTGTTCCCTCTCTCCACAACCCTGTTAAGGTTCGTCGGCTTTATCTCATACGAGTGTGCAGAGTGTATTGCAAGATGGAGGACACGCGTTGTCATATCCTCCACAATCCTGTTTGCTATTACCGAAAAGAGAATGCTCTTCGACTCTATGAGCACAGAGGAGAGCGTCCGGAACACAAAGAAGGTCATCGCATTGCTGCAGATAGAAGACACATCTACAGCACCTACTCCTTTGACGTCTCCAAGGCTATTGATGATCATGCCTCGCCTCTTGATCGAGGCCACGTCAAGCCACTTCCCAAAAAAGATGCACAGGGCCAGTGCAGCCATGACTAGCATCTCGGCCATGGATGTAGGCCTCGCCATAGAAAACAGCCTCCGCCATATAGTCCAGTGAGATATTCCTTTCATCAGATATAGAGATAAGGGTAGATAAATGTTTTATTGGGCCGCCATTCATAGGAAACGTTTTAATAAACTACCGGTAAATAGGATATGCCTCCACAAGATTGGATATTCTCCTTCTCAGATCCACAACCAGGCCATTGCACATAAACTCCTTGCTGGACACCGCCTTCTCAACTTCTGCCTTGGACATCCTCTTCCCCATGGACATCTCTCTGCACAGAGTGACAATGCCGTTGATTATGTCTCCAACCTCCTTCATCTCGCTAGTCCCAAACCCTCGGGCAGTCACTGCATACGTGCCAATGCGTATTCCAGACGGATTCAGTGGGCTGGTGTCTCCAACAACAGTGTTTCTGTTCACACTCACCCCAAGCCTGTCACACACTTGCTCCACAATGCTTCCATCAACCCCCTTACTCCTGAGATCCACCAGAAACATATGGTTGTCAGTCCCCCCAGTGGGAATCTCAAATCCTAGAGACAGCAGGTAGTTGCACAGTGCCCTCGAGTTCTCCACAACCCGGCTCGTGTACTCCGCAAACGAGGGTGTCCTTGCATGCAGAAGCGCAGAGGCAATCCCTGCAATCGTGTGGTTGTGCGGTCCCCCCTGCAGCATCGGAAACACTGCAAAGTTGATCTTCGTCTCAAGATCCACAACATCCTCCCCTTTCCTCACGCTCTTCCTATAGAAAATAAGAGCCCCGCGAGGCCCCCGCAGCCCCTTGTGCGTCGTTGTCATAACCACGTCACAGTGCCTGAACGGGCTCTCCATCAGGCCAGAGGCAATCAACGGAGAGATGTGCGAAATGTCTGCAAACAGAAACGCATTGTTCTTGCTTGCTATCTGCGAAAGCCTCTTGTAGTCAATGTCCCGAGAATATGCACTGTACCCGCAGATCAGTATCTGCGGCAGAAACTCCATGAAGGACTTCTCAAGCCCAGAGTAGTCAATAAGCCCATCGTCGCCTATCCTGTAAGGCTTCGAGTCAAAGTAAACGCTGGTGGCAGATATCTTTCTTGTCTTTGTCTTGTATCCGTGTGTCAGGTGCCCTCCGCACGGCAGGTCAAGCCCCATGATCCTCCCTCCAGGAGGAACAATCCCTGTGTAGACAGCAAAGTTTGCAGGGCTCCCAGAGTATGCTTGCACATTGACCCCCCATACCTCGGGATCCAACGAAAACAGGTCAAGAGCCCTCTTCTGGCAGAGAACCTCGATCCTGTCCACCCACTCAGTCCCTCCGTAGTATCTTCCTCCCACCTTACCCTCAGAGTACTTGTTGGTCAGTACAGACCCACTTGCCTCCATCACACTCAGATGAGCATAGTTCTCACTTGCTATTAGGTTTATTGTACTCTTCTGCCTTTCAATCTCCCCGCCAATAAGAGCATAGAGCTCAGGATCAGACGTCGCCATCGCCTCTGTCCAGAACCCCTTCTCCTTCGCGTCCACCATGCCTCTCCCCCTCCACAAACTTAAATACCGTTGGAGGGAAAACACTCCTCTCAGACACTCATGTCCATCTTGATCGGAGGGTGCGGATCATACCCCACAAGCAAGAAGTCCTCGTACTCAAAGTCCTCCAGCCTTTCCCGACTCTCCTTTGGCCTGATAAAAAGCTTTGGGAAGGGCCTTGGTACCCTCTCCAGCTGCAGCCTCAGCGAGTCAACATGGTCCAGGTATATGTGGGTATCCCCAAGGAAGTGCACAAACTCCCCAGGCTGAAGCCCAGTCAGGTGTGCAACCATTATCGTTAGCAGTGAGTACGAGGCTATGTTGAAGGGAACTCCCAGCCCAACATCTCCAGACCTTTGGTACATTGCACAGTTCAGCTTTCCCTCCATCACATTGAACTGGAAGAGCACGTGGCAGGGTGGAAGCGCCATCTCTCCCAGCGCCACAGGATTCCATGCACACACAACCATTCTTCTGCTGTTGGGATTCTTCCTGATCATATCAACCACATCCTTGATCTGATCCACCCCCTTGCCCTCATAGCTAGACCCAGATGTCTCGTACGGCGCCCCAAAGTGCCTCCACTGGAATCCGTATATCGGCCCAAGGTCCCCCTCCTCCCTGTCAATCCCCAGAGACTGCAGGAACTCCTTCGACCCGTTCCTCTCCCAGATCCTAACTCCCTTTTTCTCGAGGATCTTCGAGTCAGTCTGCCCCCGGAGGAAGAACAGAAGCTCCTCAACAACGCCTTTGTAGAAGACCCTTTTTGTGGTCAGCAGGGGAAACGTGTTGTCCTCAAGAGAGAACCTCATCGTTGCTCCAAATACAGACAGTGTCCCTGTGCCCGTTCTATCCATCCTCTTGACTCCGCTTTCCAGTATGTGTTTCACTAGATCAAGATACTGACGCTCTGGATGTCTTGGTTCCTGAGGCATATGGATCCTTGGGATCAAGGTTTTTATTGGGCCGGCAGTGGCTATAGGGCCCCGTGTTTAATATAAATAAACATCTTGAAGGTTATTCCGTTCTCTGTAAATGCATTCGCCTCTGTGTTGTAGAAGGCATCTGCAAGGTCTTTGCCAACGAGTCCCGAGACCTCACGTGTAATGTCTCTTCTTTCAT